ATAATAACCTAAACTTCCTGTTGATAAAGAAGCTTTTAAAGGTTAAAGAAGAAGCTTAATAACTGGCTTCTTGGGACGATTAATTATGACAGTTAATAACTTATCTTAATGATTATAATAGTTAGAATAACTTGTTTCATTCAGTCTTTTTTATTCAACAGCAGCCATGAACAAGCCAATGACAAGTGTATATCTGTTAATTTAATAGTTAATGAGTTCTGTCAACTTTTATATTGGTTAACATCTCTCAATGGTCACCAAGTCAATAGCTTCTCAAGACGACATTCAACTTCAAATATTGCCTTCGTCTTCCAATGGAACCATTTAAATGGTCATATTTGCTCGAGTTATTCGCTTCGATCAAATGTATAATTTAAAGTTTTGATAAACTTTCCTTTTCTGTTTGGTTTCATTATAAGTGAAACATTTGATGAGCATTAAACTGTCTGTTGATACAATTCAATTCTTGTGAACAAGAATAAATCAAAAGAATAAGTAATTCTGCTTCTTTTTTGTGTTTTTCTCTATTTGATCATGATTGACATTTAAAGACAGGGAAACAGGTTAAACCAACAGAAAAGGTAATAAATTTAATTCTTAGAAACATGAGGATTGAAAGGTAGAAACTGAATAGCATTCTGTTTAACTTGTTCAACTTGACAGACCTTTCAGTTGAACAATTGAACGATTGGAGAAACAGGTAAAAATCATTGAAACATCAAATTGCCGACTAAATGGTGAAGGTAAGAAAATTATTTTTCAATGTTACAGACGATTCAATTAAATACTTTTGCTTTCATTCAGAAAACAGTAAATATTATTTTAAGTTGTATCACATTGTGTTTATTATTCATTAACTTTGAAAGATGAAACTCGTGGAGCAACTGGCAAATGTACAGGAAAGCTTCTTTTCAATTACGTCGATCGATTGCATTCGTTGAAATACTTACATAGATGTTGTTATTATGCTTAAAAGCTTCTTGTTATACACAATCCGATAAAGTATGGAAACATTCTCTTCCGAAACTCACTCGAAATGCAAAGTTACTGTTTGTATTTCCAGTTGTCTCGTATGCACTTTATTGACGCTTTAACAACTCGTCCAGTGCTTGGTTTTTTTGCCAATAGCGCTGGAAATTCATTCAATCGCAGTAAACGTCCATTTCGGCCAAAGTATACGAGAGATTGAGACGAAATTTATAAGTCATTCATTTTTAGCAAACTTGCAATGGGTTTGTGTTTCTGGAAAACCTATTGTCAAATGCCTCTAATAACATTTCATTTATTTGTTTAATGTCTTGTTTGTAAACTTTGTAAAACTATGCTCTAAACACAGAAGAGTATATCATTTTAAGAGAGATTTTCCTACATCGAAATAAAAAGGATTCAAAAATACTGAAGAATACATTGATGTTCATTTCAATTTATTGTAATATAATACAATCTAAACGAATATTATGTAATAGAATCTATTATTTCGTCGAATCTTCTGCAAAACATAACAGATCATTCGACTTGAGATGCATCAAAAAGTCCTTTTGCTTGAGCTTTTCTCTGTCAAGTTCAACATATTCCATCAGATGTCATTGCAAACTACAAAAGCTTCAAAGACACTAAATTGGTTCAATTGCAAAAGTTTAGCCTGGTTTTATACAACTTTTGTTGTCCTAATTACGCTAAATAGAATGATTGCAATTGAAATCTAGCCAACGAAGGCACGTTGAGTAAAAGGCTTTTGCATATTGACATATGCTGAGCTGATATTCGGTAGTATACATTAACAGTGGTCAAATCCTTGCTGCAATTTTCGATCAACCTTTTTGCTTCAGCAAAAGCATCTAAAGCAATACAAACTACATGTAGCTTTGACTGAATAAGTAATAATCTAAATATTCTTCCACGAGAATCTGCAATATTAACTTACCTGGCTAAAAAACCATTTAGACTATTTACATTGCATTTTGAAAGGCGAAAACTCAAGAAATGTTCATTTCTGTTTACAGTTTAATGTCATCTTGAAACTCTTCTGCAAATGCAAAAGTCGGTAAATTTCGAGACTGAATCACTTGATACCAATCAATTGAAAATTAGTAGCGAAACTAGTTTCTTTCAAAACAACTGTAAATAATGCACTTTGATTGGAAAAGCTGTTTATTATTCTGTTTTACTAATGATGTTTAAATGATTTATAACAACTAGAATCGGTTTGTCTCGACATTTTCTTCCTCATCCTCTCCATCTTCAAGTTTACTCTTCTTCCCAAGCAACTTTCTTCACTCTAATGAACAAAAATTAATTACAGAGTAAAACTTTAATTAGATTATAACACTGTTGAGCATTTTTTATTTGTTTTTTGTTTCTTTCATCTCATATATTCATCTTATTTTGCCTGAAACTTTTCCCTGTAAATACTGTCACTGAAAGGTTGAAAAGCCAAAGAGAGAAACCAGAAAGCCAAAAAGTCGACAAAAAAAGCTCTTGACATAAAACAAGGGAAGCTAAAAGGCAAAGACAAAAAAATTTATACATTTACATTCAGTTGAATTCAATTAAAATAAGGTTTGTGTTAAGATTTAAAGTCAAAATGTGAAAGAAATAAATTGAAAACAAAAGTGAAATAAACAGGGAATTGAATGAGGAAAAGAGCAACAATTATTCAAAGAGGAAAATTAAAAGTTATTGACTTTGTGACTTTAAGTACTTTTCCCATTCAGTAACATTCACATTGATTAGCATTTTTCTTGCTCAGAATAATCTTCTAATTGAACAATCTTTCCATGTTTCTCTCACTCTTCTGCAAATTAATAATATTCAATAATGAAGCCAACTAGTTTCAAAAAATTGATTCACAAAACAATAGTCTATTAAAGTGAATCAGCTTCTGATTTACTTTTTTTTGCTCGTTTCCACTTGATATTGATTTTGTGATTACAATTTGTGTTTCATGGTTAAATGCGAAGCGAAAGACAAAACGAAATATATTAATAATAAATGTATTTAGTTATTTCAATTTACATTTATCCATATTTGCAAAGTAATTGGCTGATTATGTTTTACTTTTTCTTTTAGTTTCGCGTTTGCTTTTGATTGTTGTGAAGAGATTTCAATTGTTTGAATGAAAGGATTAAATTGAAAAGGAAAATGTTCAACATGCAATTTTCATTTCAATATTTTCCATGATTTACCAAAATTCGTTGCGATTATGTTAATCAATGGTAATCAACGATACAAACCATTCAATGTTTACTCAATGTTTACGGTGAAATTGTGACAGACTATCGATTCTTGTTAGTCAAGTATCGCCTTGCGTTTTTCATCAATTATTTAAATCACTTTTCATCATTTTACTTCATTTTTACATTCATTTGAGAACAAAATTTCAGGTTCGTTAAAGTTTAAAATCTCACAACACATGTTTATCTGATTTCCTGAGTTTACATGATAATCATTGAGTTTTACAACAACAATGAGTCTTCATTTCCGTTTCATTATACCTTCAACATGCACAAGAGTAACAAGAAATAATCAAAATTCACTTTCTACTCGTTCTTCGATTAGCATTTTTCTTCCAGTTCTCTGTCTACTTTTATCCTTTCATGATTAGCTTGTTTGTTAGCTGTAAATTAAGATCATTTTCATTCTTCAATCAAATTTGGTTGTGAAACTGTTTATCTTTTGGAGTGAAAATGTTTATTTTCAGTCTTTTGTTTAAATTTTGAGGTTGTCAATGGATCGACGATCAAATTTTGAATCGCGAAATCGAAGACATTCTGTGAATTCAGAGGAAAAGAGGAAAAGAGTCGATATTGTAAATTCTTTGTCTTTTCAACTATTCCAGTTCTATTTTATTGATTCGATGTATGTCAACTCTGAAGAGCTACTTATTCCACAGCTAGTGCAATCTTTTCCCACCAAGATCAAATACTCAATAAGAGATCCAAAGTAGGCATCGCCTGAAACTCAAGATTACAGATTGCGTTCAAGAACCTAGCAGTTCATAGCAATCTGCTGTATCTTCAACTGAACCACCTCTCATTGTACACTTGACTAGGCTCATCTCTGTCACGAATAACCAGGAAATTTGACACATTCAACTTGAAAAAGAAACATTTGATTACAATTAACGATTAAGTTCATTTGTTGTGAATATTTCCAAACTCATTAATACCTCAAATGATGAAAAAAATTTCCTTTTTAAAAATAATACTTTGCAATGTTACAGATAATTTTGCAAAATTAACTAAAATGAAATGAGTTTCCATAAAAAGAATATTAAAGTTTAAAATGTTTATTTTTGCAAATCGAGAATGAAATTGAAAGCTCGAAATTTGATAAATTCATTTAATTTCCATAAGTTTTCACCTTGGATTGAATATGAAATTGACAGGGAAACAAAGAGGTTGATGAAAAAGTTGATTATTTTTCATTCAAAATTGAGATTGAATTTTCTTCTTTTCTCTTCTCTCATCAACATGACAACAATGATAATTTATAGCAAATTATAGTCATCATCACCATGAATATTTATCTATTAATATTATATCATAACATATCAATGATTAATTGACTCATCTTTTCCATCTTTTGTTTTTTTTCTTCTTCTCATAAATAATTCTCATTAATCATAATCATGTTATTAGAATTGTTGGTGAAAATCAGTCGAAATCAATGGATGTGATAATGGAAGGTGAAAAGGCAGAGAAACAATGTATTACTAATTAATGTTGATCAACAAGAATTTAATAATGAAATTGGTTAATTGTCTTGTTGTCAAACAATCAAGGATTAAACAAATAAACAAGTTTGTATCACAAGATGAAAGACAATCAAAGATCCAAATGAATCAATAGTAATGAAAAAGGCTTCAAGGGCTCAACTTGTTTCCAAGTTGTGATCAAACAAGTTCAATACAAATGTTAATCAGTTTACATTTGAATCCAAAAATGCTGAAAAAGGTAAATATTGAATGAATTGAGAGGCGAAAAGGTCTCAAGACTTACTTGATTTATTGGTTGATCGATCTTTGATTGTAACATTTAGTGAATTTCTTGTTGGTAAAGTTGAAATTAATGAGCGAGATCCATTGATTAACATGGAAACATTGTTTAATCTCATGGAATTGAGGTTTTCTATTTTTACAATTGACTTATCATTTATTGAAATCACTTTATTTTCACTTTTTCCCACTTTTCCTTCATTTGTTACAGTCGATGGTTGCTGTTCACCAGCTACAGTTGATTTAATAACAAAATATATCCAAATTACAATTGACCATTTCATTATCACAAATGTAAACGTAACTTTGTTTCTTCCTTGAATCTATTTTAAACAGTTTTAATCATTTTGGTTCACGTTTTCTAATCCATAGTTTGATTGGGATTTGCAATTCACTCTTCATTTACAAAAATTCATGTAGTTTCAACTTTTTTATTTCACTTCAAAGCATAAAATTAAAATATTAACGCGCTAAAAGCAATTCACTTCAATAATAAGACAGATTTTGTTGCTGTTTTGATCGTTGTTGATGTTGTCCTGTTATTATTGATACAAAAAGTGTGTTTGATTCAAGTTTTATTAAGTTTGCGCATAGAAAGTTCATGAGAGAGAAGAAATGCGCAAACTATATCAGGTTTCAGGGAAATTTGCGTTTTTTGAAGCTATTGCAGGTTCATTCATCAAGAGATCTCTGGAGAGAGAGATGTCATAGTCTAGTGTTCATCTGGTCCGTCTGGTCTGAGATCTTTGCTTCGAGTAAGATTATTCAATCTTACAGTAATCCTCTTTCGATTTCTTTATTTAACCAATAGTTTTAACGAGATTAAATTTGATTTTCAGTGTTCTCATTAAATTGGTGACTTCTAATCTATAGCATATCCAGATCACTCCTAAGGAACAGCTAAATAGATAAACTTGTTGTTCGACTTGCATATTGTTCAGAAGGGAAATTTACCAGCTAGCACATCAATCCAAATGTGCATGGTTTGCACCCGAATCAAATAGAACTTAGTAAAATAATTTGATAAACTAGCTTGATATAATGCTATTAAATTTTTATTGATGAAATAATCGCGAAAAGTGTTTTAAGTCGCATCTTATTCTGGTTATTACATCAAACATATAATTATTTGTTCAGTCCTATTGACCATAAATCGTTTATCTTTTAGTCCATCCAAGTTCATCGGTTGAAGCAAACCAACCAATTCTTCCAATTGCTGAAGCCATTTGTTGAAAAGGCTTTAAAGGTTTCCTGAAAATAGAAAGGAATTATCAACTTACTAATTTGAATTAATAATGGCACAGAATCTCAAGAGTTCATACTTAGACAGCATTGATAGGTCCAAACTCCTATACCGCAAGAATTGCCCGAGACGGAGATTTCGCCAAACTGGATACCGGGATTAAGTTCACCAAATTCCCGAGCACATAAATCTAGTATTACGCTTCGCGAAGGTTCACTTGAACAGGGTATATCCAGACAACCTGTAATTTGATTACGAGATTGAAAACAAAATTAGTTTGTCGGCTATAAGTTTTCATTTAAATTTACTTATGACGTTGAGCTTGAACACAATGATTATCATTTATGAGCCCGGCAAAGAACACAAAAGCAATATTAATTTATATTAATATTGAAATAGAATATTAAAAGTTCATACTTTCACAGCATCGATAGCGAGTAAGTCCTCCACCACACGATTCAGGTCGGATTATACTACTACCGTATGCTCTCCTACATTGGTCAGTTACTTGTTGAAGGGTTCGGTTGTCACAGCCTGTAGTCCGGCAAACTGTATTTTGATTAAGAGATTGAGAAAAAATTGACGATTAGTTGAGTTTTCGGCTGTAAGTCATCAGTAAAATTTACATCTTTCGAAGGGACGTTGAGCTTGAACACAATTATTATCATTTATGAGCATGGATAAGAACACAATACTTAAAAGAAATAGTTTGTAGACCATTTTGGATTAGAACTTCAAAGTATTTGATTTCACTACAAAGTTATAAATATTTGTATTATATAATTAAAGTAAAGTTGGTTATCTTTATGGAATCAAAGGCATAACTTTATTGAAAATCAATCTCTTTATATACTTATTATAAAAATTAAAGAAAGAGAAAGAGAAAGATCGAAGTAAAACATATTTTCTTTTGGGTCAATCTAAACTGACGAACATTGCCAATCAAATTAAATTGAAACAATGTAAATGTGTTTGAATAGTATCTTAAACGAGTCAATCAAGTAGTGATCAGAAAGCATTGTTTTATAAATGTCTATTAAATCGATGCCTAGGTGTCTTTCTTTCTCATGATATTTCGTAAAAAGATCAATGCCAAAGAAGTAAAGTATGATGTGAAATACCTAATTGTACAGAATTGTTTTATAATTTCTCATGAACTGAAATTGTTATCAAATTTAGATTAAAAAAAGGTGACATTACTCTCAAAGTTACTGAAGGTCTTGAGTTAATAAGTCTGCATGATTTATGTTAAAAATGAAAAACATGCAAATCCATCACCTTGACTGGAGTAAAGTCAAAAAGGAGCGAGAGATAACAGGACGAGGTAAAGGGTGAAAAATGAGATAAGGGATAAACTAAGGATAACTTAAAATCTCGCTAAAAAAATAAATAGAGGTCAATGAATGAAACTAGAAAAAGAAAGAGAAATGGGGGAAAATTATAAAAAATTAACTTTAAATTAAAGAGATTAATTTTCTTTTTAATTTCTCTCTTTCTCAGCCTTTTTTATTTCATTGCCATCACTCAGCGAGATGTTAAATTAGCCCTTATCTCATTTTACGCCCTTTACCTCGTCGTCCAGTCTCTTGTTACTCTTTGGGTAAAGTTCGACCAATAAAGAAATAAATTGACTCTATTTGAGGGCTGTTACTAAAAAGACACGAATTGTCATTATTGTCACAATTGTCACGATTGTCACAATTGTCAAATGATTACCAGATCGAGTACTTATTGAAAGACTGACGACAAAAGTAAATTATTTTATTATGTTTATTACGTTATAGCTATTATTTTTCCATTTAATTTCATATTATTTTATATTCGGCTGATTCTGATAAGCAAAAACTGGCTGGTTATTTGTGATCGAATTAATCGAATTAAGAGAAACTGTCGCCAAGGCATCAACTAGAGGCTGGATAAAGAAGTAAGGTGACAATTCTTACAAGTAAATAAATTTATTGATACTATTGCTAAATTTATGAAATTTTATTCGCTGAATGAGAAGATGTTGAGCTCCATAAAAATTAAGAAATGACAGAGTTTTAACCTTTACGCGCAACCTTACGCACTTTCTGTTTAGGGCCCACCATAAGAGCTTTGCCAGAGCTTTCTGAGATTTTATTGGAAATATTTTGCCAAATTCTAACGAAATCGCAGTCTTCCAGGTATATTTTTGCGAGTACTCAGCCTTACATAAAGCTCAAAATTTTCGATTGCGCGACACTGAGGAAGATTTAGAGGGTTGATTTTTTTGCGTACGAAATTGATCTTGTTTGTTTCAAGAAATCAATTCATTCTCATCGAAAACTGAAATTTTTGACTTTGCCGAATAAAATTTTTTGCCTGGTATTTGTCTTGGATCGAGTGGGACGTACTTCTCGTCGTCCATAATGATAACTTTATCTGATAAACTTTGCTCATAAATTTTTCTAGAACCTCTCTTGCAACGATTGAAATGATCTTTTATGTAAGCAGATGACTTATTTCGAGCAGAAGATCGATAACCTACGGCTTTCTTATTATAAAAATTAAAGAAAGAGAAAGAGAAAGATCGAAGTAAAACATATTTTCTTTGAGTGAATCTAAATTGACGAACATTGCCAATCAAGTTAAATTGAAACAATGTACTTAAATGTAGTAAATGTAGTAAATGTGTTTAAACAGGATCTTAAACAAGTCAATCAAGTAGTGATCAGAAAGAATTGTTTCACTGTCTATTGAATTGATTTCCAGGTGCCTTCTCTTACATAATATTTCGTGAAATGATCAATGCCGAGAATTCACAGAAGTGAAGTACGATGTCTAATATCTAATCGTACAGTTTTGTTTTATGAATTTCTCTTGAACTGAAAGTGTTATCAAATTTCAATTAAAAAAGGTGACAAAGGCTCTCAAAGTCACTGAAGGTCTTGGATAATTTTTGTTTCTGAAAAATTATCAAAATTTAAAAATAAAATTGATAGACTTGATATAATGCGCATTTGTAAATACTTGTTGAATTATTTGAGATGGTCACCAGATAATTCTTAGGACCTGTCGCCAAGGCATCAACTATAGCTCTTCAACCATCTGAATAGATAGTTGATCACTCCTAAAGAACAGATAAACAGATCAACTTCTTGTTCAACTAGCATATTGTTAAGAAGGGAAATTTACATAATAGCATATGTATAATAGCAGCTAGCACATCAATCCAAATGATGTTAATGCCAAGTTCCAAATTTGGTTGAGGATCCAGCACTGAGAAAAGGAAATGAAAATCAAGCAATTATCTGTCTATGATTTTATAATTGATTTAATGTTATTAAGCAATATGGTCTTCATATATCACGCATTAGCTCGATTATTTGCATTTAGTTACAAACAATAAAACTTAAAGATCTTATAATTCATAAATTATCAAAATGTTGAAACAAACTTCTTTTGGACAAACATTGTTGGATCTTCTATTGAAATTACGGTTCAATTTCATTTCTATTTTTATATCTATTTTCTACTGACAGACAGGCAAATTGTTAAATATTATTAGTGGGGGTTTGGTCTCAAAGGTCGTGTGGGGTCGAAAAGTTTAGGGTCATTTTTGAATCTTGGATCCTTAAAGATGTATCCCATGAAACCATTATATCGAGATTTTTTAAGCATGTCAATCAGCTTGTTCTGTTGGCCTTCGCATAAACCAGTTATATGTTTGTCATAAATTGATCCAGTTAGGGGTGAGATAAATTGACTTAGAAGACGAGGATTCTAAGAATAAGAGAAAAATGTTAAATCAATGAATTTTCAGAGTTTCAAAAAGCAAGCATGTATTGTAATTTGTAACAAACCTTGTAGTTTAACTCAATTTTGTATTTACACAGTATACACTGAGTGACTTTCTTTTTAAATGGATTTTCCATCTCACTTACAGGCTACAAATTTTGAAAAAAAGCATTTTCATTAGTGATACGAATGATTTAAGTAAATCTTAAAAACTTACCGCATCGTCAGGACAAAAGTTTGAATTTTGCCGAATTAAAGGTTTGTAAACAAGCGCCTCATGGGATAGCAGTTTATTTACAGATGAAATTTGAACTGGAAATATAAATTAATACAATAAAATTACACTTAATGATAAAACTAAACGAAATAAACTTACCCCTAGATTTAAGTATCCCTTGGACTAATTTGAAAGCCATTAAAATGAATGGGAAATGATGAAAACAAATGCTAAGAAATCAGAAATTGTTGAGGTCAATTTAGAAATGCTGATTTTCAGACAATTTTCACTGTTATTTTTGTAGCTTTAGCATGAAGAAGCTATTTTCACTACATCTGGAAGAATAAACAACAACATTGCGCAGTCAGCTGATGGGAATGTCAATTTGAAGAATCAAGTTTTCAATTACATTCGTTAAATTTCCAAATAATGGCCAATATTATTGAGGAAACCAACCCGCAACGTAATCGTCCTTCCAGTAAGTATTCCTCAACCTCTTCTTGTTTTTGATTTACTTAAAGCTTTGGTTTTTCATTTGTTTAGGTAGTGCATTCAAACAACAAAAATTACCTGCTTGGCAACCCATTTTGACAGCTGGAACTGTCTTGCCTACTTTTTTGCTAATTGGAATTACCTTTGTTCCAATTGGAATCGGCCTATTACTTTCTTCAAATGAAGTTCAAGAAACTGTTCTTGACTATACACACTGTAAAAATGATAAAGGTGAAACCTGTGCTTCCAAGCCTTACAATGAAACCACATTAGATAAACCTTGTGAATGTAATATAAAATTCAGGCTCCCTAAGAGTTACAATCGAGACGTGTTTATTTACTATGGCCTGACCAATTATTACCAAAACCATCGAAGATACGTCAAATCAAGAGATGATCGGCAATTGCTGGGAATTAAAGATGCCTTATCATCTGATTGTGAACCATTCAAAGAATATGGTGGTAAACCTATTGCTCCATGTGGTGCAATAGCAAATTCTCTGTTTAACGATACTTTTGAGATGTTCCATTATTATGGGGCAAAATATAATGGAGTACCAGTTATCGAAACTGGTATTGCTTGGGCAACCGATAAGAATATTAAATTCCGCAATCCTTCTGGTGCAATCAATGGTACCGATGCATTCAAAGGCTATACTCATCCACCCAACTGGCAGAAAAATGTCTGGGAATTAGACACGAAAAATCCTGATAACAATGGCTACCTCAATGAACATTTAATAGTCTGGATGCGCACAGCAGCTCTTCCTACATTCCGAAAACTTTGGGGTAGAGTCAATCATACAATCGCACCATATCATGATGGCTTACCTGAAGCAGATTATAAAATTAAAATAAAGTATTGTAAGTTCTAGCGCATTCTCTTTGCTATTTGTGTAATTAACGCTTGCATCTTTTACTTGTTTGTAGTTTATCCTGTTACTTCATTCAAGGGGACCAAAAGGATCATCATTTCTAACACTTCATGGCTTGGTGGCAAGAACCCATTCTTGGGTATAGCATACATTGCTGTTGGCTGTATTTGTTTGGCTCTATCTGGATTCTTTTTCTTCATCCACCGCAAATATGGACGAAGGTAATTATTAGATTAACTCATTTCTAATGAATATTTTCTAATATTTTTTGCGCTTAATCTCTTTTCCCTAGTGTAAACGATATAATTAATGTTTCTCAAAGATCTCCTTACTTGAATTCATGAGGATTTTCATTTACACCATATCCAGTATTTATGCAGAAGCCGCTTAATAAGAATGCACTGGTGCCTCAAATTACCCATCAAATTTATTATCAATTAGTAAATTTTTAGTAAATATTTAAAAAATTTAAAATAAAATGTTATTGTAGTAAATCTAGTTAATCGATATCCAGTCTTGGAATTTCCCGAAAGTGTTTTCCTCGCTGAACATAACGTACAAAAAGCCGTCGTCATCCTGATGCCTGAACCACAGTTCACCGACCAATGCACTATAAGATAATAAACACAAAATTAATTAAAACACATTCAATTCCTACTCTCATTAAAAACATGCAAGTAAATAATTATCCATCACCTTGACTGAGGTAAAGTTCGATCAATGAAGAGATAAATTGATTCTCTTTGAGTAAGTTCAAGTCGGTCCCTAAGCAAATACATCAATTGAGCCACAGTCACCTCATATGGTATAAGCATCTTGTACTTTTCCAAATCTTTAAGATGAGATTTTGGAGATTTTTGAGCAATTATCTGTGAATTGGATACAGAATTTTGGAGTAGAAACAATGAAAGTTGCAATTTGAATATCGTTATAAGCTTGGATTATTTTTCTAATAATTAGCTCTCTTACCGGAATTTTGTCAGGATATTTTTCTCTAATTGCTGTTGATTCCTTTTTCCTTTGCTCTATCAATTGATAATAGGCAATATGTTAATGAAAGATTACCGAAATTGGAATAGATCACTTACCCAGCGAGAATTTTTCTTTGAAGTTCCATTTCATAGGAGATGCTTGTCTTGAATGCTCTGATTTGGTGAACATTTTGTAAAAAAAGTAAAAGATAGTTTCTAGTAAAAAAGCAAATCAAATAAAATTTATTATCATCAACAATAAGGCTCAATAATGATAGCTGTGAGAAAGCAACTAACACAAGAGAGGGAGCAATTAGAGAGAGAGAGACAAATACTGTTTGAACAAGAAATATTGTTCCTAACAATCGGCTAATCTTTTGCACAAACGACAATCATTGGCTGCAAGATTGATGCGATCAGAGAAATAAATCTGAATTGAATAAAATAGAAAATTTATCCCAATACTTTTCTCCCTTTTGTTGTTTATTTTAAGAAAATTCTGGATTTTACGCCTTCTAAATATATTTAATTGTAACAATTATAATTCGACATCACATTTTGCAATCCCTACAATACTTCATACAGTAGATTTAAGGTTTTTGATTGTATTTCATTGTTATCTCTCTTCGAGATATTTAACATCAGGCTGATCCAAAGGGTAGTTTATTGCTCTTTGGGGTGATCAGGTTGATAAAGAAATGATATTCGCATTATTTAATACACAGAGTTTTGTTTAATAACTCTTTTGATGCAACTTTTAAAGATATTATTTTTTAAGTTTCAATTAATTACATTTTTAATAACTCCATTAATATTAATCTATTTTTAAAGTTAACCAACGACCAAGACGTTTCCGTTGATCTCGTATTGTGGTACCTCTAAATTCGCTGGAGCAGGGCCCTTCCTTATTCTTCCAGATAGATCGTAATGAGATCCATGGCAAGGGCAATAATACCCACCGAAATCACCAGCGTTGGAAATGGGTACACATCCAAGATGAGTACAAACACCAATGACAACAAGCCATTTGGGATCTTGAGTTCTTTCCTCATCAGCTTGAGGATCCCTCAGTTCAGACAAATTAGTTTTCTTAGCCTTTTCAATTTCGTCTTGAGTACGATGACGGATGAATACGGGCTTTCCTCTCCATTTTGCGACTAAATTTTTGCCTTCAGGAATTTCATCCAAGTTGACTTCAATTTTAGCTAAAGCTAAAACATCTTTTGATGGTAACCAAGTTTCAGCTAGACCACGAACAACTCCCTTTGTCATTAGAGCTCCACCAAGAGCTAAACCAGAGGCCAAACCATAAGTTGTAGCCCTTCTAGCGTCAGCAGTGTCTTTACTTCGTGATGTCGGGTCTTGTGTTGCCTTTTTCCGGACCTCAGTGAAATCAGGAACCTTGATGTCTGTATGAGCTAACCTGATTTGGCTGATACCTGTATGCAAGGACAAAAAACAACCATTATTATGGGATATAATTTGGAAGAGACTGAAAATATAATCTAAGGCTTACTTACCGTTGACAGATAAGGATACAGCGGAAGATTTCTTCAAAATGCTTTGAGAGGATAACGATGAGACAGACCACTTTTTCCCATCTTCTGGAACGTAATGTTCGTGGCCAGCAACCACAGCCGGTCCTGCTGGTTTAGCATTAACTGCCTGTGCTGTGGCTTTAATAAGAGAAGAAAGGTTACCAGATCGAGTACTTATTGAAAGCATGACGAAAAAAGTAAATAAAACAACAAAAATAATTTACAATTGATCAAAATTAATTTTATAAATATAGACTTAAAAGTAGATCAATGTAATTTCAGCTTTCAAAGTCACCACTAGGTGCGCTTTAAAAAATTGACTAAAAGGGATCTTTTCTCAATAATGAAACGCAAAAAAGTTTGTTCCAAAAATTTAAGAACGATTAAACTGATTTAGTTCTTCATTTTCCAAATCAAATATTGATTATCTTCTTAGAAATACAAACTGCTGTAAAAAACATGCTATCAGCATTTTTAACAAGTTGCCAACTTAAATGAAGCTAATTAACAAGCTTCTTTAAAGCTTCTTTAGCTTAAGAAAAACAAAGATTGCGCAAAAATCTGTTTAAATATGAAATTACATCAAGTGTTGCATCATGTAATACGATTCGATCTGAACGAGGTTCACAGTATGAATATATTTAGCATCGAGATCATGGCTTTCAGTTTAATAAGAAAACTGAGCGAAAATTATAACCCTATTGTCCAATGTTTAGATTTGGTATTGAGATTGGATAGATCGTTCAAAGGATGAAATGTGAGAAGTTAATTGATTTTGAATTGTCAATCAAAGGCTAAACAAGCTAGCAAACTCTTATGTTAGCATCTAGATAAAAACAAGCGATGAGAAAATACGAGGTGTCAAATTGAACTGCATCAGAAGATACCCTTTCTCTTCGCTCTTTTACTTTATCACTAATTCAAGTTCAGCAATAGTTCAGAGATAAAACTCAGATAATTTTGGAGCAACATTCAGTCCAAAATATTAACAGAAAATCTATTTAAAATTAAAAATTTAGTTAAAATTTCTACAATTTGCTTAAAATTTGTTGGCTTTATCGATATCGATACTATTGTATCGAGGAGTATTGTTTCTTCAAGTATCAATACTACTCGTATCAAAAATATCATCGCAAGTCTCCATAAGTCTCTCTATAGTTTGGTTTAAAATAATTGTAAGCCTGTATCCAATTAACCAGAATTCTAATTATTTATTTGATTATTTTGTTGATTAATAAATCAATTGTTGACCAATTAATTCCAGTTTTTAAGGGTTAAATCAGGTATACTCTATTGAAATTATACCTATAAGCCTTGAAGCTCGCTATGAATCCAACTAAAACCCAGCGGAAGGACAAAATGAGAATCAGAGCTTTTCCCGTAAGTATTTTTATTTCTAATTATCATTATTGAAGCCACCTACTAATCATGTTCTTCATTTTCAGACTGTGATGGATGAAAGGTTTGTCACAGAGATCTGGTCAACTCTTAAAAACGCTATTCAGGAGATCCAGAAGAAAAACAACAGTGGACTCAGTTTTGAGGAGTTATATAGAAATGCGTACACCATGGTCTTACATAAACACGGTGAAAAATTGTACAATGGTTTGAGACAAGTTGTTCAGGATCATCTTGATAACAAAGTACGTAATTAAGGATGTTAACCTATCTATGTCTGTGTTCATACATGTTTATTTTTCTAATTCAACTGTCTTTTACAGGTCCGTCAAGATGTTCTTGCTGCAATCAATAATAACTTCTTAAAAACATTGAATCAAGCTTGGAATGACCATCAGACGAGCATGGTTATGATAAGAGATATCCTGATGTATATGGTGAGTGTGAAGTTTTTTAAGAAAAGTAATTAGCCAATTCATTTATCTTACATTCTTTTGTTCTTTCTTTTTCATCTTTAACACTAGGATCGTGTTTACATAATCCCAAACAGAGTTGATAGTGTTTATAATTTGGGTCTTAATCTGTTCCGAGATCATGTTGTCAGATATGGGTCAATAAGAGATAATCTGAAAGAAACTTTACTGGACATGGTTATGAGAGAGAGGAGAGGAGAAGTCATTGTCAGGTAAAACCTTGCTCATTCCATTAGTTATTCATTTATAAATTTTAAATACTAAAAATAATTTTTATGGTATTTTATTGCTCTTCTTTGGTATTCTCAGATCCGCTGTCCGTAATGCATGTCAAATGCTTATAAACTTAGGTATCGATTCTCGTAGTGTATATGAAGAAGACTTCGAAAGACCATTTCTCGCTCAATCAGCCGAATTTTATCAGGTGAGTTCCTTAATATTTATTAAGATACTTGATATCTAATCATAAATTTTACTGACCCTTTGATATTTTCAGCTTGAAAGTCAAAAGTTTTTAGCTGAAAACAGTGCATCTGTTTATATAAGAAAAGTAGAGCAGAGAATCAACGAAGAAGCTGAACGAGCAAAACATTATCTAGATGAATCCACTGAAGCTCAAATAGTTGCTGTTGTTGAAGAAGAGCTAATTTCTAAACACATGAAAACAATTGTGGAGATGGAAAATTCAGGGGTTGTACATATGTTAAAAAATCAGAAGACACAAGGTACGTTATGGAATAAGTTATTATATTTCATCTTTTTTTTGATAATGATGCGATTTGCCACTTTTTAATTCTTTTCTCTTGTTACGATAGATCTTGCTTGTATGTATAATTTACTACGTCGTGTTGATGGAGGTCTTCAAGCGATTCTCTCTTGTGTAAGCCAATATTTGATTGAAGAAGGCAAAAAATTAGTCATGGAAGATGAAGGAGGAAAAACTGATGCTATCACCTTCGTCCAGGTATTTCTTTACGAGCAACATAGTTTATTTTTGCTTGTATACTCACCCTTTTTTCGCTGTTTTCTTTTTTAGTCTCTGTTGGAACTTAAAGATCGATTCGACACGTTTTTAGTTGGTTCATTTAATTCGGATAAAGAATTTTCTAAGATGATAGCAAAAGATTTTGAATATTTTCTAAATTTAAACCCGAAATCCCCTGAATATTTATCTCTATTTATTGACGATAAACTCAAGAAAGGTGTTAAAGGAATGTCAGAACAAGATATTGAGCAGGTCCTCGACAAAACAATGGTCTTGTTCCGTTATCTTCAAGAAAAGGATGTTTTTGAAAGATATTATAAACAACATCTCGCCAAGCGGCTCCTTTTAAATAAAAGTGTATCCGATGATTCTGAGAAAAACATGATTTCCAAATTGAAAACTGAATGTGGTTGTCAATTCACGTCGAAGTTGGAAGGAATGTTTAGAGATATAACAGTATCCACTACAATGATGGATGAATTCAAAACGCATGTACAAAGTTCTAGGGTAATTATTTTTTCTCTTCTATTTTTTATTCGGTAATATTCTCATATCTAATGATTTATTATCTCTTCAGGTTAACTTGGCTGGTGTGGACTTGAATGTTCGAATCTTGACCACAGGTTTTTGGCCAACTCAATCAACACCTTCTAAATGCAACATTCCTCTTGCACCAAGAAATGCATTTGAAGCTTTTAAACGCTTCTACCTCGCTAAACATAGTGGAAGACAATTAACGTTACAACCACAATTAGGTTGGGCTGATTTGAATGCCACATTTTATGGACCCAAGAAGGACGATTCTAGTGAGAATGGTAACAGTTTTAATGGTCAACCGACCATGGTCAGTACCACTTGTAACTTTTATGGAATGAATTCTGATCAATTAGATCCAGGATCGAGTAATGCTGTCAGCACTTCATCTTCAGTAGTTAATGCGCCCCCACCAACCACTAAGGCACCGGTTCCAAGAAAGCATATTATTCAAGTATCCACTCAGCAAATGTGTATCCTAATGCTATTCAATAATAGAGATAGATTAACGTGTGAGGAGATAACAAGTGAAACAGATATACCTTTAAAAGACTTAACCAGAGCATTACAATCCTTAGCCATGGGAAAACCAGCTCAACGAATCTTGATAAAGCATCCCAAAACTAAGGAGATAGGTTAGTTGAAAATTTAGTTTCTTGGTTGATTCAAACGCTTAATGATTTTTCTCTTCCTTTTTCAACAGAGCCAAATCATGTTTTTTGTGTTAACGATTCTTTCACTTCCAAATTACATCGAGTTAAGATTCAGGCTGTAACGGCCAAAGGAGAATCAGAACCAGAAAGAAAAGAGACCAGAAGCAAAGTCGATGAGGATAGGAAACATGAAATCGAAGCAGCTATTGTTAGAATAATGAAGGCCCGTAAAAGAATGAACCATTCTAATTTAGTTTCAGAAGTAAGTTATTTTAATTTTATTTTTAATTTCGATTTTACTGATGACAAATTTCTTTTTCCAATAAAGGTCACCGAGCAACTCAAATCTCGATTTATGCCCAGTCCTGTGATTATTAAAAAACGAATCGAAGGTCTGATAGACAGAGAATACTTAGCGAGAACTCCTGAAGATAGGTAAGACATAATTTTTTTCTGTCCTAGTGGTTTTTATTGATACATTCTAATTAATTTTTTTATTTCAATTACAGAAAAGTGTACACTTATGTAGCTTAAGATTTCTTCAATTTGATGTTTCATGATATACTCATATATATATAATTTATACCCGTACATTACCCACGTCATTATCTATTCCATTGTTCAACAATGTGTTTACCATTAACTTTGTATTTTATGAAAAGATAGTTCATCTTTCAAATACATTTACAAAGATTTCATTTTCTATCTGAACAAAATTTGGTCCGACGATTGATTGCAATACATGATTCTATGGAGCTTTAATGCAAACCTCAATTCTGTTTGAAAAGTGGATCTCAGCAATGTAATAACATTTTAAAGCTCACAATCCAATGATTTATGCACGTTGGTTTTCATGGTTCAATCAAAATCATTTTACGTCCTGAATATTGAGACACTCACAATTCACCAATTACTGTCCGCTAGAGAACATCATTAAGCCAATTGAATGAATTGGGTTTAATATTGCTGGACTCTTAAGAAAACTCACCAGTCAACTCGAAATGAACAATTTCAATCCTCACATAAGGTCTTTTCGGTTTACGGAAAATTATTTGTTGTTTTCAATGGAAATAAAGTTCATTTGATAAATTGTAGAAAGAATTCATCCCTCATCCTCTATCTCTGCGGATTCAAGACTCGGCGTACGAAAGCTGAAACTGAAATATAGTCCGTATTTGGTTGAAATATTTTTTTGGAGCAATTTTGTGCATCCCATGTCCAAGAGAATGAGTCATAACACGATTTTTGACCAAGAAATGTGTTATTTTTTTAAATTTTGTATCAAAAATTCTGTAAACATAGACACTTAAAAATGCGTGTACATCAGAATTAAACTTCTATCAAATTGAAAACTTTTCTTTGAAGGTCAAACTGAGCCTTAACTATTTAAGTCGTTGATCTCATGTGATCTTTTCCCCATGGCGTATCCTTTTAGATTTATTTATTTACTTATTTTCTAATTCAATAGTCGCCGAAAACTGAGTGAATCAGACTGAATCACAAGATTAAATTGCATGGCTACTATTTGTGTCCAAAATATGGAGATACAATTAGCCATAGTTATTTCCACATCGGTAAAATTTCTGGTAGAAGACTATAGACAGTATTAAAAATGTCTTACAGGTTAAGTATCTTAATTTTATGTGCTCTGCAATTAAACCGCCAATTATAATGAACTATCAGTTCATTAATGTCATTGATGCTCCCTTATTATAAACGAACCCTTGCAACAAAGAAAAATGAAACTGCTGTCTGACAAACAGAAGCAAAACAAGACCAGTTTTTTCATTCGTTTTTCAAACATCTCTCTCTCTTTCTTTCTTTCTTTCTTTCGTTCTTGTTTTCTCCCATTCTCTCTTTCTCTTTCTCTTGTTTCTCCTGCATTTTATACTTGTTTGTGTGTTGATGTTTCTTGTGTCTGATGTTAATGTTGATCACCAGATCTTCATTATGTACAATAAACATATTAATTCACCAAGTAGTTTCATCTGTGAGCCTTTTTCTTTAAATTTTCGTGATCAAAATGATACAAAATAAAATATTTTTCAATCTCTACTTTTAAGGTAAGGTGACATTCACTGTTGAATTTGTTTACCTCTCGATATCTTCATGTCCAAAGTATCAACAGGGCATCCTCATCATAGTCATCACCACTTTCAACTGCAAAAGTCTTCTCATCAACCAGATACAATTTCATGCAAAAACGAGCCTTGTGTTAACAACTGGGAAGGCCATTGGATCAAAACAAAACTTCACACAGCCTATTGTTCCAGCTGAGGTGGATTGTATTTTTTAGTCCATTGAAAATAGTCAACAAAACCAGAATCTTCCTAAAATAATTCCAAGCCAACATCAACTCATTGGAATATTCCAAACCATTTATGTTTGAATAGTAAATATTCATAACCAATGTTTAATCCTCCTGTTAGTCGATCTTTTGATGACTCTGAAGCGCCAAAAACCTGTGGCATTGTGCAAGCATTTCCTCAGTGCTTGAATAATATATCCCGTTCTACACCATCACAACACGCCAATAATAACCTGAACGGAAATTCTAGCGCATCAGATGAACCATCTAGACTAAATTGTATTCAGCGAGAAATTGAATGCTTAGCGCCTTCGTCAAATCGTTATTCGTCTTCCAATTCACCGTCTAGCACTGTCAATTCATTATTACCACCATCATCTTCATCATACAGTACCACAAACAACATTAGTAACCACAACAGTTCATTTAAATGCGTTTCCCAGTCCTATTCTCCACCACCTTCACCAACTCCATTGCATAAAAATTCAATTGGCACTTCGCCAATCCCATTAGCATCAGGTCCAGAGGTTACCTCGGATCCCAATTGGCAGGCAACCAAGGCTAATGTCCGTGAAAGAAATGCTGCTATGTTTAATAATGATTTAATGAGTGATATTACTTTCATAGTTGGGCCCAAAGGTTGTCAACAGAAAATACCAGCCCATAAATACGTTCTTGCCACAGGTAGTGCTGTCTTCTTTGCCATGTTTTACGGTGGTTTGGCTGAGAATAGGAATGAAATCGAGATACCTGATGTTGAACCAACTGCTTTTTTTGCACTTCTCAGGTAAACGTGTTGATCTTGAAAAAAAATGGAATAATATTTCTAAATTTCCCCAAATTAGACTGTTTTCATGATCCTGAAAACTCATACCACTTTGTTATACGCTTTAGGTCAAAATGCTTGAGGTCAGAATGTAAGGCGTTAAAAGGAAGCTTTGTCTTAAATCGTATTTATACTTTTACTTTCCTTTTGCATAATCTTAAGTAATAAAATACGGTCAGCAGGAATGGATTTCCATTCGTTATACTTTTTCACTTGAAATAGTAAAACTTGAACATAAATAATCTTCAGGTGTTGGTAATGAAAATAAATGCCAGCCCTCAAATATTGCGAACAACATCGCACAAAACTTTAAAATTCATTTTTGGATTAATTTATCTTCTGTTCAACTTGTAGCTAACCTTGCGACCTCTAAATAATAAGGTTCTTGCCTAACTTTTGTCAGAATTGGATAACAACAAACAATTGAAGTTAATCAGTATTAGGTTAGCTTTAAGGCACGTCGCTATCTTTTATCATTTATATTTATTTTAACAATTGGAATGATTGAATCTGCTCTAAACTCTGTTTTACTCTTAAAATTCATTTTTTGACCTTTTTTGGCCAAAAATTTAGTTTCATTCTTTTAAAGTTATAATTACTCAATTTACAAAACCCAATTTTTTGTTTCATTTCATTCATGTCTTCATTCGTTGATATTTCACGATAACCTGATATCAACAACGATTACCTGGATGTACCGATTTAGAAGCATGATTGGAAAAACATTGATAAACCATTTTTGCTAACCTTGAACAGATTTGGTAGCAATTTCAAAGTTTAATACCAACACCAACTGAATCAAGACTTATATCGTTCTTGAAGCAATTCTGTATTTCATTTATTAAGCTGTATTTTTCCATTTATCCTACGCCTTTCCTTAATTCACTCTCAACTCTTTCCTTAATTGATGAATATTTTTGTTTAGCTAAAATAGTCATGAAAATTGTTCATATTTTCATGTTCAGAAAAGCATCAAATGGTTAGTATTGTTGAGACCTTGAAGAAAATACCGTCTAATTGGATTTAATTTTCTCTTTTGGTAAATTGCTTTTTTCTTTGCCGTGAATCACAATTCAGTTTGGTTTACTTCTCAACATTTTATCCTTTTGTCCGATCCAATCAATTTGATAGCTCATCAATATCAAAAATTGAGTATTTCCAACCTTGCCGCAACTACAAAAACATGGTGTAAATGAGAGGATCAATGACTCTTCAGGGTCTTTTATTACATTTTTGCAAAATTTCAATTTTCTCAAGTTTTTCATGTTTTTTTTAAAAGTTAATGTACAAAAGCCTCCGCTGGTTTAACAGATTGTTAACCTTGTCTGCATCACAAAGCCTCAGCTCTAAACTGAAACAATTCAAATTACATGCTACCCGTTGCTTTACAAAAAGAGTCTTTAATTGTTATTAAATGCGAGTTTTAACCATCATCTTTCAATTTGTGTTGTCTCAGGTTTCTCTTTACCCAATCATTACGATTGATAAGCATGGAGCATGATAAGCATAACAATTTCCAGTAAAATCTGATAAAAACATTTTTCTCAATCAACTCTATTCAACAGATTTAGCTGTAAAACAATAATCGTATTTAAAACTTCAATAGTTAACAAGATTGTTAGATTCTGACCGAGATTGTTCAATAATCTTTCAATGGTAAAAACAAAGGCTGTATCTGACTTTATTACAATTTATCCAGGTGATTATTTTTTAGGTTTTTTTTGGGTTCATTTTGTACTCATTGCCTTCTTATTGTCACTTCGAGGACAAAAAGCATAAAAGCGTATAAAAAGGGTTATTCCTTCTAGAATGATCATCATTATTCAATTACTTTTTCCTTTTCTTCACTGATTTAAAAAAATTTCTTACCTCATCAACTATCACAGCAAAAAAATTACAATTTAACTTAAATACTATTAATGATTGAAAAGACAAGCTTTTTCACTTTCAATCTTTTTTGACCTCAATCTTAGTTACGTTTTGTGTGCTCGTTTTTTTTACTCGTCAATCAATTTTTTTGTGCTCTTGATGTTGAACAGTCTTGATCTAAATTGCTTGGGAAGATTTAACTAAACCTACAATAATTACAATAGAATTGACGGTTTCAAGATTTCAACAAATGTCCAAATTTTTCATTTCCATTACAATTTTTTTAACCTTTCCTCTCAATAAGATGAAAACCAACGTCATTAATTACATGGGGACCCACATGAAGCATGTTGATGGTGAATTGCATCCTAAATGTTTAATTCAGTCTCAAATTTCATCAGCCTTGTGGTTAACAAACATCAATCATTTACAGAACAAGATACTTTTATGGTTAATCATGGCAGCAGCTCAAACAAAGCTAGAAATATCAAAACTAAAAAGGCTTTTACATTTGTTTTTCAATTGTCAACAATTATTGGCAAGTCTAACACAGTCTAATTGGAATGTCCATCAAGACCTAAGAGGTTTTGACCTTACTGTTTCATTAACTATCAACCATTAATTTTACCTAACCCACTCGAATTGCATGCAATTTAATAATGTGTTATTCATAGATTGTTTGTTTGTTTAAGCTTTGATTGTCAGTAAATTGAATGTGTTGAGAGTTGAATGTTAAAACCATTGAAAAATCTTACCAAGATGAATTAGCATCACGCGAATCTTAAACATGCATTTTGAACCGTTGATTATCAATGAATTAACTTCACTTTCTTTGTCACAAATTTCATATTCATGTTCATCTTGGTCAACAAATAACCATCTCATCCTAAATAGTTTCGTGATGTGATTTGAACTTTCTCTGACCTTAAAGTTTTGACCAATTGAGCCTGACCTTGATCATGTTAGTAAATGATAAACAGTCGATAGTTTGGAGTCTCTTCAATTGTATTCAAAATCAAAATGAAAAGATCTCTTTCAAATACAGATTTGGTCAAGTTTAATTAACTTTTATGAATCACTGATTTATCAAACTCGTTATCTAAACACTGCATCTAAACCATTAACAATTTTAGTTATTGTAAGCTCAATTAAAGTATCCAGTTACATCTCAATACCAACTATTAATATTTCAATTAATATTGTAATATTTGCGCCTCAACGATTATTTGTTGTAATCTAATAAGCAACTTGGTTTTTACTGTGAACGAGGCAATTTGAAATGATTCCTGATTAATTCAAACAACTCTATTCCATTAACTCTTGTATGGTTTATTAATTGGTTTCTTTGTTTATATTTTTAGGTACATTTATTGTGATGATATCTGTTTGGAAGCAGATTCGGTGTTGTTGACCCTCTATGCTGCCAAAAAATATTTGGTTCCTCACTTGGCTCGTGCTTGCGTTGAATACCTTGAAACAAGTATAACTGCTCGAAATGCCTGTGTACTCCTCAATCAATCAAGATTATTTGAAGAACCTGATTTGATGAAACAATGTTGGGAAGTTATTGATGCTCAAGCTGAACTCGCCCTTTCTTCTGAGGGTTTTACCGAGATTGACTTTTCAACCTTGGAAACTATTTTGAATCGAGAAACTCTCAATGCTAAAGAAGCTTCCATCTTTCACGCAACCCTTGACTGGGCTAAAATGGAATGTTCCCGACGAAATATTGAACCAACTCCGGGTAATCAAAGAAAAATATTGGACAAGGCAATCTTTCTGCTTCGTATTCCGACCATGACTATTGAAGAGTTTGCCAATGGACCAGCTCAATCTGGATTACTTAGTCTTCAAGAAACAACTGATATATTCTTGTATTATACTGCTCGAAACAAGCCCATCCTATCTTTTCCCACAAAAAAGCGCCTAGGATTGAAGGTTCAAATTTGTCATCGATTCCAGTCATCAGCTTATCGTAATAACCAATGGAGATATCGAGGTCGATGTGATTCCATACAATTCACTGTTGACAGACGTATTTTTATCGTTGGTTTCGGTTTATATGGGTCATCCAATGCCTCGGCAGATTATAAAGTTAAAATGGAACTGAAGAAGATGGGAAAAGTTCTTGCAGAAGATCATACTAAATTTTTCTCTGATGGATCGAGTAACACTTTTCGTGTCTACTTTCAACATCCAATTCAAGTTGAAGCAGAAACCTTTTACACTGCATCAGTGGTCCTTGATGGCAATGAGTTGAGCTTTTTTGGTCAAGACGGATTGAATGAAGTTACTGTTGATAAGGTTACATTCAATTTTCATGTTTCATCAGACAGCACCAATGGAACTAATGTTCATGGAGGACAAATCCCTGAATTGTTATTCTATGGAGCTAGAGATTGATGATTCTAATAAAGTCATTGATGACACGTTACTTTCTTATCTTGTCAAAAAATGATTCAGCCAAACTGTGCTGCTATCCCCGATTTCATGCATTTGATCATTCTAATCATCATTACCCTTCATTGTCTCTTCATCCTGAATGTGTTCTCAATTTTGTAAATTATTCTGTGATCTGTTTTACTTTCCACGGTTCTATTCAAACTGTTTAATCAAATAACTTATTTTAATTCAATATTGTTTCCAATTTACAACCTTTTATATCAATTGTCCTTTTATTCTGATTTCCCTTCAAATACCTCTTATGATCAGACTGTGTACAATACTTCAATATCATTGCACTCAATTGTAAATTAAAATTACTCAATGGATACAAAGTCATTTGATTTCAATTTCAAGTTTAATCAACTTAACAGTGTTTTCTTAACCTTCAAAAGCCTTGTCAATGTAAACTGTAAATTGCTTTAAATTTTTTGACACCAGTAAATTGTAAAATCACAGTGTTATAATAAATTCTGTGGGAAAAAGATTATTTATTGTAATTTGAACAAGGCTAATTGTAAAACTAGCTTTTCAACTTTGAACTCGAGAGTATTGCTTTTAAATTGAGCAAATTTTGAACTGTTAAATGATCCTAATTCAGAAACGTCTCGAAATTAACTGGATTAACGTCTTTTAATCTATACTAAAATGATTTGTTTGCTTTTAAAATAAATATTTAGTCTCTTTAAAATTAGCAGTAAAACAAATGATGAATGTGAATGATCTTTGATTTACCAATCAATTGGAATTAACTGTTTTAAAAGCTGTTCAAACCATAACAAAATTTGAATCAATCAAACGGATAGATATCATTAACAAATGGATTCATCAGGCTTTCAACAATTTACTGTATTGAACAAAAATTTGAACCAAGTGTTTGTTTATAACTTATTGAGGGAGTGTAAAGAAAGTTTGCCTTGAAAATTAGCTCGGTGGGAATAAAGCTTGTAAACAATTGCTTAAAATACACCAAAAATGTTGAAAATAAACTAGAGATAATTCGTCATCATCTGTATCTCTCTGTTTCAATCGCCATCTTTCTTCAACTTGTAAGCTTCTCAACAGTGAATTTGAATAATAATAAATTGAACTTTACCTCACAGAGTCTTGATTAGAGTCTGTGCAATTACAATCAACTATGCGCTGTAAGATAGACTTGGTTAGCTGAAGAAAGCCATAAGATGATAATGATGATGACAGAAGAGAAAGCAAGTCGATCGAATCCAAGGGCACAGTCTAAATTCATTTTGACCCACAATAACTTTCCTTAAGAATGTGTCTTCTCTCTTTTTCTAGACCTCTGTTTGCTTCTCTTTCTTTCACCTCTCAACCTCATTTTGTTTGCTTATTTTTATTCTCTTTTTGTTACAATTAATATTTTTTCTCCTTTTCTACTGATTTACTGTTTACTGTTTCAATTAAATTTTATTGTTATTACATCTCAGTGTTATGATTCAAGTTTAGAAATGAATATTGGTATTTTTGAAAGAAGATCTACTCAAACTGGAAATAGAAACCAAAGAGTAGTTGATGGTAACGGTTACCTTACAGTAGCTCCACTGACTATCTTGTGAACTGTTATTGGATCTTGTTATAAAGTGTTATCGTCTATTTTTTTGGATCATGAACTGTGTACAATTAACGGAGTTACCATCGCCCATTGCTAATCACTTTACCTCTGTGTTAATCGCTGAAAGAATAAAGGAACTGCGACAAGCCCAACAAGCAAATTATGTAACTACATTCATGTTCCTTTCTACCTTGTCTGTCCTGTAACATCATTTACATAATTTTCTCACTACTATTATTGAAATTCAAATCAATGTTGACCCATCAGATTAATTTATCCTGTTGATTACTCAAGAAAGATTTATTCCAATTGTTTGACCTTAAAACATGTTTATCACACAGATTTGGCAAAAAGAAATATTCTCATCGATCTCCTATTTTTCACCAGCTTCACCTCTGACCGAATTCCCATTGAATTGTTGCTGTTTACCTAAAAAAGAATCTAAAGACTGTTATTGAAGATTAATTTACTGGAACTGTTTACTATCCCAACTCTACTATTTGGAACCTGGTCTATCTGGCCCACCACTTGATTTATATTTTGTCGTCTGTTAATTTTCATATTTAGCTCAATGGTTTCAATCATCGTTCACTCGACCCCAAGCAATTCTAATTGTTCCCCGATGGCCGCAAGTCCTCTAGTTTTCAATACTGCGAAACAATTAACTCTATTATTGATCGTCACCATATTAACCTTATCTCTAATACTATGGTTAACTGAGTTGGATCGAATCCATTGCGTTGATGAACTGATACATGATAGGAAATTTATTTCATCTCTAACAACAAATTCTCATCCATCAAATTCAGTATCTACTTCGTTTCTTCCTTTCAGATCAGCCTTTTCATCGCCCATTTCATCATCTGCAAGATTCACGTTAAAAGCAGAGTCGCCATTGCTCATTTGTCTCATTTTTTGTTATTGTATAATCACATTTTTCTTCAACTCATCCTTCCACTGACTTCAATCTAAAGCCATGTTTAAAGTACCATCGGATTTATACCATCATGTTTCAAAGGAGCGCTGATCAGATGAGCAAATAAAGTAGCAGATTATATACAAAGTTGGTCTCAAGAAATTTTATCTAACGCCGCCATTTTCACCTATTGATTGAATATAAACCTAATCATTTTTCTCTCTACAAAGATCAACAAAATCTTATATTGAGTTAGCAAAAAAACTACAGAACAATATATAAATACTTATTGGATTAAACTTTTTGAATATTGTTAAATCAAATCGAGATTGTATAAAAAAAGAATTAAACTTTATTTCACATGATTCCTTTATTTTGGTCTCTATCGATTCTATCATCTCTATCTTTTGGTTGATGGCTGATTATCCTAGAGGATTGGGTGTTTTCAATTACAAACAGAAACCTTTATAAATCAATAGTAAAAATTCACCAGCAATCAATTACAATTTCCTCTAACAAGAAAATTACAAGAAAAAAATCATTGAAACCAAGATACGAACCTTGCCCTCCTGTCGAGCTTGATTTTGTCACAAATCTTGTTAATTTTACTTGTTTAATTTACACTGGTCTGTAAATAATTCAACTATTGTCCTCCAATAAGCAATTTTAGTAGGAAATTAATCAAGAAAAAGTAAGAAATAAATTAGTCAATTGTTAATTAAACCTTTTCCAAAAAATAGATGAAAATTGCTAATTTTGCAGATTTCATTTTCCCTCCTTAACTAACATCCCGCGGTAACTTAACCAAACTAAAATGGCTGTGCGTTCATCACCCTCTATGAACAATTTAGAGCAGTCATTCTACAATTAAAGCTTAAGGTCGGATAATTTAAGTAGCCAATATAAAATTATAGTCAAAATGGCCATTGCTGAAGACGATGTTAAACATTTCTAACCATAGTTTAACATAAGAAGATAGATATTTTCATTTAACGTCTTTTATTGCAATTTAGCCTCATAGTCTTAAGTCTCTTCTCAAATAGTTGCGAATGATGACCTTATTAAAATGGTCCATCTCTTTTTAACCAAAGCACTGGCAAAACATTCTGAGATTCACTGCCCAACGCAGATCAACATATCTGTGCTTTCAATATCGTCTGATGCATTCATACCACTTGCTTTCTCTTCTGATTGACTTAGCCCTTGTAAAAGGTTAACAGCAGATATCCCTAGCTTCTTAAGGTCTCTGTTTAATTTTCATTTTGTCTTTCTTTAATACTAATACAGGCCATTAGTAAAAGGTTTATTTGTGGTAAACAAAGAAAGCATCAAAACAGATCCTACAGAGACATCAAGTGTTCTTAATCCACCTTACACCTTACTGTATTTCAGTGTTGAACACAGAAAACATGAAATTCAGTTAATAAATAATTCTGTTAAGTGCACAGAGGGTTCACTTTATTGTTCACATGAAAAAATCAATCATTAAAAAAATTAGACAATTTGAAATAAAGGAGAGGGAAAAATATTTCTCACTTTCGTCTTTGAACCCTTCTCTGTCTATTATTATGTCGACGTTAGTAACCTCTTTCTGTCTCCCTCTTTCTCCTTTTCCCTCTTTCTTTATTTCGATTTAACTCTGTCTAACTACTGCTATGACTAACTGTTCACTGTTTTTTTTCTTCTTCAATTCTTCTGGTACTAAAGATTCTGTTGCTTTTTTCAATAAAATCAAGCCTCTTCGTTTGTTGTTAGATGTTGTTCATCTCCATCTTGATTGTCATCTTCATTAAAAAACATCATTGATGTTACATCAATATCGTCATCATCTTCATCCAACCAATCTGTTGACCAGAAATCCTTATTAATTGTCATTGGCTCTTTTGCTGTTACACAATTTTTCAAATTAAGCTTTATCCAGCAACAAGGTAATCTTATAAAATTTTAACTTTCCTTTTTCATTATTTTTCATATTAATAATTTGTGGTCTATTTTTTTGTGTTTTGTGTATCTATTTTGTGCTTAGTCGTGAACAATGGAAGATGATAAAAACAAGTCAGATTTTGTCAATGAGTATCAAATGATGGTGCAAGAATTACAAAACGAGTTGGATGACCTAAGTCTGAACAAGGATGCTGTTGAACAAGCCATCAACGAACAATACCATTCAATAAAGGCTGCTCTTGACAAATGTTACAAACAAATGCTTGATGATTTGAGCAAAGTACATCGCGAGAAAAGGATGCAATTGTGGGGACAGATTGATCGATGTGAAAAAATTTCAGAAAAGATGTCCAATCAGCGCGATGGTCTTATTGAAGAATTTGTTGAAGGTACAGGTGGTACTAATGGTGATGGATCCAAAGATAGTGATCTTCTGACATCCTCTCAAAGCTCACCACCAAGCTCTTTTCTTGATTTCACCCATGAGTCTAGTCCTGTTGGCGTTAATTTAAAAAATTTAAAGTTGACTAATGGTAAAGGGGATCAAATTATATTTAACCCTGTCGACATTGCTTCTGTAGAATCAATGCTGATACCTAACTTGTTTGGTACCTTAAAAACTCAGGAAATTGATGAATCTGATCTCGAAGAGAACCCATGCTTTTCATTTCCGGCTGATGTAACTACTCAAACAGCTCGATCTCTACCAACTCTTGCACCTCAATCATATAACAATAGCGTCAATGTAACTTCCCCTGTTTCATTGCCTCGCTCTGGGCCTATTGCTGTTCCAAATAATTCCAACTCGAATCATCTCGATCTCAATGATTACATAACTCGAGTCAATCTCACTAAATTGGCTTTTTACAACGAGAACCCAGCAGCTGCTGCTGCCGTCATTCAACCCCGTTTGTCGTCGATCTCATCATCTATATCAAACTCTCCTTCGCCTCAACCTTTGATCTCCAATTCATTTGTGCCTTACGATAACTCGGGCTTAGCCATGAGTGAAACTACTGTGAACAGCTTAAACGATCTTGCCAAATTTCCATCTCCTAATGGTATTGAAACTCAACCTTCAACAAACTTTCCTTTTCGAGCAAGCAGCGCACCGTCTGCTGGCCCTCTAGTTTCTCCAGTGCCACCCCCTTCAGTTCCTGCAGTTTCATCTTTGAATCCAGTTGCACTGGGCACTAACAAATGCAATGTTATGCAAATAAGGTGCAAATTTGGTCAACTGGGTTCTGCTATCGGTAATTTCTCATCACCACATGGTTTTTGTCTTGGAGTTGATGAAGATATTATTATTGCTGATACAAATAATCACAGGATCTGCATTTTCGACAAAAATGGAGAGTATAGATTCCACTTTGGTGTTCAAGGAAAGGAAGAGGGTCAACTTTGGTATCCTCGAAAGGTTGCCATGATTCGCACACCATTCCTAGGCATAACTGCGCCCCGTTATGTAGTTTGTGACAGGGGCACTGAAAGAAGTAGAATGCAAATTTTCACTTCCAAAGGACAGTTTATCCGTAAAATTGGCGTTCGTTACATTGATATTGTTGCTGGATTGGCAATCACCCCTAAAGGCCTAATTGTTGCTGTAGATTCAGTTTCCCCCACTGTTTTTGTTATAGCTGAGTCTGGCGATTTGTTACGTTGGTTTGATTGCTCTCCTTATATGAGAGAACCTTCAGATATTGCTGTTAACGGAAAAGAGTTTTATGTTTGTGATTTCAAAGGAAGCTGCGTTGTAGTCTTCGGAGAAGACGGAAAATTTAAACGACGAATTGGCAAAGAGAAAATTACAGATTATCCTAACGGAATTGATTTTTCGGATGCTGGAGATATTTTAGTTGGAGATTCTCATGGTAACCGCTTCCATGTTGTTGTTTTTGACAAAGCTGGTAATTTTTTGAGTGAATTTGAGTGCCCTTATGTGAAAGTTTCTCGTTGTTGTGGTTTAAAAATTACCTCAGAAGGATATATTGTTACACTGGCCAAAAACAACCACCACGTACTTGTTCTCAACACATTATATGTAACTTAATCAAGAAGAAACCTAAAAGGATTAATGGATACAAATCAAAATTATTGTATAAAAAAGAAGATCACTCATACACTTTTATTTTTAACAAACATATACAAATATTATATAAATGCTACTGATGTTTACGGAAAAAGAAGCAAATAATTAAAAACCTATATTGGTATAATTTATGGGAAAAGATTGTTAACTCGATGACATTTTTTGCTTCCTTTACCACACTTTATTATTTACCCTTTAAAGTATTATAATTATATTTTCTTTCTGTACACTGATTTAATTGTTTTTGGCTTTTTTGTAACTTATTCTGTGTCACTCCGTATTCCTTTTTCAATATTTTTTGATGTTTATTTTTTCCTTTTTTTCCTAATCTGCCGATGTTACTTTTGAAAACCATCCAATGCAGATTGGTATCAATCATCAATGTGTCACAGATAACAAATCTTTACTTATAAAATTTCTTTTGTTTATGAAATTATTGTCTAACATTTTCTCCAATCCATTCCAGATACTCTGTTACTCGTGTATAAACTCCTGGGTAACCCGGTTGAGCACATCGGTTACCAAAAGAAACGACTCCATAAATTGTCCATTTCAAATTAGGATCAGAGACCATCAAAGGGCTTCCTGAGTCACCCTATGAAAAGGAAGAATTCAAACATTAGAGAACAAATGGGTTTTAGGAAAATTTTACAATTTAATCATTTCTCTTGGGATCAAAATTTATCTTAGAAATTTTCTTATCTCATCAAATCTTAAGATAGTTTAGCTTATCAATTGGAGAAAGAGTTTCTTACCTGACAAGCATCTTTACCACCAGATAAGTAACCAGCACATAAAAAATTTTTGTTAATTGGTTGAAAGTATTTTTTATCACAGTCTTGATTGTCCCAAATCGGCATTGAAACCTGTTGAAGGATACCTGAACCTGGACCACCATAATAGAGTGTGCCCCATCCAAGAACCGTTGCCATGTAACCTTTCAAGTCTTTTGTTCTGGATTCACCCAAAGGCAAACAAATTGGTCTAACAAAATCATCTATTCGTGCTCGCCCTTGAATCCTAATCAATCCAATATCATTGAAAAATCCATGTCTTTGAAAATTTGGATGCTGAGAAATGGATCGCACTTTGAACTCTTGTGGAACGGCTCCATCATCGTCTCGATATAAATGATTATCACCTAATCGTATGGTCAATTGTTGTGTTACATACCTTAAAGAAAGAATAATGGAAACCATTAGATGGCAATAGATATTTCAAAAAGAAATTGATTCTTTATCATTTCACTCTTATCCATCATTCATTATTATATGGCCATTCTTACTTGAATCCTCGAGGATCTGAAAGACAATGAGCAGCAGTTAAAATGTATTCCTCATTAATCAATGCTCCACCGCACCAAAATTCACGACCTTTTGGTTTATCCAAAAATATGGCTGCCTGAATAAAGAGAATCGTATACAATTGATTATCTCATGCAAGTTACAATTAGTTAACTTACCATCCAAGGCCATTGACCTGTGCGAGCATCAAAACCACCAACAATCCGACTATCTTTACCTGATATACCACAATCTGTAAAGCATAAAAAAAAGTAGTTTTATAGTTTGTATTGAATTTGTTCAACGCTAACTAATTGTGGCATATAAGTCACAATTTAATTTAATATTTTGATTCATAAAAAAACCAGAAAGTGAATCTAAATTTACCTTTATAAGAAACAGGTAAACTATTGTTAGTAAAACTTGAAGGTGTTGTAGTGATGAGCTGATTATTTGGTCTTTTTGTTGTTGATGTTGGCTGTAATGACGAGGGTGAAATTGTTGTGGACGAGCTTGAAACAAGTGCTGTTGATGAAGACGCAGTTGTTGAAGATGTTGACGAAACAGTCCAAAGTGGTCTATTGATTGGTTTATTAATAGTTTCATAATGACTACCACCTGAAGAGGATGAAGGCTTATTTGTTATTAAAATTGATGGTCGATGAGTTGTTACAGATGCTGGAATGCTTGGATGAGAAACTATTGGTTGACTCGGCGAAATTTGATGATTAGATGTTGATGGTTGTGAAGTTAAAATGGGTGGTTGGCCATTTGGTGGTGGATTCGGTGTCTTATGGTAATAAATAATAAAAACAAATATTAATTATATCAATACAAATGAATTTAAATTATGATTTACCTGAACTCCTGGCATCGGAGAGGGACAACAGACTCCGGGAAATAAAAGGTTACGGAAACAAACTGATTGGCGAAGTCTTTGAACATCAAAAACAAGCCAAATGCATCTTCTTATATCACCACATTCACCAGGAATGCCATCAGGAGTGCGACAAAAATTAATGTTGAATCCTGAAAACAGGGAAGCTAAGAAGGAAAATAATCAAATCAATTAATTAATCTCAATAAGTAATCGAAAGATGAGACTTACATTGTTTTGCCGTTCGATTTTGTGATCCATTGACTGTTGAGTGAAAAAATATCAACACTAATAACAACACTTTAACTAAACTATGAATTGAAAATAATCCTTTTTGATTGTGAGTGTTGAAAATGTATCGTTGGATGAACATTTTGCAATTAATCAGATTGTTGTCTTAATTTTTATGTACAACGAGGTTGAAAAATAAATATTGAAAGTTTGATTGAAATAATGGAAGGAAATTGAATCAAAGCCAATAATCATTATTTGCAGATTGACACATTAACAAGTAAACTCACTATTATCATCTTGATCAGGTTTAACATCACTATGATCATCACTGATTAACTCAAATGATGATCCATTTTTGATTAGATGAAATTATATGTAAAGAAATGAATCAATTTGAATGGCAAAACGTTTCTTTTTAATTGTAACACCACTTTAACCTGAAACATGGACAGGTATAACTAACCAAAATTAAAACGGAAAGATGAAACTCAATAAATTAACTTTGAATTCAATTTAATTTCACTTTTTTTGTGTTCACTTTCAGATTGCACTTGAACAAAGTCATCAACTGTTTACAAGGAAATCCCATATAATTTGGAAACAAACTAGTTAAATGTTGACAGTTGGAAAGTTGATTAACATGTTGATGGTTCAACAGTTAAATTGTTAATGCAAATGGTTTCAAGATTCATCGGCTCTCCCGCTTGTGACCTCGATAATTGTTATCATCATTGAACCTCCCGTTACAATTTGACCTACAAAATGATTACTATTTTTTGTGATTAAAAACTCTGCCCACTTTATTCACAATTTAACACTTTACAGTTAACAAGATTCTTTGTTACCAAATTAAGGCCTCAACAAAACCCTTTTAGCATCACGCTTATGTGATCATCACTATTATATGTAATACAATCTGTATTAAAGTAACTATTATCAATATAATTATTGTCATCTAAAAGATGATTTACCATCTTAGAGTATCAATGATATTAATTTCAGTAAAAGCTTCATTTGCTTTTAAAAATCTGGTTTCTTTGGTTGGTTTTGATGGTTTTAATGGTAATTTGGTTGAGATTTTGTATTTTATTGGAATAATCAAATCATAATTCTGGTAATAATTGATATAATAATGTGTGAAAAGGTTCTTCTTTGACAAAAGTCAGGGTAAATTTGGAATCAAACAAGCATTAAATTGTCAACACTTCATAATAGACTCGTTAGTATTTTTGTTACACCTTTTTTGTTGATTATTACCTTCCTTGTTATCCTCGTCAACCTTTTAAAAAATATATATTTTTACAATTGAAATGCTTTGTAAGATTATTTTAAAGCAAATGGGAACATCACTTTTAATATTGACGTATTTATACCAAAATTAGCAGCAACTCAAAATCAGTTTATTAATTTATCTGATCTTGTTGGTTGATTTTCATCATCTTGTTCAACTCAACTTGAACAGATTAATTGCAAGAAAACTGAGTTTGCTTGTTTACAATGTCAGCAGATTTCAATTATTTTGAGAATCAGTTAATGACATATTAGGTCAAGTTTGACCGTTTTTTTTAAATCAAAGATCAAGTTAATTATTTCAACTTTCTTTCGACATCATTGGCCGTCATCAGCTAATGCTCCATTAATATCACTCATCAAATCAGCCAAGTTTAGTGATATAATTAGAGCTCTGATCCGGATACTTGGTTATTCAGAACTTTAGAGATTCCCTTTAATTGGCTGCGGATTTCATTGATTGCTCTGATCAAGTGACAATGCATAAATCCATTGGTTTCATTTCCAAGTGATTTGCTTCTGATTGAGTGTCGATGGATTTGTTGAAGTAAACCTCCATTTGGACGGCTGTACCAAAGTCACCAACAGCTTTTGTTTACTGTGAGATCGTTTTGTTAACATCAAGCCGGATTGATTTTCATTGATAATAGAAGCTGTTGTTGATTCATGGCGATGAATTGGTTATGAATTGAACAATGAAGACAACAAATAGTCGTATCAAATGGAGTTATAAAAGACTTAGCACTCTCACCTCCAATCCACTTAAAAATCTTTCATCTTCAGAGTTTATAAGATGAAAGTGTATATCCTACATTTTGTCTCTTCATAAACTCGTTCAGTCGACCATTAAAGCAAATTGTTGACAATTTTTCATCATATTTGTTTGAATTAAACAAATAAGATAAAGAAAGGATCAAGAAAAAAGGTTTGAAATGAAAATGAAAATAAAGAGTTTTCACTGAACAGTCCTTTTGATGTCAACAAACTGAGATGAAAAGTAAAATGAAAGCAAAATAAATTTTCTTGAACTTGATTTAACTCAAATGGTTCAATATAATGTAAAAATGAGTTTGGTTTCATGTAAAACATTTTTCAATACGAATCAATCCTTTCAGAATTTCAAGACACTTTCTCGTCTATTTTGATACAAGTATTCTTTCTTTGATCCAGTCTGAACAATCTTACGGGAGGGAACGAAATGAGAATCACTTTCATCTGAGTGATGATGCTTATTACTGTTGTTACTCTCTTCAATCCAACATTTAACACAAATTATAACACCAACTTTAGATTTCATTAGTAAATTTCCACAATGAGGACAAACATCAGTTAATAGACAAAATCCTTGGAGTAACAGGGAAGCAAGTCTTTGGGAAATATCATCATAATTAATAGACGTTTTTATCGATAAACACAATCAATACAAGTTAAAGAGTAGTTAGTTGATGGACAAAATAAAAAGGTCAAGCAAAATCACCTTGAAATCGCTTAAAGTCCTTAAAACCTCTCAATAAAGTATGATAACCTTTTGTAGAGTTTTGTTTTGTTCAATAGGAAAGCAATGAAGCCTTTGTCTTGTTTTCTTCGTTTTAACTGTAATATTCGACAAGACAAGACCTTCGAAATATTATTAATTTTTTTCTGACCTGGGCGACTAAAGGTCAGTTGTCTCGACTTGCTTCGATGTATTTTCCAACCTTAAGTTTGAAGCTTACTCGAGAATGAAGTTTGTGAAGTTTAATGAGATTTTTATCTTTATCTGAATCTTCGTGATACAAAATAACTTTCAAAAGTACAGAGCTTTGAGTTATGATATAACTGATGGATTGATATCATCAGAAACAATTAATATCTCAGTAGATGTAATAAAGCACAAATTGCGCGCAATTAGTTCTCATAATTCAACAGTTCCCTTGTTTTAGATTCAGCGCCATCTATGATTTATAAAGAAAATAGATAATATTTAGTACTACCAGATGGCTCTACTTGTATAACGAAAATAATTTTTAATTTTTCCGGTTAAAGACGTTAACGTCTAATTAAAATTGTGTTTTTTCTAATTAATTAGTGAAATATTAAAAACTTTCTGTATAGAGTGGACACGTTTATTTTGCTCGTTTTGGCCCTTTACCGTTGACTAAAATTCTGCACCATATCCGATTATTAACGCTATTCAGAAGTGGGTAGAGCTGTGCTGTATTTATAATCCAGATTGCGATGTATTGATCCAGCTAACTCAAATTCAGCTTATTAAAAGGATGGAAATGAAGATGATGAAAGTGTGAAATATAAAAATACCGATAATTATCTATGATCATTCATAGGCGCCTCTATTGTGACAAAGTTGCGCCTTTAAGAATGTACTTCTCATATGCAACCAATTGAAGAACCATTGAGTTTATGATTGAAATTGAAGAGTAATGAATAAAATGACAAGTTTGAGATTTGATTACAATTTAATGTTGCTAAATAAACTACAATTGATATAAATAGTGATTGAGAGTATTAAAGTAGAAAAATGGAAATTAACAAATGAATGAGAAAATCCGTTTGCATTCTTTTGAATTGAAGCAACTAATTAAATTAATGATAATCAATGAAAAATAATACAAATGACAAAATTGATGAGAAATAATGAAACAATCAATAATTGACTAACAATAATGGGCAAAAAAATACTTGATGAGAGTGATTTTTATCAATTATTATTACATTATGAGTTAGGAAAGGTATAATTATTGACAAAATAGACTCAATAATAATTATAAATAATGTTATAAGCTGATTTTGTAGCATTCATTTCATTATTTTGTATTGAGTTTACCAGATTCAATACAAATTATCACTTGAAACAAATTCCAATGTCTACAAATTGCTCAAATTGACAAGCAGTGAGTATTAAATCATTAAATTGGTGAATTCAAGTAATCAGTAAATCTTGATTCAAATAGCTTCTAGTTTTGGCTTTCCAAATGAGACTTCAAATGAGATTGAAATATTGTTGATTCTTGGTGAAAATAATGATCTTATAGGAACATCTGATTACTTCAATTGTTTTCATCAAAAACGTGAGGCAAGACTTGCAAATATCTGTGTTATATAATCAGTCAGTTTAACAAGATCTCTCAGTAAAAGGTAATCTCTGATCATTCGTCTTGAAGCATCAGCAATATCACGATACTCTTGAGTCATTACTTCAAATTCAATGTGTTTATCGGGTTTAATGTTTCGATACCACATTCCGAGTTGAATTTCACACAACAATTGACTTAGTTTATCTTCGATTTCTCGAAATTCCTTTATCATCTGGCCTTCATGAAGAGCTTGATCCAAAAGCAGCTGTTCCAGGCCAATGGCAAAGTACTGTAAATACTGGAAACTCCGACGGAATGCGTCTTCTTCCTGGAAAGATAATAAAACAAATTGATTGAATAAAAGAAAATATAATTGAAAATTCAAAAAAATTCAAATGCATTTTTAAAATTGATTATTTTTGTTTAGATTTTTCAGTAAATCTCGATAAAATTCGTTTCGAGAAACTTGTAAAACTTTGGCTTTTCCCATCGATTTGCCCTTCGATTGGATTGGAAAATCTGGGAGAACAGTTTCTTTTTCAGTTTAATTCAATCTAATGTAACACATTCGAATGATTTCGAGCAGCTGAGCTTCGCGTTCTCAGCTTTAAAGTTTATCGACAGAACTTACCTCAATTGTGGCGATGTCTTCAATTGAGTTACTTATTTCTGGAAGCCAACTATGCCTTAAACTGTCCAAACCAGATTCAAAATCTTCATCGCCAAGCATCTGAACCTAAGAAAAAATGAAAAGAAGGTAAAAAATTTTATGAGAAAAGTTTTGTTCAATTCTGATGCTCAATACCAATTCAGTTGCCGTAAAGTTATCAAGTCTTCAAGTCTCTAAATAACATCAAACTTTGTTCAGCTGCAGTTATTTAAATATCAGTCAAACATTTTCCATGTAAAATTCATCACAGTTATTCCAATCAAATCTATTGGTTATGAACTTTCAATGCATAATTTAACCAGCAACACGATTAATCAAGCACATTTTCTGAATCCATCAATAAATTGCAATGGTCGAAACCCAATCACTAAAAGTGAGTTATGCATATTTATTGATGGCCTTCCATTGAATTTTTGAAGAGCTTTTGGATTGTGATTTTTCTGTTTTTATAATAGTGAAATCGCTAAAATTATACATCTTGACCTTAAGTTTTGTATTTAAAGCATTTTTGTAAAAATTTAAGAAATAAGAATACATTGAATAAAAGATGGAATCTTGAAAATCTTTTGAATATATTCAGTAACATTCCCTTATGCGCGTATACAATAATGAATTGGGCATTTATTTTGAGCCTCTTCGTAGGTTTGATGAAAAATCAAATAAAAACTTGACTAACGAAATTGACAGATTCATTTGCATAAATTAAATATTTCAAGATATTAGAAAACTAAAAAAATCTTAGCATTGAAATGGACTTCAAAGTTATAAAAGGCGACTTGATGAAGTTAAATGTTCACATGTATTCACATTTACATTGCATTGTAATCTCGATAAAATAATTCCAAGGAACTAAAAAAACCAATCGGACGACTAACTTAGGTAATAATTAGATTGAAATGTCTGTTAATTTCATTTTAGCCAGAAATATTGACTTTTCTTGGTAAAGACTGTCCTCAAACTATCCTTACTCTTGATAATTTTGCATTTCTTTGGAATTCTGGTTCTGGTTATGATTATTATTGGTGAATGAATAAGGTCGAATGAACTTCTGCAGGACTTCCTTTATCCAAATGGGTGTATCGTATTCAATCTAATCTGCCCTAATTCGAAGAAAATATTTGAATATTCAATTGAAGTCGATAGCCACTTATCAGAGTTAACGGGATTCCTATTTTAATCACAATCAACTTTATCAAAGAGACATGCATTATTTGTCAAATTGCCCCTTCTCATAATGAACAAAGTTACTGACATTTCGCCGGAAAACAAACTCATAACTGTCAAAGGATCAGAAAAAAATATTTATAAACTTTAATGTAATTCAAATGTAACTTGAACTTAAACTTTAAACCACGATTTGGGGATTATCTTGAGAAAAATGAATTTTCTTCAAGAAATGGTATTAATTATGTTCAATGAGAATTAGCATTTTGTTCAATTTTAACTGTTTCAATTGGAAATGCAAATTAATTTTGTAATCAATAATCAATAAAATCAATCAACTTGTTACATGAAGAAATGAAAGTCAATTGAAACAATGAAACCAATTCTTATATTATCTGGTTCTAGGAAATAAAATGCTGTTACAACAAAAAGGGAAGTTTAATGTCCAATGACCAATCAATTGGTTTTGGTGTTGAGCAAGAAGGTCATTAAAGTTACCTTTGCTCGAATTTTTTTCAAACTTTGTTTTTTTGGGAGGAAAAACAATTATTTCAAAATCAATAATCCATTTTATGTACAACTTATCTCTGTGATGAATACAAATGCCGAAAGACAAAGCACAGTTTCCATCAAATAAAACACCTTTAATGTCTTTTCCTCACTAATCCAACTTACAATTTACCAAAACTAATATTATAACAAGCAATAGTAAAAATTCCGACAAACATCATTAGCTCGTGTCCAATCTGAAAATGCATCCAATCAAAATCTGAATTCATTAAACCCACAAAAATGCATGCAAATCAATTCACCGAAAATCTCGGTTTCTCAATTCGCTTTTCTTTCACATTCATATTCTGGTGCTAAAATAATTCGCAAAACGATTACTCAGAAATTTATTTAATTCTGGTGAGAATTGAAAAAAGATTGAACATGAAACTGAGAATATTTCATGTTTACTAAAATCTGTGAAAATCCCAAAAAGCTATTTGCAAAAGTTTACTGATTACTTTGCAAATTTCCCACTTTTCTCTTAATTACAAAAGCTATTCTTTATTGCTTTCGGTTTTTCACCCAATTTCACAGTCTGGGATAAAAACCCAATGACCAGTTCAACATGGAGTTTTGTCTATCCATGAATTTGAATGAAATATGGAAAAGTGATCGACCTCTAAAGTTATCAATAATATCGACAGATTTTCCCATTTCTGTCTAACTACCAATTTTCAAATCAAACACTTGCAATCTTATTACAGTTATGTTACTGCTAATATTTACTGTTATCAATTCTACTAGCTATTGTGTCAACTTGATCAAATTATTGATTAACGTGAATGTGATTAAAATTTGAAACAGTCAAGGTTAGTTCATGAGAATCAAGTTCCTGGGCAAAATACGAATGAAACTGAAACAAAACATAGAAAAGTGTCCAATCAAAGCTGTTTGTTTTGGATAAATTTTGGGTTAAATTGCAGTCAACTAACTAAAGTCTAAACATTTAAACCTAAAAGTAGAGTCAACCTAAAAATGATCAAAGATTGATGTCTTGACCCTTCAAGAAACAGTTGATTAAAGTTAATCAAGATGATCAAGTTGGTTAAATGATAAACATGAGGACATGAGAATGGATTAAATACAGAATTTGTTAATTAAAATCGTTCTTCTCAAGAAGCTAATCATGAAAGGATTCAACGAAATTAAATTAACTTAAAAATCTCTCTTTTCCAGAGTTCATTTTTTGGTCATTAATGGTTTTAATGTAATCCTTCAATTGACACTGGATTTTCAATGCAAAACCAGACTCTAATGGTTGATGGCCAATGACCTTTAAATGGTTTGAAAAAGGTTGGTTGACAGTTTATTGAAATGCAATCAGATTGTATCTTAATTATTTACTGGTTAAGTAAACGATTAAACCAGTGAATCCAATTAAACTTGATTTGTACCTTTGAAAGAAGAGACCAAAATTGAAAGAAAAGGCAAACTCTATTAACAATGAGATACAAATTTGTAGACACTTTCAACACATTAATTAAACTCACAGTTATTAAAATGACTCAATAGATGAACCCAAATTCACCAGAATTTCATGTTTTTTGACAACAACAAAAAAGATACAAAACTCGGTTCACTTCAATCAATTTACACTTGAACACACCTATTTCTTGACTCCATTTAAATAAAACACAAATATATTAGAGGTAAGCAAATTATCTTACCAATGATTTATTATTGTATTTACAAGATAATTGAAAACAAAATGCAATCAAATAAATGGTTTAACTGTGAAACTAATCAGGATAAGTAAAGTAACCTCACAGACAGCTAAGCTGATACAAGCTCAATTGGAAAACTTTTTGTTCCCAATCAACAGTTTTTATGAAATAATGTTTTACCTTTCCAACAAGATAATCAGGATTAATCTGGTAAACAATCAATGAAATTGCAACAAAAAATTTTCTCATTTACCAACAATTCTGGCTTTTGTTTCCATTTTTATCGACTTTTGCTCATCTAGTTTCATTGTAATAACTTTGCGCACTAAATGATAATCAAAGACAATGTGATTTAAATAGCGATTCCACTATTTAGGTTAATTATCAGATGATTGGCTCAAGTCAAGTTCAAATTGAGAATCAAGTAATCACAGTTGTGAGTAAACATTAAATGATATTTACATTTGTTGATCGTAAACGTGTTTGTATTGATTTTTTGTTCAACATTTGTTGTTGTTCACTTTTGCTGCAATTTTACTTTGCATTTCAATGGTTGAACCCTTTAAGCGACCAAATTTTTGTTCATTATTCAATAAAATTAATGGTTATAACGATTAGAATCACTGAGAATTGAAGTTGCAATTTTGTTAGCAACTTTCTTTCATTCATTATTATAATACAATTGACTTTTCTTCTTCTTCTTCCAATCATACATTTCTGTTGATTTATGGTTTACATTAACTAGGCAACTTTTATTGATTGCTTTTAATTGCAATTGATCTTTACTTACAAAGTTCCGTCTGATTCTTTCAGCGCAACCCTTCATCGCCTTGGCTCGTCGGTAAACCTTTTCATAAGGTTCAGGTAAAGATGTTTTTGATGGAATGAAGTAGAAGGGAAGATTACATGGACTGATACGATGAGGTGAATGAGATGAGATGGATGATGAAGAGCGATGGTGGGATGAAGTCGCATAATTTAACGGTTTGCTCATTATTTGATGTAAAACGGTGGTTAGAGTTAAAACTGGATGAAAAAGCCAATGAAAAGGGTAAAGGATTTGGTTAGCTTTTAGTGTTTGACATTTGAAAGGTTAACTTTGTAAAAGGTTTGATCAACTTACAGATTAATTGAATTGCTTTGAATCTCGATGAATCTAATTGCCTCCAAAAGAGTGTGAAAAAGTTGCAACCAAAAGTTAATATAGTTTGATATGATTTCATTGTTGTAATATTTTGTAAAAGGTGTAACAATGCAAAAGATGTAAACAGAGAAACAAATAAAACAAAAATAAAAACAAAACGCTCAAGTTGAATCAAAATGTTTATAATCCAATTGACCGTTAAAATAACGTTGATAGTGTTTTACAGGTGATGGTAAAGTTGATCAATTTGTTGATAAACATTGTTGATGTTAACATTGTTTGGGTTAAACAGTAAACGGTAAATGGTTCTGGTTGAATCACTTGATCAATCTCGTTCGCGGGTTTAACTTTGACAAACTCAAGGAACAAAAAAAAGTGTTAAGATGACGATGATGGTGATGACGAGAAAAGAGGGAAGATTGAGAAGAGAAATGTTGAGTTCTAGGAGGAGAAAGTGGGTTGGAATGAGATTTGGTTGGGTCGACTATTGGACTTGCAAAATCGGTACGGTTAGTTACGGTAATTAAATGTGTCTAAAAAAGTTTGAGTTACTTTTTTGTGTTGATCATTTGTTGGTGAAGTTGCATGTTGTTTAACAGATGAAGGAGGAGCTCGAACATCGTAAACTGAGGTCTTGAAAAAAGGTAAAAGGTCTTTGGATTTGCGAAACGCAAATTATAGCAACAACAGTAAAAAATAAAAGGTAAAAGGATGATGTTGGTTGGTTGATGATCAACACTGAGGTTAAACTGTTGTTTTGAGGAATCAAAATAATTTTACAGAAAAAAAGGGATTCTTCTTCTTCTCTCCTCTTTTTTCAAGCATATATCACTCCAGGTAATTCTTAATTCTCTTTTCAGGATCGTCTGTGATTATTCTGTTTTCTGCTCCTTTTTGTCTCGCACTCGTTCATTCAGTTGTTAATTCACTCTCTCATTGCAACTCATTCACTCTCATTTCACTCAATCAACTCAATTTGCCTTCATTTTTGCTGTTTCCCTCTTCAACTCATGAATTTCAAGATGAATAGGTAATCCCGTTTCAATTCCCTTTGCTCTCCCTCTTCATCATCATTATCGTTCTGTGTCTCACTTCTTAGTCAATGTCCTCACTCACTCACTCATTCAACTAGTTGATCCACTTGCAAATGGCTTGCCTCGCCACAATAAGAACAAGCAAGAAGAAGAAAGTTTGGCTTTCAAAGCCGAGTTGCAATAAGATAACATCAATTTTTTTTGCCTCTTTTCATGATTATATATTTTCTCAATGATTCTGGTTATTCAATGGTCTTCCTACTATTTCATGTAAAACTATCTCGACTCACTTCATCTCCTTGCCAATCTTGTACACACACTCACAACTCTCACTCACACACTCAAGTCTCACTTTATCGAGTGAGAAAACAAAAACAAAGAGCAAAAAATGTGTTCATTTTTCTTCTTCTTCTTCTTCTCTTTGCCGCCTTTACCTTCTCCCTTCCATTTGCGGTTATTGCATTGATGCTCATACAATATCATTTCATTCTGACTTGCATCTGATAATGACCTTCAACTTTCCATTCTGTCAACAGTGACCTTCATTTTTTTTCTTGTTGTAATACATTGTCTAACAGCAAATTACCTGGTAACTGCTTCACAACATTAAACATTTTTCTCCATTGTTTTGCCTTCTCTTGCCTGGATTGGGTCTTCAAACTTGTAATATTAACGGGAAACCTCTTTCTCTTCTTCTCTCATTACCTTCTCTTCCTTTTCGTCTTTCCCATCAAATTTTTCCATTTCTACCTTTTCTGGTCTTTCCCAGATTCTTTACGTTTTTCACTTAAAATTATCATGATAATCATGCTGTCACCAAATGCTGTATCCACTGTTAAACTGTACCAATCATGTTAACCATTGATGATGATATATGTTGACCGTGACCCTGAAAGTAGCCATATTAACCAATTATGGTTGGGTTAAAGTTGAACCAGGTTCATCACAATAAAAGATTAAGAAAAGTAAAAATATGAAAGGTAAAGGTAGAGAGAGAGAAAGTAACTCATGTAGAGTGGGTTATTGAAGGTTAGGTAAGGTTAAGTAAAAATTTTATTTTTTATGGACTTCATTATTGGTTTTGAGATGAACAGACAAAAACAAAATTAGGGTTTACATACTATTTAAATGTGAACACAACTATGATAATAATACGGATGATGATGCCCTAAGGTGACCGGGCAATGAGGGCCTCTCCTTGTGAACAAACTTGCTTTTTAACTGAAAGTTGAGCGGCTTTTGCTTCTCATTTCAATCAACTGGGTAAAAAGGTAAAGTAATGAAAATTTTACAAATTCATTGTCTTCAAGTTGAAATGATGACTTTGTTGTTGTTTAAAGGTAGTAAAGTAAAATAAAATTGATTCCTTGTAAATTGAACATTATTAATGGTGTCTTATGGGAATAAATTATGAAAATTAGTGTAAATCACAAAATAAATGAGCATTTACCTCAACTCCTGGAGTAGGACAACAAATCAGGAAATGTCAGATTAAATGTAACAAAAATTGTTCTGGCAATTTTGGATAAACATTTGCAAGTTGATTAGATTGTCGCATATTTACAATGAACAATTGTTTAGTTTCATTGGAATAATGGAATTAAAGTCAACATTCATTGTGTCACTATTGTCCTCTTGATCAGGTTTACCATGAGTACGATCACTGATTAATGATTCATTTTGGAATAGATAAAATTATAAGAAAAGAATCAATGATGAAATGTTACTTTTAATTGTGAGTGAAACACAAGGTATAACTAACAGAATCAAGGAAATAATTAACTTGGGTTCAATTTAATTTCACTTTTGTTCACTTTCAGATTGCACTTGAACAAAGTCATCATCTGTTTACAAGGAAATCCCAGATAATTTGGAAACAAATTGACCTACAAAAGGATTGCTATTAATAATTTTATTATTAAAAACTCTGCCCACTTAATTCATTATTCAACACTTTACAGTTAAAAATTATTGTTACAAATTAAGGACGAAATATTGTTTTATTAGCAACAGTTTACAAGGGCTTCAAGTTGACTGGGATTTTGATGGTTAGTGTTTTGTTGTAATTATCAAATAATGATTCTGGTAATAATTTTAAAAATGTGGGAAAGGTTTCTACTGACGCAGATCAGGGTAAATTAGTAATCAGTCAAGTATTGAATTGTTAACTTTTCTTAATATTCTTCTTATTATTTACTCTACAGTTTGAAATTTTACATCATTTCTGTTGCTATTGTAAAGGAAGGGTCAAGAAAATAGGTGAAGAAATAAGATAATAGTTTTCATTGAACAGTACTTTTGATGTCAACAAACTGAAGTGAAAAGTAAAATGAAAGCAAAATCAATTTTCTTGAACTTGATTTCACTTGATCGGTTCAATACAATGAAAAAATGTTTTCTGGTTTCAAGAAAAACTTTTTGGAGAATCAAACCTTTCAGAATTTCTTACATTTCTACTGGATCTAGGTGTTCTTTCTTTGGTCCAGTCTGAACAGTTTCACTGGAGGGAACGAATTTCCATGAAAATGAGAATCACTTCCATCATGATCGTCTGAATGATGATGTTTATTATTGTTGTTACCCTTTTCAATCCAACATTTAACACAAATCATATCACCAACTTTAGATTTCATTAATAAATTTCCACATTCAGGACAAACATCAGTTAATAGACAAAATCCTTGGAGTAACAGGGAAGCAAGTTTTTGGGAAATATCATCATAATTAATAGACATTTTTATCGATAAACACAATTAATACAAGATAAAGAGTAGTTAGTTTAATGGACAAAATAAAAAGGTCAAGCAAAATCACCTGTAAATCGCTTAGAGTCTTTTATAGTACTAGGTTAGACCAGAAAGATCTAGATAAACAATATGACAGTTTTGTGACTGCAACAAAAACTTGAGTTTAAAATTTGAAAGCAAACAAAACAAGATTGCCCAGTGGTTACAATAGAATAGCATTTATATTGCGCATCAGATCTTAGTTAAAGGTTAAAATGAGTGAAAGCGTTTAAAATAGCTCGTTTTTCATGGCAGTCCATATTGCAGACATGACTTTAATAAATCCTGTATCTTTGGGTCGCCCAAGACCCCTTTTCAGCCGCTCCTTCATGACTGCAATAAACTCTTTGTTACTGAGTTGTCCGTCCTCTGTGTTCAATAAAAAGATGTGGAAAAACAATTATTGGAATTGACTCGTGACTTTCTTTAACAAAGCTGGTCGAATAACCAAAATAAATTTCTTCTTACCGTTTTCATCGAAGAGAATGAAGATAACTTTGATCAAATGATCGCGAAGCTCAACATTAGCAACCGTCTTAGCTGCGTGTCGAAAAGTATCTGAATATATTTGAGAAAATATCATAAATAATTATTAAATAATACGATATATGGATATAAAAATACTGTAGTAAATGATCAATCTGAATACCTTCATCAATGGAAGCTCCTGCTATATTATAAAATGTCAATGCAATATCAACATCATTTATATTTTGAAGAAAATGGTGAAAAGTGAGATAATCTTTGAGAGTAATTCCTCTATCAGGCTGATCCATGGTGGCTGAAGGGTAGGTCTTTTTTATTCTTTTTATCATTTGGTTCTTCTTTTTCTCAGGAAAACCAGCATAAGCAATCATCAATTCAGCAAATTTGGTTTCGGAGATTTTACCATCTGATGTTGGCCCTTTTCGGTCAAACTGAAAAATATGAAAATGGAATTGGTTAATGGAAATTATTAATATGGAAAAGAAAATTTGATGAGATTCGAAAACTTGTTTCAATTGAGAGTTGAGAGGTTTTGGCATTAATCTCGAGCAATTACCTCAAGAGTCAACATTTCATCTTGGAGTTGCTTTTGAAAATCAAGAAACTTTTGGATTGTTAACTTTTCTTTCAAATCAGGCCCGAAGAAATATTTTGCCAAAGCAGAACTAACACCTCTGTAATTGGTTTTGATTTGAGAGCCTAATTTTTGACCAATGCTTGTTTGATGAAGTATAGCATTTTGGACTTTTTCAAATTCTTCATAGTCAACATTGCCGTCCCCATTGAGATCGAACATACGAAAAGCAATTTTGAAATGGCGATGAGAAACTGTTGAGAAAAAAAGAAAATATTATTTGTAATGAAAAAATAGATTACATTATTTGAAATAACATACCTGAGAGTAGTGTCAATAAAAAGAGGAAGTCTGAGTAATTGATTAAACCAAAATGACTCAATTTGTAAAATATGCTATCAGATTTGAGACCGAAGTCAAAAGAAGTTTCCTTTTATGTTGGGGAAAACAAAAAATTAGATGATAGCGCATTTAATAAGGGAAAGGTATTGAAATAAAAATCATAAAAATAAAGCAAAAACATGGGTAATAAAAGAATGCTGGATAAATGATAAAAACAAGATAAACTGATAAAATAATCTAATGACCAAACTAAAATAGGCAAATAATGAAAGGGACGATTGAAAATTGAGCTCACGGTACGCATCGTAGTAGCGAGAAGGTCATTAAGCCCTTTGTCCTGGATGAAAAGAGATATTTCATGATCAATTCGACCAATAAATTTAGGCCCATAATCTATTCTAATAATTCCACATGATCCTAGATACATGTGGTCAGTTGATTTTTCTATGAAATCAAGTAGATGTAATTACCTTTCCAACTTCAACTTTACGAAATTTTTCCAGACCCAGATTTTCAGGTTGCCTAATACCTGGAGTAACTGCTCTCAGGAAATCATCGGGCGTCATAAATACTTCTGTTTCATGGTCGTCATAAACAACTCTGATGGTAGCAAAGTATCGAAATATTTTATCTGGTGTTGAATATGATCTGATTCGGTTTTCATATTCAATCACTGTTCGATCTTGGAAAGATCTTCTTCCTTTATCTGGTTGATCAGAGATTGCTAGCTTTGGAAAAGCTTTAATTTTAGGTTCATCGTTATTGTACCAAATATAAAAGATTCCACTACCACCAATAATACCGATTAGTAGCAAAGGCAGCTTAAACCATCGATGATTGTTTTCATTTTTTAACCAGAAGCTTGAAGTAGAGAATGAAGTCTTTTGAAGACGAACGAGATTCACTTTAGGTTTTGAATAAGCTCTGTTAAAGGTGCATAGCTTTGAGCCATGGTAAAACTGACGAACTAGATTATTAGGAACAATTAAAATTTTGGCAGATGAAATGAAAGAAGCCGAGTTAAACATAATTCAGTATCAGGTTGATACTGTTTTGTTTTCTGTTTACCAAAAAACAAAAAAATTCTTTCAAGTGCCATCTATAGGTTGTAATAGAAATAAGAACCAAATTAAGCATTTAATACCACCAGATGACTCTACTTATTTAATAACATTTACAAGTTTACAAAAAATTTATCTTCGAGTTCTGAAAACTGACAAAATTATAAACGGATAAATTAACTAAACCTGACTAAACCCTAGTTAGCAGAAACTTCGAGGATTAAATTTGATCCAGTAAGCTCATTGTAACTTAGTCAGAGTCGGAATTGTAATAGAGTGCAGACAGAAAAGGTTCAAGCGAGTAATCCCTTTGAAAGTCCATCACTAATGTCTACCAACAAATTGGCTGCTAGTGAAAATAAGGTCCTAAGCTATTATATTATAAGAACTCGAAATGGTGCTTAATCTGGAAATCGAAGAGTTCTGTTGTAAAATAACGTTCAATTTCGTTTTACGTCTCATTTTCTCATAAACTATTAAAAGCTACATAAGGAAGATTGAAATTCATTCTGAAAATGTTTTTTGGATGCAAATTCATTTTGAATTTGACCTTATTTAAATTGAGTTAATAAAGCAATCACAATAAAAATAATAGATTTGCATGTGAGCTCCTTTAGTTATGAATCATATTCTGTGAAGTTTTATTGATCATTGAAAAGACTTATTATTACTAGGCCAGACGATCGTTCGCCAATATCGGAGCGTTAGTAACAAATTAAATGCAAAGGGATCGACACTTCATCATCAGTTTATAATTCGATGTCAATCCCCCTTACTTGTTAGTTTAATCTTAAATTTGCTTGCTTCTCTTTCTTTTTCCTTTTGCTCAATATAAATTCTGGACAATTTAACCAACGAATATGATTGTTCTCTCTCTCTCTTTTGTATTGATTGTGAACATCTAAAAAATCTAATTACTTATTAACTGGTTTCAGGTGTTATTCAATTTACATCTTTTATATATCAACTTAAATAAAATGATTGACCCACAATTGATACACAGGCTTGATTATGATTAATGTTATTGAGAAACTGATCTCACAAGGGAAACACCTGAACCGCTCCGAAAATTTTAAACTTTTTTTTGGACTTAAAATATTCTAATGGGTCAGATACGATCATTGGTCAAGCCTTTCAGATAGCAAATGCTCCGTTCAAAATTTACAGGGTGTCAAAGTTGTTTTTTCATAGGTTTATGCCCAATGCGAGTAATGTGAGTCTATGATAAAATAGTAAAACTTGTTTTTATCATTTTTTAATAGATCCATATTGCTTTAAATAGGCTTAACCTATGCAAAAATTGATAATTTGACACCCTGTAACTTTTGAACGGAGCATTTGCTATCTGAAAGGCTTGACCAATGATCGTATCTGACCCATTAGAATATTTTAAGTCCAAAAAAAAGTTTAAAATTTTCGGAGCGGTTCAGGTGTTTCCCTTGTCAGATTCAAGTTATCAGCCTCTATTCCTCATCCCTGATGAGACCTTACATGCTCATTCAGTCCCTCAAGCGCCATAGCTTATGCAAAGTTCTGTAGAGTGCGAAGAGTGTGAAGTTTTTATTGCTAAATTTTGGATATTATATTGTAGCCATATTATGCTGGCTATTAGTAATTCAATCTATAAGAGAGTTATCAAATTACATCAAGGCCTTCAAATGAACTCTGAAGGCCAAAAGTCAAAATCTCTAAAAATGACCTTTGATGCCCATGATTTAAGTTTCAACTCTTCCAAATGCTCTTAATCATGCTTCAAGTATAAAGTTGCTAAGCGTATTTGTTAATGTGATATCATAGTTGCAAAAAATTGCATTTTCACGAAATTTTGATTTTTTCGTGATTTGGGCCGAATTTCGATTACTATTAGAGTTGTAATGACGAATATTTATGAGAGTTATCAATATAGATCAAATAATTTCAAACGACCTTTAAATGACCTCCAAAGGTCAAAGATCAAAAGGCCGAAAAATGACCTCCGATGGCCGCGATGTTCCAATCAGTTCATCTTCACAAGTTTTTTACATTCTATACAAAATTTGAAGATATTCGCCCAAGTCATTTAGGCGCTAGCCGTGACGAAAGAAATCAAAAAGTGGTTTTTCAAAATGGCTAAGCTGAGTTAAAATCTTCACTTCGTTTCACTACGCTCCGATAAATATTTTATCTCAAATGCACTCTCAATCAACAGATAATATTGCCTTTTTCACTAGAATTATTTTTTATTTGAACGAACTTATTAAGCTCATGACTAATGCTTGCTGCACCAATGATTTGAACAATAAAAATAATCATCTGATTTGAGATAATATTCTCTCTGCAAACAGATTGATATTGTTCCATATATTTGATCAGATTTATTGAAGTTTTCAGCTTATCATTGATTACGTATTCAAAATCAGATAAATTCTGGTGTTGCTAAAACTTTGAATGAAACACTAATTAGAAACTAAAAACTTGTATTCAGCACTTTAAAATAACGAGAACGATGTTCAGATTCCGATAGAATGCGAAAAACTAAACCTTTTTCTGCGTCTAAAATATATTTAGTTTCCACCATTAGTCAGTTAATTGCTCAAAATATTGTTTATTTCGGTTGAAAGAAACAATCAACACAATTGTCACATTTAACACATGAATAAATGCTGAAAGGAAAATGGATAAAATTGTAAAAAAGTAAAAATGAATTTCTTTCAAATTTAGATTCTTTCAGCTTGTAAAGCCAACCAAAATAAGTCCATTTATGCGATTTAAAAATTTGTCTGATCTATAGTTCTTGAGAAAACCAAGTTCAAAACTGAAACTTCGATCGCTTTTTATGCAATTTTGGAAAGTTATCCAGATACCCGAGCTACTTTTGAATGAGTGAGGTGTGAAAAATGACCAAATTTTAAACCCAAATATCTTAGGAACCACTGCATTAGCAGAAAAAAGCCTTGACAGTTTTTCATAACTCAAATTGTACAATTACGAAAATTGTACAATTAGATATTACACATCGAAATTTGATATTCACAGATTATATTATTAGTTGGCATTCATTAATTAGACTGGTAATGTTTTTGCACCGATAACAAGGACATTTTGTGAGTTCATTCAGGACATGCCAGATGATTTTACGAAATGTTATGTGGAATAAAGGCACCTGGACATCAATTCAATAGACATTTATAAAACAATGCTTTCTAATCACTATTTGATTGACTTTTTTAAGATCATATTTAAACATATTTACATTGTTTCAATTTAACTTGATTGACTCAAAAGAAAATATGTTTTACTTCGATCTTTCGCTTTCTCTTTCTTTAATTTTTATAATAAGTATATAAAGAGATTGATTTTCAGTAAAGTTATGCCTTTGATTCCATAAAGATCACCAACTTGATCAACTATACAAATATTTATAACTTTCGAGTGAAAACAAGAACTTTCAAATTTTAGTTCAAAATGATCTACAAACTATTTCTTTTAAGTTTTGTGTTCTTTTCCATGCTCATAAATGATAATCATTCAGTTCAAGCTCAAGCTCGACGTCGTAAGTAAATTTTAATGTAAACTTATAGCCGACAAACTGTAATAATTTTGTTTTCTATCTCGTACTCAAACTACAGGTTGTCTGGATATACCCTGTTCAAACCTGCGTATTGAACCAGCAGAAGACGTTTGTCGTGAACGCTTTCGTGAACGTTTTGGTGAGCCACGGACTTTAACAATTTTCCAAATTTTTCCTTGTGATGGAGGACTCAATGGATATCAATGCTGTGCACGTATGAACTCTTGAGATTCTGTTCCGTTATTGATACAAATTAATAAATTGATATGGCTTTCTATTTCAGTCATCTAAGCCTTGCCAACAAATGGCTACAGCATTTGGAAGAATTGGTTGGTTTGCTTTAAACGATGAACTTGGATGGATTAAAAGATAAACGATTTATGGTCAAAAGGACGAAACAAATAATTATATGTTTGATGTAATAACCAGAATAAGATGCAACTTAAAACACTTCTCCCGATTATTTCATCAATAAAAATTTAATAGCATTATATCAAGCCAGTCTATCAAATTATTTCGTCAAGTTCTATTTGGTTGGTTACAAATAACGAATCAGATTTGGTCTTATCAGAATCAGCAAAAGCCAACTAAACCGACCAAAGTTGACAGACAGACGGCTTAAAAAATAGAAGTGATAACGTAAAACGTAACGCGTAAAACTTGCTTCCATTCTTGATTAATGCACAGACCAATAATCCAGTGGGTAATAGAGCAATGAGCCGAATTAAGACTATTTTCACGAACGTTCCGTAAACGATAATAGAAACAAATCGAATAATTTTTCACCAACAAAGATCGAAGTTATAGCCGGCAGAATCAATTTTGCTCTGCTTTGCTTTACCAACAAGGGAGGTACCCGAGGTCATCCGAACAAATTTCAATGATTAGTGTGTCATTGAATTCGTGTTACTAACAAACAATATACGTCTTTTGAGTAGCAAATGGACAGAAGGTTCGAAAAGCGCCATTTATTGTCGATCACTATCCATAGATCAATGTGAAAGCAATAATATGAACCCATTACGATGAGCCTTTTTGTTTAACTCATCTCTTTACCATACTTTGCATGCAAAAAATTGAATTTCATAATAATTCTGTTTGCTACCCGAAAGATTTCGAGACAATTAAACACTCATAAAACCTAATTGGTTTATGGTATAAATATTAATTTTTATTCGGATGACCTCGGGTACTTCCCTTGTAAGTACATTTTCTGGTTGATCATCAAAAGTAAAGTCAGAAACATGAGTTGCAAAAAAAATCTGCTTCCATGATTGTACGCAAGGCGATCGAAGTTTCAAATTTGAACTCAATTTTCTCGAAAACCATTGATCAAAGAAACTTTTAAATCGCATAAATAGATTCAGCTTTTACATGTAGCTTTTTAAATCCCTACAAACTAAAAGAGTCAGAATTTGAACGAAATTCATTTTTACCGTTTTTTGGTAATTTGTTTTTCAGCATTTGTGTCAATTTGTGCATAAACATAACAATTTTGTTGATTGTGTCTTTTTGGTTACAACCGTTCATTTGAAAAAATCATGATTTGCTTGATAAATGACCTTCTATTATATGTATGACTGAAATGTTTTATTTTTAAATTTGCATAACGTGAAAACAATTAAACAGTTGAATGACTGATTAATGACGTTTTGGATTAAAAGTACAATTTTATTTTTAGTTTCAAATCATCCAAAGGACTAGATGTTATCAAGAAATTGCTAAATTACATGATCTGAGTTACAAAGAGTTATCTTGAACTATTTAAATATCAATGTCAAGTTGCCAAGTTTAATGCTTTCAAGCAGTCGGCCAATAACACGTTTTGTGTCCTAAATTATCAACTGTTGGTCTGACTCTTCGTTTCGATTTCAACGAGACTGGTTCTAATGGTACAAATGGACTTCCAATACCAGAATCATCTGAGCTTTCCTTATCGGAAACACTTGAATTACGACCAGTCTTTTGCCATGTTACCTTTTTACTGTTATTAGCTGGCGATGAAACAAGTTTGGCTGCACTTGAATTTGATATTGAATAAGAAGCAACTGAGGACGCCAAAGGAGATGATGATGATGAAGATGATGAAGGAGATGAAGAGGTTGAGGTTGATACGGATGAGGGTTTCTCGTCTTTTCCTATTTTACGAATTGTTGCTGTTCGACAACGTTGATTGTTAACTCCTTTTTTCTCGGTTAATGATGTAACTGGAGTTGAGATTACTTTGGATTCCCTTTTAGCTTGTAAATACTGTTTGTACTCCTTGAATGTGTACACTTTAGATGACAACTCATTAGACTCAGGTTTCACTAATCGACCTTCATTTCGAAATGCACCGCTTGGAATTAAAAATTTCTTATGATAACTCACATCACAGTTTGAATCCAGTTTTCCGTGTTTTTTCCCTTTACGATCACAGGCTATTAGTCGCTCAATCGTTTCAATTGTTGACTCGGATGGAGTCGATTTATTGCCATTAAATGAGTGAAGAAACGGTGGACCGACTTCTGGTATTGAACAAGTGGAACCCATCACAAGACAGACACGAGCACAGAGTGATATAAGACTGGTTATGAGTAACTATGAGATTGAAAAATGAAAACAGGAAGGAAAACATGGGAGTCTGAGAGTTCATTCACGATTCTTTGACCCACCAAGAATGATTATATTCCTTGTTTTTCAATCGATTTTTTCTAATACTGTTCATTCAAATGCCATTGACCTTTTCCTTTTCTTCCTTCTCCATGTAATGTTTGTCTCATATTCATCCACTTTACCTTGATCATCACGAAACCTGCAATTTTGAATATTGTTAATTAAACATACCAGACTATTATTGATTCATATATTTGAGCTATTAATATTAATTCCTCGATTAGATTCTACTTCAGATTGAAGAAACTCACAGAAGATATGGATTTTTATGGATAATTTTAATGCTAATTGTACTAACCACTTATACATGAATTACCTACTTTTACATGTGCATTCTTGATTATCATCGTCATCATATTTGTACTTTGGTATTTATCGATAGACACTATCAAGTCATTTTCAGCTCTTATAGCTTTGAATAGCTCTGAAGGATGTGTTTACGAGACTTTGAAGTATCGATGAAAGCAATTAGAGATTTTTATGTTTATAATTGATTGAATTTTCATCATTTACTGAGTGATAACTAATAGACCCGAAATTCACTATTTAAGTGTTAGTAAAAGTACTGATAGAAATTTGTAATTCTTGCAAGTTTTAACATGAAATATTCTGATCTATTCTAAAGTCCAAAGTCTGATAAAATCTAGTAATCAAGTCTTACGATCGTAAGTTTTTGCAGTCATAGATTTACATTATCTGAGTTTATTTGATGCATGCAAAATTCAAAATAATACCGTTCAATTATGACTGCTAGATTTTTTTCTGAGCTTGAGTCAGCTTGATTTCATTGATTTCAAAACAATCATATGAATTTGATCCTGGTCTTTATTGATCACGCAAATTTCGATTGTTAAATGGTTTCAGACACCCATTCATTTACTGAATTATCTCTGACTATATAAGTGAATAATCTATATAATCAATAATATTATCTAACAATATCTAACTTTAAAATCTGGTTCTACTAACAGTAGTCAATTTCAGTAGCTTTTGAATGAAAAACAAATGGAGTGCATAATCCAGAATCTAAATTATTTATCGAGAAATAGGCAGTGATGCCCTATTCGCCGAAGAGCGAAATACAAAGTATCAAAGTAGCAGATTAATTTACACATCTTGAAAGAAGATTATTTTTCATTTTTCTTGATATCATTTTTGTGTCAATCCTGGTTAATGCTGGTATTGAATAGAAGGGTTGTAAGGTAGGGAAGATTAAGAATATTATTGAAGGTTAACAAAGAATGATAAGTTATTCTTATCATTTCAGGGGACTAATCTGTTGTGATTTTGTTTAATTTTTAAAAATCTACTAAAAATTGGTTTAGTAATTGCTGTGACTCTCCTGTCGTCAAGTCTCGAGATAAACCATTTGAATTTACCAGGATTTCCAAAGCAGCATAACCTAAACCTGATATATAAATAATAGTAAACGTGGGTGGGGATGGTGTTCGCTTGTCGCGCGAACTACAAGTATGTAAGATTGATTGATATACAAATTTCCATACAAAAGGATAGGTATGGGTGTGAGATTACATGATGAGAGGAAATTGCATCGAGTGACAATTTACAACGGGATGAGAGTATTTCCTTTAAGCAATGTTGAGATAATGAGTATATTGTTCAAGTTTAAGAGTTGAGTTCAAGAATTTTGAGGTTCCTTGTTGGATCTAGCATAATATTAACAGGAGTTTTTCTTTGAGTGCTTTATAGTACCATACATTCTCCTGATTAGGCAGTCAACTTGGGTTGTATTGACTTTGGTGATTAGCCAGTGGAATTGACCTGGAGTACCAAAGGCACAGGATAATTGATATTTATGATTCATGAAGATAGGACATGATTGGATTACATGCTGTGGAATGGCCGAACCGATTCCACATCTACAAGGCTTCTTGTGATCATAAGTAAAATCATATATCCCGATTAGGAACTTAACCTTCCAGTTGATTTCTCTTAGTTTGGTAAAGTATTTTTCAGGCCAAAAGTAAGAAATCCTATTTCGGTATTTTTTGAGAAATCTTTTAGTCATGAAGTCGTGAGTAATCTGAAGTGTCATTGGGTTGATACCAAACCAAAGATTCCGAGAGGAAACTATTGGACCAAGATTTTGATCCAACTCAATCAACCTCTGGTAATAAGTGGGAATAACTCCATGCTCCAATAGGTGTTTAATTCCTTTGTTAATTGTTATCTCAAGAGATTTGGAAATGAGGCAGCCATTGGTTGTAAGATATCCAAGAAGTTCTCTTTTCTCAAGGAATTGAGTCTTATTTATGAGTCTGAATAAGAGACCATATTGGTCTTCGAGTCTCTTTGTTAGAGAATCATTTTTGATTAAATCATCGACGATTAATGGAGATAAGTAGAGGAAATGGGAGTTGTTGAAGGTGTTGATGATCATTTGTCTGGTCGTAGGAGGCATTAACTTGATTATATTTTTCTTTTTAAGTAAATATTCAGTCTTTTTCTTGAAGCATTTAGTAAATTCATCATAGTCAATAAGGGTGATACAAGGTTTGATCGGGACTCCTAGAACTACAGATACTTGTACTTGTTTAATTTGAGCGTCTGATGCAGAGATTATGGTTTGGATAACCCTTGATTTAGCCGGAAGAATGTCCAAGTTGGATTTGTTGATTATGGCTTTCATTTCGTCGAATCGTTTTTCTAACGCAACCATCAAGCTGGGTTGTCTAAAGGCAATATTTATGAGATCATCGGCATAAGCCAATGTCTTGGCAAAGCTAGGAGGTCTTCGAGGTTGTTTCTTATTTCTGAACGAACCAACTTCTTGTAAATCATTAAGTACCCTTTGAAATCCATAGGCATAAAGGACTGGTCCAAGTCCTGAGCCTTCAGGAACACCTGTTTTGATATCCTTCCATTTCATTGAACTTTTGGTGAGATATGCAGCTTTCCGATCAGTTAAAAAGGCAACAACCATATAAACCAGAGAGAGAGGACAATTGAGTCCAATTAGCGCATCAATAATATCTTTGTGTTGTATTTTGGAAAAAGCTGATTCAATGTCTGCAACAAGAAGTTGGATTTCAGATCTATTAGGAAAGCGAAGGAAGTTGTTTTTAATCTCGAGGAGTAAGTCCACTGTAGATTTGTTTTTTTGGTAGGCATACTGATTAGAGAAGAACTGTGGAGGTGTGATTTTGTCCAGTTTGTGAAGTATAATCTGTTCCAGAATACGGCTGAATGTAATTTGAATCTGGATCATCCTAGGCCTTATTCCATCTGATTTGGGAATAATTGTTACTCTCGCCATTTTCCAGGAGGTAGGAAATAGACCAAATGTGAGTAGTTTAACGTAAAGGGTGAAGATCTCTTCATATCTTGATTTAAGTAGTGAGCAAATCAGATCTTTATTTAGATGGTCAATACCATGAGCTGCATTCTTATTGAGACTCTTAATAGCTTCATCAAACTCTTGTCTATTGAGAGTAGTTCCAGTCTCCGGAGTGAATGAGGTTGCTTTAAATATCTCGGTAAGGTCAGTGTATGATGTTTCATTGGAGAAGGTCCTGATTGTATTTAGTTTGTTCTGTTCAAACTCAGGGGTAAAAGTATCCGGTTGTTGACATAGAGTTTTAATTCTGGGCCAGATCTTTGGATTGCTGTGGTCATAATGAGCATTGTGAATGTTTCCATTGAATTCAGCTAATTGTAATTTGAAGTTATTAATTATGAAGCTCGCTTGCTGCTTCACCATTATAGTAGAGTAATCCAGATTGGGAAAGATTATCAAGTGTTTGTGGAGACAATCGGTAGACCAATTTAACCAGTTCGATACCTCTCTTGGAGGTAATTTCCTTCTTGTAAAGAAGTCTTATATCTTTTCCCTCTATGTTGTTCCTTACTTTAAAATCTTCTTCATCTTCCATAGACTCTTTCCTAATGATGACTCTTATCATCGGGTCTTTCTTTTTTTCAGGTTCAATACAAGCTTTATTTCCAAGTGAGGCATGAATCTCAGATGCTTGGGTGATAAAATCAAGTTGTGTTGAGGTGATTTTGACAGAATTGCCAGCTTTTATGATATCTTGTACTTGAAGTCTCTTGTTGCTATTTATTATTTTTGATACTTCTTTAGCTACCTCATCAACTGTTTGATTCTCGGCGGGTTTAAAATACACATTTTGTCTCTTTGGTTTCATTTTAACCATATCAGCATAAGATCCTTTACTGGAAGCCATATTTCCATTTTGATGATTTTCTTGGACTCTGGAGAGCTTATCTTTAATATCTTTCACTTCTTCTGATAGATTTTTTAGAGATTCGTTGATAGATCCGCAGTCAATGTTGTTATTTGAGATTTTATTTATCATACCACCAAACAGTTGCTTGATCATGGAGAAATTCTGCTCAGATTTTTTCCTATCTGCAGCTTTCATAGATGAGGCCATAAAGTCAAAAAGTGAGTTAAATGAATTTACCACAAATTCAGCGTTTACAGAGGTGTTGTTAACCACCAAGGGTAACACGTGGCAGGTGATGGGGACATGTGAGAAAAGTTCACTTGTGTTTAACATACGATTTTCACTATCAACTATATTAAGTTGTATATCCCTGGGATCAGCAGAGATTCCCATATCGATTTGTCACAAAGTTAAAACTCTAATTAGGATATTTCATGAATTAATTAACAAAATAGATGAGAGATAAAACTAAAGGTGAGTAGGTAGTATCTAATTTTTATTATCAATTAAAGGGCGTGTCAAGTGGCGACACTGTTCGCTTTTGCACGAACTACAAGAGTGTATTATAATTACATAGTCAAATACGAGGCATGCTCGCTTACAATGTTTCACAAAGAGGGGAAAGAGAGAGAGAGAAGAGAGAAAGAGAGGAGAAACCAAAGGGCCAGAGGGAGACTCGAACCCGGGTTTTACATAGGATAGTCAAACGTCCTAACCACTGGACTAATTTGATCTAAACCTAAACCGTAACGCGCATTCGCAAGATTGATAGAGAGTAGACAAACAAAGAATAGTTGGTATTGTTGATGTTTTCATTTGTAACCTTGTTTTTTTAATTAATTGCTATTATGAATCTGAATACTTGAGTAATTGGTTTTAAGTTTAAATAATGTCCATGGTCAACAGTTTAACGGTGAAGGAGCCTTTCAAAGACTGCGATAATAAATTGCTCCAGCTTAGTTATGGCTTTAAATTAACTATACCTACTGAAAGTATGAACTGTACATCTAATTGCTCAGGTCATGGAGATTGTTATGATGGCGTTTGCTTTTGTGAGGTGAGTAATTGCTTTGTTTAATTTTTGAAATCTAATATTAACAACTGTGTATCTATATTCTTTCAGGTCGAATATTCTGGTCAAGCCTGTGACAATCCAAACTACAGTTATTACCTAGCCTTGTCAACCATTTATTATTTCATCTGTGCGACTTCATTCATTCAATTGGTAAGCAAACAAGAATCAACCTCTCGTTCATTAATGACCAAATTTAATTACTAATTATCCTTAAATTTATCTTACAGGTCCTTTGTATCAACTCAGAGTTCAAAAGAATAAAGCCTCGGTCAATTATCCGAAGCTTTAAAATAACAACACAGAAAGCTCTATACTTCTTCATTTGTGTTGCTACTGCAATCAGAGGATTTTATTTTTCATCACCAACAAACCCTTCTCTTCGTTGGGCTAATGGTTTAATGAATGCTTATTATCCTTTAGTCCTAAGTGGATCATCTCTAGTTGTTTGTTTTTGGGCTGAAGTTTTTCATCTGTACGATGTTAACGTTTCAAGGCCTAGTTTTTTGAGCAAATCGTTTTCTGGATTTGTGCTTTTCAATATTGTCTCATATTCTCTACTCGTTGCTGAGCTACTACTCTTCCAGTTTTCCGACGATCATGATATCGATAAGGTAAGATTAATTTTTTATAAATTAATTTAGTAAAAATTCAATTTTAATCTTGATGTTTTGACCTTACAGAGTATGTTCATGCGAGTCTTTAACAGCATCTATGCAGTTCTCATGTTGCTGGTAGTTATATTTTTCCTCATTTATGGCGTTGAAGTATATTTCAAAGTAAGTGGCCTTATTCTTATTCTTAGGCCATTCAAATTTTAATTAATTTTTTATTTACAGGTTAGAGGAGCATTCATTCAGGGAGAAAGTTGCCAGGCTAACTTATCACAACTTAAACAATCTCGCTTCGGTTTGATTTCTCAAGCAACGATGCTACTCATAACTGTACTCTTTCTATTTTCTGAAGTGGCTGATGAACTTTGGAAAGAAAAGTAAGTTTATATCAATTAACTTATGTTATAGTCTATTTTTCCTATCTCATTTTTTATTTTATTTAAATACAATTTAAATTAATCTTTTCGTGCCTTAGAGTCCCAGTTCTCAGCCGAAATGCGTATCGAATAATCTTCAGACTCAGTGAAATTGGCATCGCTCTTTGGTATCCATGTGTATTATGGAATTGTGTCAGGCCTGAAAGGCTTTGGGTTCTCAACCCTAGACGTCTTCTCAAAAGAGATCCCAGTGACTCATCTTTGCACGATCCACGTTCCGTTGAGACTGAATCGGCTTTATTGGTGGATAACTCAATTAATGCATGGGGAACAAAAAATCAAGACAACTTATCTCGGTCTATTGACTGTTGGATTTGCTATGATGCTGATCGTAAAGATGTCGGTCCTCTTATTCAACCTTGTGCTTGTAAAGGTGATGTTTCTGCGGTTCATCATGATTGTCTCAAACAATGGCTCATGGAGTCACATTCAAGTCCAGAAAATGTACATTGTAAGGTGTGTAATGAGCCTTACCTTGTAGATCGAGGTGAAATTTGGTTACCATCGGGTTTGACTATTAACCATTGGCTACAAACTGGAGGAACCACCATTTTAATGGCGATAACTATTGCCGGTGCTTATATGATAGTCAGACTTTATCAGCACATAAGTGTAAGAACAATCTCTGTCGGATGTGCAATTCTCATCGAGTATGTTTGTTTGAGATTCCTCGGATTTAACATTCTCTCAGCTTACCAAAGAGCTAAATTTTCAGCAGTCAAAATAATTAGTCGATCCAGTGAAGACTATGTCTCGGTGATTAAAGATTCAAGATGGAATCAAAACAACCAAAGCAACAACAAATTAACCACCGTTAGTCAATCTATACCGGTTCCAGAAATCTGTTCTGATCTCAATTGTTCTGATAAAAATCGCGATATTACATCGCAATCATCATCAACAAATTAAAATTAATATCTTCCCACACACCCATTTTCCCGTCCAAATTTCTATTTTATTCTTCCTCCCTTTACCTAAGATTAAAATTGTATCATGCACCCAATAATTTTACTATAAACTCATTTGATTCATTAGCCTCTAAGGTGTACAAAAATATTTAATGCTTTGAAATTTATTTTGAATGGAAGATCTTTACTGAAGAAAGAACAATTTATTTAAAAGACGGGAAAAGACAATTTGTTAAAGTTACTATGATCTGTCTATTCGACGGCACTCTTTTTAAGCACTTTCTTTCCGTTTACCTGTATAATGAAGATATAGTTTGGAATTACTTTGTTAACTTTAATATTTCGATCATAATTCAAGTTGTAAAACATAAATATCAATCGACAAACATTTCATTTCATCTTAATTATATAAACACAATACAGTTTAGTATTACTAGTCTTAAAATCTAGTAATGTTGTTAGCTATCATTGAATATTGACAATCAGGTCCAGCTAAGCTCAAAGACGTCATAATTGAAGCCATTTCTAGCATTTTAAAATCATCTATTAAAAATTTTTAGTTGATGTTGAATTAAACACCTGAGTTTACTGTGAAAATATTAATAAAAAAATTTCAAAAAGCGCGGCATAAATATTTCTACCCTAAATGCAGACAACATTGTTTTGGTTTGGCAGCTGAAGAAATGTGCGAATCTGTTAAACAGATTCTGTTTCTGTAGTTTTTTAATAAATTATATGAAAATATTGGTTAAGTTTTAATTTTGATAAAAATGTTATTCAAAAGGATTGTTCTTCATTCTTCAACGAATCGTCTTTTTGCGAGTTCTAACACTCCTTCAAAATTGCCTAAGGATTTATTGAGGAAACCCTCACAAGCTTTATCTGAATTAGGTTTGGGCAAATTAGAAAGAATCAGTTTATCCATGAAAATATATTTAGAATCAGCTCAAAAGAATGCTGAAATGATCAATAAACAAAGAGAGGAGTATGAGTTAGGCAAACGTCACCTTGCCAATATAATGGGTTTTGATTACAACAGTATGACCGAAACAAATATTAAGGTGAGTGACAGAATTTTTATTAACATTGAATTTACAATTTTCTTCAATCATATTTATTTCTTTGTATTTAATAGGAGGCGATTAAATATCTTCTTCCTAGTGGTTTATTCTCAAAAGCTAGCCGACCAGAATTTCTTTCTCCAGAAGAAGTTTATCCTAAGATCAGAAGTGCTGATTTCGATACTTCTGGAAGACCCTATCACTTTTTGGCTTACACAGGGAAGCCAAATTTATACGAAGACATGCATGATTTGTATGATTATTATCAAAAATGCGATGAACAAAAGCTTAAAATGATGGTCAATGGAGTTTTAAATCCACCTCCATCTGCCAAAGCAGAGCTTACCGGCTCCCGTTGGTTAACTCGCCAAGAGTATCAATCATCTAAAGGTGAAAGCGTACAAAAGGACTTATGGAATCAATTAACAACCGGACTGGAAAGATTGGCAGATCATCCTTATTCTAAAGAGGCGCAAGATTTTTTGATGAAATTCAGAGTTGAACTAGAAAAGAGAGCTTCAACATTAGAAATAGCTCCAATCACTTTTAATGAAGAAGGTCGCCCATATGCTCAAGCTGAAGGTGAGTTGCGAATTTAGATGAAAAAATTGAAATGCTAACTCTTTATTGTCTAATTCATCAGGTTTTCGAAAACACTGCAAAGCCAAAGTGACCGTTTGGGGAAATGGAAGTGGTAATATAGATATAAATGGATATGACATTCTCTATTTTCCGCAGTTTAAAGAAAGGCATCAAATCTTATTTCCGCTTCTTTTTACAAATATGTTGAACAAAGTAGACATTGAAGCAACGGTTGAAGGAGTTGGTGAAGCTGCTCAAGCTGGAGCTATCCGTCATGGAACTTCCTTAGCCTTAACTAGTTTCCTTGATCCACATATGATAGAGAGTATGCGATTAGCTGGATTATTAACTAAAGACAGAAGAATTTTAGAAAGAAAAAAGGTTGGAATGAAAGGTGCCAGGAAAACTCCGAAATTCCGACCTCGATAATTATTTGTTATCATGTATTTATCATTTTTGCTCACTTGTACAGACAACAATAGTCAATAAATAGTTAATGAATATTGGATATGATAAGTTATTTCTTCCTAATCTTAACATTAAAATGCGTTCATTCACCAAAGTTGAACGGAAACTCTTGACAATCAGTTACAAATAGTGAAAGAATGAAAAAAATCAAATACCCGAACATTAAAAAACACAAAAAAAGCTGTATTGTCCTGATCAAACTTTCAACGAAACAGTCTTACAAAAAAGAGCTTATATTAAACAAAATCAATTTTTCAAGCTACACAAAACACCAAAAGCTTAAGAAACAAAAATCAATGAATTGAAAAAAGAGCAAAACTGACTGTTTCTTCTAGATATATACTGTTCTTGAGTAATATTTTCTTTTATTCCTTTAATCCGAAGCAATTCAAAGTGTTTTCCCACTTTAACTATCAAAAACACAGATTAAATTCAATATTCTTCATGAGAGTAGTTTATTTTCCTGAGACTAGCAGCTATGCAATTACAGTTTTAGTTTTCATCAAGCTAATCAGAATTACATCGTTCCCACTAAACGCAATTGCGGTGTCTCCCTTTTATCAAAAAGAGACAAAAATCTTCCTTAGTCCAGTTCATTGGGTAATCAGAAAAAATCATTTGAAATCGTATAATTAAAACTAAATTTAAAATAATTCGCAACATTCAATTACAGTTATTTATCAGTTTGACGATTCGTTATTTCCAATTGATCCCTTCTTTTACTGTGGTTAGTAACCCGTGGAGACCATTCAGGTGGAGACACTTGTTTACAATTTGCAATACATAAACATTGTTCTGATCAACTTTTAGGATTAGTATTGCACTTAATCATTCTAAGAAGCTCCTTACAATACTCTATTTTTTATAACAATTTCTTTTTGATCGACTCTTAATTTCAAAACGTGAGTTCGGTTTCAAAAGATGCGACATTACGACTCAAACGATTCGTTTGTTTGGGAAAATTGCTGTTTGACTTACATTGGACAAGAATGTCATAAAATTCCTCTCTTTCTTGGTGATTCCTTTGGACCTAAAGCTAGACGTTTGGATCTCAGTTGTAACTCATTACAATCACTTTCTGGTTTGGACAGATTTACGACTATTGAAGAATTAATTTTGGATAACAATGAGCTAGACGACAATGTTGATTTCCCATGCAACCTCAGACTGAATACACTTTCGATCAATAAAAATAAAGTAAGTTGGATCTTTGAGGAAATGGCAGCGAATTAATTTTCCTTCTCTTTTAGTTTCAAAATCTTGAAAAATTGGTGACAAAATTGAGTATTGCGTACCCAAATTTACGCTACTTAAGCTTACTTGGCAATCCAGCTTGCCCTGATCAATTATCGAATGCAAGTGACGACGAAAATGACTACCTAAGATACAAGTAACAACACTTAAATTTGATTTTCAAAATTTTCAACAGTGTGTAGTTAACCTTTCCAGGAAGTAATGATTCGCAATCAGAAGATTTCTTTTTGATAAAATAATAATGAGCTCGTTTTTTGTGTTGGGCATTCTTATCGCTCTATTATACAATCGATGAATTTAAATGATAACATCAATATTTTTTCCAATTGATTTGTTACAGCGTTTTGAGGTTACTAACTACACATGCATAGTTGAAAATTGATTGTGTGCTAAGGTCATACATTTATCACACAAATATAACTTCAATAACCTCAAATTTAACCAATTACCTCTTTTAGGCTGTTTGTCCTCTTCAAGCTTCCAAAGCTTAACTTCTTGGACTCTTCAATGTTAACTAAGTCAGAGAAACGTAAAGCTAGCAAAATTGGCCCTTACATGAGGATTGTTCGTCCTGATGAAGATCTGGTAATATTTTTTAAGAAAATTACATATTATTGAACTATAAATGTTACAAATTCTCGGAGTTTATTTCCTTCTTTTATTAGGAAAATATTTTTCAACTGACCTTTTTATTTATTTTGCAGTTCAACGATAACCAGAATGAATTTGAAGATGAAGTGTACTCACCTTTACCAGCAATTGACTACAGTGATAAAATCACTCCCAAAGGTTCGTTGAAATCTTGTTTGAAATATTTAACTAAATTACCTGATGTAGGACTAACTTTGATTCGCCTAACTTTTCACTTTAGACAGTTCTGTTTTTAATACACTGTTAATGTTTTTTTAAATTTTCACAGGAGCTTACGGAAGACTTAAATATAGATATACTGGTAAACAATCTGAAGGAAATCGCTTCATTCGAAATAATCATCTATGAATACTCAAAATATGGCAATTGTTAAATAACAATCAGTGTTATAGATTTTGGACTTTGAAAAAGACCTAAGCCTACAAAGATAACCTGAATAATGAAAATTTACTAATTTTTTCACGAATCTTAACCAATTTTCGAGGAATCTTAACCGACTTCCAAACCTCCACTTCTCGAAAATTAAATAGGAGATAAATTTTGTAATTATTCTTTCATACTTATTTGTTCAAAATTATAAATTTTTCAATCTCATTTTGAGTTTATTTAACCTCACTCACCTGAGTCAAAGCAATTAATAACAGCAATATTTCATCAGTTTCAATCGATTGAAAAATGATTTTATGGGTAATAAGGAATTATCTTATTTCGTCTGGGAAAAAGTGTAAGCCATCTATTTCAGAAACGTATCGACTTACAATTTATTTTCCAATCTCTAGTTGAGCAATTAGCAATATGATTTTATATTTATCTAATATCCTATCGGAAAAGGCATAAAAAACTTGAAAATTCAAAGCAGTATTTGAAATTTTCGTAATCTCAGTGAATTAGTATATCCATAAGCAACGAACAATGGCAATGATTTAATTGGATGTAATCGTAATCATTAAAAATTAAATTTTGCACAGGAAATGAAAAATCGATCTTTCCCTGATGATAATCGATTTAATCGATAGATGGATGCAGGCAAAAATGCAAACATGTGAGTTTTGTTTTGTTTATGTTCAATCTTTTCTTCTGTTTAAAAAACAAAATCTTCATTGTTTATTTAACTTTTGATCATCTGTAAATTTTGTCTTTAATTAAGTGAGTTACTATTCTATAATCGATTAAGATGTCTCGTAATAATAGTGTTAAGAAGAATAAAAGAAAAAGGCAAAGTATGACTCCTTCAACGATTCAGTTAGGAACTGCCAGTGACTCTGATGGGGGAATCGGTGATCATCCCGACACTAACTCAATTAATCGTACACTTAGTCAGCTGTATATGACTGGACGAGGTATAAACACGCCACAAAAAGAATTTTCCATTAAAGAATCAAAGGAAGAAACAGAGGCTACTAAAGAAATTGATAAAGCCTTAAAGAAAAAGGCTCGTCTTAAAGAGCGTTATCTATTTTCACCCTCGGCTAATTTTGAGGATCTCGGTGGAATTGATGATATTGTTAACGATTTGAAGGAATATTTGGATCCTGAACAAAGAAATTTAGTTGAACTCGGTTACAATGGATGTAAGCGTATTCTTATTTCTGGTGTTTCTGGAGTTGGTAAAAGTAAGTTATCCGAGGGAATAATTAATCACTGTAAACTACCTGCACTGAAATGTACATTTAGCCGTTTGTTTACTGGTAACCCTGGAGAGATAGAGTCATCATGTAGAAATTTATTCAATTTTGCCCGGAGTATGCAACCTTGTATCATAGTTATGGATCGACTCGAACGTATTGTAGGAAAACGCACAGATTCACGGAATGATAATGACAGAGAAATAATGACGGATACTCTCATTGAATCCTTTGAAGAGTTGAATAAAGAGATTTCTGATATTATAATCATTGGTATCACCAACTCAGTTGATGCATTAGATTATGGCTTCATGAGTGCTGCACGATTTACCAAGAAAGTTTACATTGATGTTCCTGATGAAAAATCTCGTAGTTCAATTTTAAAAGTTCTAAGTAAAAGTATCAAAATCAATGAGGATTTAAATTTTGATGAACTTGGTGCAAAAACTCCTGGTTATGTTGGATCTGATCTTCGCGATCTTGTTGACGAAGCTGGATTGGTAGCTGATGAAAGACTCAGAAAAAACAAGACACGCAAACCGAATGAAAAATCAAGTGATCTTGATGAGAGTATGGAAACCGAAACAAATATTTCCAGAAATGTGATAGACACTGATTTTTACATAGCGCTTAAGAGAATCAAGCCTTCTCTTAAAAGAGACGGTTTCGCATCCATTCCTGCTATAACATGGGCAGATATTGGAGCATGTGACCACATCAGGAAAAAGTTGATGGCAACTATTTTGTTGCCAGTTAAATGTCCAGCTTTTATGGAGAAAACTATGCGTGGTAAAACTTCATGTGGTATATTACTTCATGGTCCACCAGGATGTGGTAAAACTTCAATTGCCAAAGCAATCGCGAATGAAGGTGAAATAGCATTTATTTCAGTGAAGGGACCAGAAGTCTTGAATATGTATGTTGGAGAATCTGAAAGAAAAATTAGAGATATTTTCGAAAAAGCGGCCAAAGCAAAACCTTGTGTAATATTTTTCGATGAAATAGACGCATTGTGTACCGAAAGAGCTGCATCCGAGGTAATTATTATGAGGACAAATATTTTTAATTTTTGCTGATTCTCAATTTCTTCATTCAACTAATTGTTTCCTTATTTTCATTTTTCAATAGCGCTCAAACGTAACTCAAAGTGTTCTAAGTCAGATCCTAACTGAAATGGATGGTTTTGATAATCAATCATGTTTAGTACTAGCAGCTACTAATAGACTTGATGTATTAGACTCTGCTATTCTTAGACCCGGTCGTTTCGATAATCACATCTATGTCGGTGTCCCCGATGAAGCAGCCCGCTTGGATATACTAAAAGCTATTACGAGAGTAAGTTTCAAATTGGTAAAAAAACAAAGGAAAGCATCAAAACTAATTTTGTTTCCTTTTATTTTAGAATAACAAACCACCACTTTCATCGGAAGTCTCTCTTAAATCAATAGCATATGACAGTCGTCTCAGGAATTTTACCGGAGCTGACTTGAGAGGATTAATTGAAAGAGCTCACACAATAGCATGTATTGAAATGTATGATGAAATTGGAACTTTAGACGAAGAAAAATTTGTAATTAAACCACATCATATTGAATCGGCTCTTAAGGAGAGAGGAGCTTCCATTTCAGATGAAATGTTAGAATTTTATTTGAAATCAGCGAAAAAAGTGGGACTATCTTAAAGACTATTTGATAAATTTTGATCTTGTACTGTAATTTCATACAGAATTTATTAAAGAATGGTAACAAATGCCAGATTTAATGTTAATTTGGCTTTGGGTGAACAAATTATAATAATTAATATAAATCAAAGTGATTCTTGGTAATAATAATGATCGTATTTGAGAATGCTCTGAATGCTTCAAGTTTAACAATCCATCATAAATTTTAACCTCAGACAGTAACATTTAAATTTTCAGTTCAGTTCACAATCTAGCTCTTAATTTGATTCAAAATTTGATATATAATTTGGCAATGATCAAAGCTGATCATCAAATACAGTTAAATGATTGTAAACACTGGTTGCTGTATGAATTCCATGAATTCCATTGAATCCAACATGTTCAGTTTAAATGATTTTCAGTGACAGGTTAAGATTATTAATTTTCAATATTTCCATTGATTTGATATTTAAACAATATGAATTTCGATGATGGCACAAACGATTGGTTTATTTTCAGGCGATGATAACATTAATCGAATCTTGGTTTGTACTTGTTGAAGCCAAGGAGCATTGGCAGTCATATTATAAAGGTACTCTTTTCCTTTAACGATTGGACATTCCACTCCGTATTGTCCACAAACTCGTAAGGGCTCCGATTTGATTGGAATCCAGAGGCTGAAAAATTTGGCCCAAATGTTCAATCTCAATTCTGGAGCGTCGATTGGAGAAATGTAATTTAAACTAGAATGAATGGGTTCACTCCGATTGATAGTACAAATCTTTAAATCCTCACAGCCAGTGATGATAACGGACAATGGATCATTAGTTTTATTGCCTGTAAATCAAATAAATATGGACCATTGATTAATCTGTTCAATTAGATGCAATTTACTTACCGCAAGTCTCATATTTGATTGATTGACCAAAAACCGAGTTAACTGTGGAACTAAAAAGGAAAACTGAAAATAGCATTTCTATTAATAAAATTGTTTGTTTTGATCAGGTATTTGGTTAGACAATGAAGCAATAACTGTCTCATTCACTCAATTGTCATTTAGTAAATATCAATTTTGTTGACTTGTTAAACGATTAAATTCGCAATTTGAACCTCAATATGTAACTGTGATACAAAACGAATGTTGATTTACCTTGATTTTTGTAGCTTCAATATTAAAATCAATAAAACCCAATTTTAGCTTCCATTTGATTACCGATCAAGTTCAAGCGATCCAAGTTCGAACTATGACAGTTTACTCAATGATTACTAAAAGATAATAAAGCAAAGCTACTAAGAGTTAATTGAATTGAAATATCAATTTAAACAAATCATCATTTTAATCATGATAGTTAATTGTCATAAATATAATATGAAGGATGAAACAAGTTCACAATTTTGTATCCCTTTTAAGATACAATTAAAATATCAATATTCGCACTGAAAATATTTTGTTGTATTTTTGGAGAGAGAGGCAACTAAAATCAATTAAAATATTGAATGCTTATACAGGTTACAGATTAAACCAAAACAAATTGTCCAAGTCAATTATTTATATTTTAGGTAAAGACAATTATACCTCCATTGAAATGTTAATCACTTTATCCTCAACCGTACCTGACACATTTTCCATAACTTTTTATCATTGAGCAATTTTTGGCACTCATGCTATCATTATCGAAGCAGAAATACAAACTTTTGACCAAACGGATGAAGATAATGCGCTAATAAACGCACCATTTTCAGGGCGTTGGTCAGCTTTTTGTGGTCTACAGCTAAGTTAACAATAGTTTACTTTTAACAAAAGTTATTGATACTCTAAGAGTTGTTATAAAAGTTTTTTTCATGAAAATTCTTGATTTTAACAAGTTAAAGATAATTAACACAGAATGCAATGTGAGCAATCAACATCAGGAACTCAGTCAACTTTGACCGGTACTGAGAAAGCTAAAATTCTATTGGTCGAAATGTATTGGTATCATCAAAAATTACCTTCCCTGGCTAGAAAAGCTCTCAGAGACCATCTGGGCCAGCATAGTTACCGTGATCTTCCGAACGAGGGACAAATTACACGAATTGTTCAAAAATTTCATGATACTGGAACAATTTGGCCTGATCTTAAGGAAAAAGTTGAGGGAACTGTTACTATAGCCACGAAAGAAAGTGTCAAAAAATGCGAAGAATTCTATAAAAAGAACCAAGAATCTTCTGTTGGTAGAGCTTCAGAGTTAGGCTTGTCCCCGAAAGCATTGCAGTGTTTGGTTGAACAAAAAGTGAAACTTTATCCATACAAGATTCAATGTTTCCAGCAATTGAGCGATTTCGATGAAACCAGGCGACTCCAAAAAATTGCTCAAAAAATGGTTAATAAGATGAACAGTAGCGAATTGAAAGGTGATAAAGTTTGGTTTAGTGATGAGGCACATTTTTGGATATCTGGCTATGTTAACAAACAAAACCACCGATTTTGGGCGAAAACCAATCCTCATCGTTTTGTTGAAACACAAATGAAGCCTAAAAGAGTCACAGTTTGGTGTGCTATTTGCCCAAGAGGGATGATTGGTCCGTATTTCTTTGATGACAATCTCAATGGTGAGGCTTACCTGGAAATGTTACAACACTATTTCATCTCCCAGATAAAGGAGAAAAATGCAATAGATGATTATTGGTACATGCAGGACGGACTCTACTACACCGTACGCAAGATGTGGTGGATTACCTGCATGACAATTTCCCAGGCCGTGTTATCGGACTAGGCTATAACAAAAGATTTGGTTGCGGAATAGACTGGCCCCCTTATTCTCCCGACATAAATCCATGTGATTTTTACCTGTGGGGTCGACTGAAAGATCAAGTCTACAAAACAGCACCGAAAAACATCAAAGATCTCAAAGAGAAAATCAAAATACAACTCTTGAAAATTCCCCATGAAGAGATTCGTAACGTGATTTTGAACTTCAAAAACAGATGCCTCTCAATTATCGAAAATGACGGCGGTCACATCGAACAGTTCTACTAATTACTCTCCCACTATAAAACATTTACTGTATCAATTATAGCTTAATCGAAAAAAGAATAAAGAAAATATTCGAAAAAAACACAACAGACATTTTGATACACCGAGTATGATGAAATTGGAACTTTAGACGAAGAAAAATTGTAAGTAAACCACATCATATTGAATCGTCTCACAAGGAGAGACAAGCTTCCATTTCAGATGAAATGCTTGAATTTTATTTATTATTTTGGCTTTGGGTGAACAAGTTATAATATATATATAATCAAAGTGATTTTCGTTAATAATAATGGTCATGTTTTAATTCATTTGATTGTTATAATAATAATATGCAAAAACAATAAGTTTTTTAATGATATTCAGTTTTTGTCTTTTAAGTATTTTATCGCAATTGATCTTTCAGAAGAGTAAGTTGGTCAGAATGAATTGAAACTTGGACGATTGAATCTAAAAGATCTTGAAGCGCTGGTGCTGATGGAAATAAGTTAGCGGCCTTTTTTGTATTATTTAACAGATTCTTGAGGGAATCACACAGTGCATTAGAACATTTTGCAACATAACAGCGTATTTCCCCCGAAACATTTCTGCTAATTGTATCTCCAATAAAAATCATTTGTTGACCAGCAATAACTACCAATTTTGATAAATTGATAAGTACTTTAGGCAATTGTTTGGTGTTGATGGCTGAAATTAAAGCATTTACAGCGTTTCTTAAATTTTGATTGTTTTCCTCCAGTAAAGGGCAGTAAAATGACAATAATTGATCAGTTGATAAATCTATTAATTCATCTTGACCTAAATCGGATTCTTTTTCATCTTTACAATCTATTAGTTCTGTGTAAAGATCGTTGCATGATTTATTCTCGCCAAACATCATTTTGTCTCTTGTCTCAAGACTTGCATAGTCTTCATCATTGTCATCATTATCATAATTTCCTATTCCATCTTCTTTAGCTTTTGATGTTCTAGTTTCACCAGATAGAAATGACTTGCCAAGATTTGAATCAACCTTATTCCTACTTGTAGCATGGTTATCTTTAGGAGCCAAGGGCAATAGTCTCTTATTTATCAATGGCTTTGGAGGAACTGGAGGAGGAAGTGGTTTATTTGGCAGGGTCTCCACTGATTCAAATTTAGATTTGCAGCTTGAAACTGGTCCATTGTTAGACAAAGTGATGTTGCTCTTATTAATCTTGTTAAGTGTAGGTTGTTTATTAACTTTTTCAGGAAACAACAGGTTTCCACAAGATTTCACTATCGACATTATGTGTTTAATATCCTCTTTGAGTCCGGGCATGCAGGCAATCAACTGATCGAGTTCATCATGCGATGTTTTCTTTAATTCTGTCAATTCATTTAAATTCCAACCTCGTGAGTTAAGACTTTGAATGGTGGAAATGACTATGTGGGCTGAATCTTTCAATTGTCTGGATAATCGATAAAGTTTGTTATTAATTGATGAACTAGAGTTTTTCAATGAATTTACATAAAGACCATCAGTGAAAACTTCTAACTCTCGGGTAACAAATCGCAATTGAGAGCAACATTTCATCAGCTCATCCAAAACTGGTCTAAGATTTTCAAGTTTTCTCCAAGAATCTTTTGAACTTAATTCGATAAGTTTGTTGATTGCCTGAAGAGATTCATTTTCCAATCTATTTGCTAGGGTGAGACCACTGTCAAGGTTTAAATCAAGTCCAAGAGAATCAATGTCTTGTACGGAAGAGGAATTATTGTAACAAGGATAAGATCGAGTAGTGGCAGTAATGGCTTTAACTGGGTTTATAGCTTGAGATGAAGAGATATGTTTATTATTCCAACTTAAACTTCTTTTGGGCACATCATAAATGACTTGATTATCATCATCGATAGACGAAGATGTAGAAATTTGTGCATCATGACTCGAATTCAGATTATCGACAGTATGACCTATTTTTCTTAGAGAACCAGAGGCTAAACCATTCAAAGTTGAAGAACCACAGCTGGAACAACATCCATTGTCCTGGTCAGTTTGATGTGGAAAGTCTCTAATCGGAGGTACATCATATATTTCAAGAGATGATTGACCAAGTAAACTAGATCGGTTTGAATTATTATTATCACAGCTTGAATAAGAAACAGAAGAGGTTTCAAGGCTTGGTACATTAGAAATAGGTGACGGTAGAGATGTTGTTGATCCAAACTGACCAATATGTCGAGATGGTAAGGGTGAACAATTAATCCGAGTCAATGTGGGTCGTGATGGATCATTGTTTTCACTTTGTGATGATAAACAATTTTCTTTTGTGAAATTATCACTGAAAGGGGCACAATAATTAGATGAGTTTGTAATTACTAACTTAGCTGGATAGATATCACTTGGTTTAGAAGATGGTTGTATAACCGGATTGGTGTTCGAAGATATTGTTGAACAATGGGTATATCGATTATGAGGTTGAGGGACATCATAGACTTCTGTTGAGTTAGACATATCTGGCTGCTCGGATAATCTAAGTAATTCGGTGAAGTTGTATTCACGATTTGGTATTAAAACATTTTGCTTTGAATTATTGTTTTCCTCATTTGACCCTAAAGTCAATGTATTGTATCGATTTATCTCACTATTATTGTAACCGTATCTTGAATTTTGATTTGGCAGAGTCGAGGAAGACGATTCTGTAAAATAATATAAATATATCAGTTGATAAGTGGTTAGGAATGGCAATTTAAGAGGATATAAATTTGACAAATTGGGTGTAAATCAAATTGAATGAAAATAAATAAATAAACAAAGACTTACTTAATGATAATATTGAATCATTAGGTTTATCGAATCGACCATCAACACAAAGACTGAAATAAATAGGATAACCACAGGTTGATGGAGGAACATCATAATCAATTTGTTCAGAGTTTAATTGCACTTGGTTAAACATCATGCAAAAACTTAAAAAAATCAAAATCAAAAATAAATCTTAAAATAATAGATGAACAAGCTAGAACGGGAAAATAAAGACAAATAAAATGAAATAAGATTGGATTCGAATGCAAAAGAATAATAATCTTGATTGTAAATCTACTTACATTAGCAATAAGATTGATGAGTTAGGTGAATAATATAACAAGAAAAGGCAACCTTTACAATTAGTAAATCACAATTGTTGATGGCGACAAAAAAATGAAAAACCAGAAATCTGGAGATCAATCAACTGAGCAAGAGAGTCAACAAACATGAGAGTTGCTCCCGTCAATATTTTTGAGTAGGTTTACTGTTCAAAATGTTTCAGTGTTCTGTTAAAATGATGTTAATGATATAAAGGTACACAAGTTGTTAAAAACACGCAAATATCAGTTGATCCTCCAATAAGTTAAACAGCAATAAGAGCTGCTTTCAATTATAAGAAATAATTTTTGGTTAAAATAGTTCAAGCAAAGTGACATCAGATGGAGCTAAAAGAAAGGTAAAAAAAGATTTCTGATTCGCTGTGATTTCACTGAAAATTTCAGTCTCCGAAGCAACTGGAACAAATTTCATGTCACTTTGCAAAGCGCACTAAAGATCAGTCTAACAGTGATTGCATGTTTTATTTCCCTCTGATTGTGTCAATAATATCAATTAACAATTAACTTGTTGCCTGGGAAAACCATTAAACTTGTGATGAACGTAAAGAAAGAAGAAGCAATTTATTGATAGAGATAGTGAAAGTAAAATCTAATTGTTTAAATAAGGAATTAGATTACACTTTTGATTGATAGATTGAAGCAAATTAGAAACCAGATAATTCTATCTTGATTACTAAGAAAGTAAACAATCACTAATTCGGATGTGATGCTAATGAATATGCAGTAAAATAAGAAAAACATTGAAATTATCTTTTGTTTACTTTCATAATCTCAGCATATTACAGAGTTTAGCATTATATTGTATTCAATTTATCATTAATCTTGAATTTTTAGGTGTTTGATGTTTTCGATGATTAAGTTCAATGTGAAAACCAATCAGAAGAGTCATGACTAAGACCTGTTAACTCAGCTACCTCTTAAAAACAAGCTCTGTGGCAGAAGAAGCGATTCCTTCATGGCTACTCTCTATTGTAGGACAGAAGGCCTGAGGAAACAAGCTTGGAGTTGGTAGGAAAAGTGAAGAGCGAAGCTCATACCCGAACTGTTCCGGAAGCTATTGAATAGAGTTCGAAGTTCAGTAAGAGACAAATTATGTCTCTAGCTTTAATTTCGAGTTAAGTGTAGTAACTATTAAGACACGATTAACTATGATTGAGATGAGCAAATTGTTAAGCAAATATTTTGTATGTGATAACCAGTTCACAGTTTAATTGATTTTATGTAAATCAAAGTTAATCAACAATTTGTTTGAACAATAGTGCAATGGAAAATGCAGATTTTTAGAAGACAAATCGTGTTAAAATTAATTCCATGGAAAATTGAGACTGTGAAAGATTAACGAAAACCACCAGAAGTTCTTATACGAATTTCCAAATCAATTAATTGTCGAAGGAAGCCATCATTGGGTCGAACTGCTCGAGATTGTCTGACAGTTCTTAAAGCTTCTTCGACTGTCATTCCTTTCTTTATCATTAAATAGGCAAGAGCAATTGTACTTGAACGACTTAATCCCATGTAACAATGAATCATGACTCTTCCACCGGAAAGCAAGGCTCTATCAATGAATTCAGAGGTTTCACCAAAATGAATTGATATTCGGGTTGATTCAATATCTATCAGGTTTAACCCCATGTACTTAATATGGACATCAGAGTAATAATGAGCTCCAGTGTCAATCTGTGAAAAGTGAGTGCCTTCAGCTGTGTTGAGCACATGAGTTACACCAATTAACTTGAGATAATTTTTATTACGAGCTGAACCCCTGTAAAGAAAAGAAGACAAATGAGTTTGTTTAATATACAAGGATCATGATAATGTGAGAAAGGTAACAGTTTAGATTGAAATTTGAATAGCTGAGCAAATTGGTTGGTTGAATAAACTCAGAATATTACTCTGTACATGGTTCTATCGTTGTAACTTTGCTCATCGATCGATCAACAAATCGATAAATGTAAGGTTGAGTGAACTCTTTGGTTACTTAAGGTCGGAGTATTTCAATTTATCATCTCATTCTATGTGGTTACTAAAAAAAGATCCTGACAAATATGAATGTATGAATAATTGGCTGTGAAGTGATACGATTTATTAACAACCAATTGATTTACCCTTGATTTTATTTCAAAGGTTTAATTAAAATGACAACAGAAGCTTTTCAGATTAAACCTATTAATCAAGAATTAAAATTTTATCTAATCATTAAATGGAGTTGAATCTAATTACGTTTCAGCTTGATTCTATGAATAAAGTGTCGGAAATTTGCCAAATTATTTTGTCATTAAAATGGTTCATCCATCATTTCAAGGCTATGAAGAGCTATAATTATAATTATTGTGTAAAAATGACAGCAACAATTAGACATTTTATGGCAAATTATTTATAGATTAAACAATTAGAAAAATTTCAATCAATATTGGAGTTGAGTGATTTTTTCCGAAATAAAGAGCAACACTAAATTTTGATTGTTTTCGGGTTAATTTTAGGATTCTCTAATGCATTTAAATAATTCTGGTTAACAACTGTGACTTACTCGTTACCAACAAAAATATTTGGATAAACTTCATCACAGTCAATGCCAAGTTCACGTCTATCAAGACGAGCGCCACGAAAAATACGATGCAAATGGCTGTGGCCTGGCAAATCACGGTGTATCCGAGAATGAGTCACGTTGTAACCTATCATTCGTTTCAATTTGGCTAATTTGGCTTCAACATCATAGTCATCATTCATTGATCCTGAACCAACATGTTTACGCCATTTACTACGACCAGACAACATTGCTACGAAACAAAGAACAGACGATAAAATGAGTTAGAAATTGATTGAAAATGATTCACATGGCTTTAGGAAAAAGGTAAACTTATATAAACTTACTGATTTTGGGTTTGATTTATGATAGAAAAGATTTGTGGAAGATTTTTGTTCAATCTTTTCACTATTAAGGTCACAAATAATTTTCCCTGGATCAAGTTCGCTGAAAAATTATTAAATGATCACAGATGAGTTCATTTTGAAAGAAGTTAATCCAATAATCTATTATATAAACTAGAGATCGTAGCTAATAAAATGGTTGACGAATGTTGGATTAGTTGAAAAAATATTTGATATTCGATATTGAGTTGATATTCACAAAAACCGACGCTATATCTTTAGAGTCTACTATAAATATTTCAGAGCATTTTCATCATGGAACTATATTATGTAACGCTCATTCAATTGTATCTTGAAATGAAGTTTGAGTATTTTATCCTCATCCTATGGGAGATGGATACTGTAACAAAATGTCTACAGAGTCTTCGCAAATCATCTATTGAATGTGATAATAATCATTGTGAACTTCACTCTGACGTCATGAAATACACACTACTCTTAATTTCATTTCTCCCATGCTCCATAACTTGTTTCATATTGCTCTTTTAAAGGATCCTCTTCATTCTGAATTGTAACATCAGAGTTTGTGAACATCACGGATGGTAACGATAGGAACAAGCTTCGCTGGAATTATCATTTCAGGATTCAATGTAACGTAAATCATTGATTTCTTTGAGCGGCTTCAAACAATTATATATCAATATTGCATCTTGTGTTCATCTTGACAACAGATTTAATTTACTAAACTATTAATATCCGATTGGATTATACAAATGGTAAATTCTAATGTGGTAACAAGAAAAAAATACAAAAGTATGACTATTTTTTAACCATTTTGTAAATACCGTAGCTGGATAAACTGACCAACAATAGTAGTCCAAAAATTCTAATGGCACCATAAGGAAATTTGTTAGAGGAACTAGATCCAATTGAGTCAATTTCATCAGGTTTACATGGAATCCAAACCTCCAGGTTTTTGCGTTCATGATCATCTTTAATGCCAACAAGAATCAGATGAGGACAATCTTTGTCTACATGTTTTTTCTGATAGACTTTACCATCAACTTCACTCATATCACTCGATTGTTGGCCAATTCTTCACTAATCTCCAATTAAATACACTTCGTCACCGTATGGAAAAATGGATTAACATTGTACAAATGAGCCATGAGATAATAAAAATCATCAAATAACCTAATCAAGAACCATTTTACAGATTCTAAAAAATAAAGGGCAAAGGAATTAAACCGCACAAAATACAAAACAGCTGTAAGAACTTCCACATTCGCTCATAGAGGGCCTTGGAAGAGTGGCTTACATTGAGATTGATTGATTGAATTCAATTTGATACAAAAAGCTGAAAGTAGACATTAAATTGCTTTGAATTAAGAGTTCAAATTTTTTTTTGTATGGAAAATTAAGCGAATGTTTTGATCAAGTCATAATGTTTGTCTTTTGGTTGTAACTAAAAATTTAACTTTCACCATTTTCCAAATCTTTCATTCAAATCTATTCAGAACTTTCACTTTTATTTGTTTGCATCCGTCCTTTGAAATTATGGGTCACTTCGGCTTGAGAAACTATTACATCAACTCGTGAAAAATGACTTAAAATAAGGTTTTCATCAAAAAATAGATAAAATCTTGATTTCCATTCGCGTTAATTTTATTTCCTCGAGCCCTCTATGGCCAAAGAAATCCCTAGAATAGTTTTTTTGCAAAAAAAATTAAATTGAATCTTTTTGCTTCAATTGGTCTTGTAACTACAAAAAACTGGGAATTTCTTGAAAATTCTGAAGATATCGTAATTGTGTGATAACCTAAAAAATTTTCTTTAATCATACGATAATAATGCTAAATAGCTGTTGCAAGTTAATCAGCGTTAGTTTTCAGAAAGTTTTTCTGGATGTTGAATTGAGTTGAGTCCATCAAGAATTGAACAACCTCTGCTTCAAAAATTTAATTTATCAATACCTCTTAATGTTTAAGGTTTAGAATACTTATGCATCTTTTTTAATTAAATCATCTTAATTGATTATGAATTAAAAAATTTCAATTTGTAGAGAACTCTATCGAGATAAATTTTTAAATATCGCGCATTTGTTGTTAGCGCATCTGTTATTTGCTCTTTAGTATTCGCTTTTTTCGCTGGTTTGATTCGATTTCATCGATTCAAAAACGATACAATAATTTGAGGAAAAATAATCAGATTCTCAACAATTTCTGATTAACTAATCTGTTTTTATCCAAAACTATTCTTGTTATTTAAAGTAAGGCTATGAGCCAAATAATTGAGGATTGGTTAAGTGAATTCGACAAATTCAATCAATATAAAAATTCACCTGATGAAATTCATGCTTATGCAATTGGTGTTTTCAACTATCCTGATTTGATCAACGCTATTCTGAATGCTTTGGAAGATGATAAACAATACGAAAAGGTATGTTGAAGTGTTTTAAATTTAATTGCTGCTTTTCTAACAATGCTTTCAATCTCATTCTCAGTTTTTAGCTCCAATATGTACCCAGTTATTCAATTATCATCGCCTTAAAGATGATAGATTACGTTTATTTGTGATTGCCTTTCTGCCATCGCTAATTGGTGTTCATCTGCTTTATAGTGTGAAACCACTAGAGGTTCGACGTAAATATCGATGTGTTGATACAGTTCTTTTAGGAATTTACAATGTCGAGATTACAAATGAAGATGGCTTGGGTTCTAACCGAACATTCCGTATACCTACAACTAGCAAGCCTTCGATTTACCATGAGCCCCCAACGACATCAGCCAGTACATTTAGTCAACCAACTTCAACCTCAAATGATAATTCCACTAAGGCAGATTCCTCTAGCTTACCTTACATAAATGTGCCTGTCTATGGCAATTACAAATCAAGTGATTATATTAATGCTTCGAACAGAGTCTCCGTGTTGACTGCTTTACTGCATCTATTCCATGATCAAATGAGTTCGCTGCCAAAACAGTCTCATGCCGCTCTATGTCGAATGACTGTCAGGTATTTTCATTTCTTAGAATACTTGTATCCAGAATATTGATTATAATCGTTTTTCTATTCGTTTTTGTTAGTGTCTTGGAAAAAGAAACTCGGCCTCCTGCTGATTGGAAACAGATTCTTAACCAACATCCGAATTCAATCGGCAATTTACACAATTCTGCTTTGATACCCGACTTTCCTCGTAAAATTCCGGTTGCCTCTCAATTACTTGTCCGTCTTAGTAGCTGTATCTACTTTTGCATTTACAACGGAGTTGGTGATGTCGCAATACAAGCCTTAGATCACATCCATGCCCGCGGTCTATCTGAGCTCTATCCAGATGTTTTACTGGTTTGTAATCATCTCGTTTATTTGAAAAACATTTGGTATATTGATCATTTTTTTGCTATGTCTTGTTCATTTCTTTAATTTACAGATGACAAATGCTATTAAACATCAACTTTCAACAAATCCACCAACGCAGTCCGGTGATTGTCCAGCTGAAATTCCAGTCACTTTCACACCTACCTCAACGGTAACTTCTACTACCTCATCTTCTTCTAACAAAACAGCTATAACCAATGCATCATTCAAAACTCGCAAGCTCCCAGAAGATATTCCTATCGTTACATCGACAAGTAGCACAAATCCGCAACGTTTGCCATCCATTAATGAGGACAATGTTGATCAATCAAACTAATACTCACAAAAAAACACCTTATACTCTTGACTATTCACCTGTCTACTCAAAGCTATGATCTATTTGTTATTATGATAGTCTAGTCAAATTTTTATTTGATTAATGATTGTCAAGCCAATAGAATGTGATGAGAATAGTTTCAAATGAGTTGTAATTAATAACCACAGCTCATTCTAATTTATTTACCCGAGCTAATAACTATTTGCCTGCAGTGTTTTTTATCTACTTTATCACTTCTGGTATCAACATTTAGCATCGAATTTTTTGCATTCACATTTTACTGATTTTGATTGTGATCTCAATCGAGCGAGCAAAAAGTTCATTTTTCTCATAACTTATAATTCCTCTAATGCCAATTTACTGTCAATTAACTTTTAGTGAAACAGCAAACAAACTGTGAGACCAAAAAATGGTGGATATGAGAATATGGAAAACATTTTTGGTCAATGTTTGAAAAGCTGCATTCTAAAAGAAACCTGCTTTCTTTCAACGCGCTTAAATTTAAAATCCATTCCATTTTTCATTAAAATGTATGACATTCACATTAAATTAACTAAAGGTTTGAAAATGTTGGTTGTATCTTACGAATTAATTTCAATCAAAGTGAAATTTTTGATACATGCAACTGAAATGACTTCAAGTATAGTTTATCCTTGTTAGCCATTTTTACTGCGCTACAAGAAAAAAACAACTAATGGAGGTTGATGCGCTGTCAAGGATGATCAGTTCAACATAATCTGTTCCTCTCTTTGTTTGATTTTATTAAACCCTTCTGACTGTCCAATTAATTCAAACATGGATAAAATACCACCTCCACCTAAATCATTAACTTCCAATGTAAATAACTTGGAAAAGGCTGACGATAAATCACTAGGAACATTCAAAGGTAAAGGATCATTTTCATATGGTTGCAATAACAGACTGGATGAAGAGCTGATGAAATTGAGAAGAGAAATGGTGAGTCTATTGTTTTACTAAATTAAAAATAACTATTTATATCTTATCTGTACTAATTTTGACTCTAATCTTGAACATGTTCTCGAATAATTAGGTTGGTTTGCGTCAGTTTGATATGTCATTGCTATCACAATTGAATGCCCTAAAACAAAGTATTTCTGAATACAAAAAAGCTCTCAATATTATTGTAAATGGAGATGATATTGGCAATTATGGAGACAATCAGTTCAACTCATATAGCTCATCGCGACTGAATATGGATCAAGAGAATGATCTTCCAGATGAAGGAGATGATATTGATGGTGAGGATTGTACCTCAGACGATGAAAGGGAAGAGGATGGTGAAGAAGAGAACAGTGAAAGGTCTTCAGAATCAACAGTTTAATCATTCTGATAATTTTTAATGATCAGTGACTACTTATTTTACTTTTAACCATTACTTTAAACCTTTGAACATTCTCAATCCACTGTTTTCTTCTATTCCATCATCAATGGTAATACTCACCACTATATCATTATTGTTTGAGTAACTGGCCGAAAAGGGTGCCAAATTTAATTATTAAAATGTAATTGGATAAATGATTAATAATCTTAAACTATTAAAATAGCAAACATTGGACATAAATTTTACATGATTCCAAGTTGAAATCTCGAGAACTCATCCTGATTCAACTTTGAACTCTTTGTTATCTCATAAAAATTATTGATGAATCAATTATTAAATCACAAGAAGAGATCTTTTATTGCCACATTTGAGTAATATGAACTTACATAGCATGGTTCTATTAATTCAGTAAAGAGATTATAATCATTCTTATTCAGGAAAAATAGTCAAGAACCTCTTGAGATCGTAAAGTGATTATGCATTACATGTACAACATTAATCTTTCCTGGTTGATAATCTGTAATTTGAGCTAAAAACACGCAGTATATTTTAGATTCATCGTTTAAAAGTCAGTTAAATCAATATTTGAAGCCGGAGATTAGATAGAAAATAAAATTGTTGATTGAGTATTCATTATTGAATTCAAATTGTAACCGAGAAGCGAAAACAAATTGACAAGGAGGAGCCATAAGCAACTGACAGTCGCTTTGGACCAGTAAACTGTGTTGTCCAATAACATTCATTCATAAGCCAAACAATCTTTTTGGTAAGAGGCAATTTTTGTTTTTACTTTATGTTTATTTATTGTCAATTTATGTTTACCTTTTTCAATTAATTGATTCTCACTATTGTTATTTCCATCCTCTAATTATGTATTAGTATATTCATCATTAAAAGCACCTTTTATGCTCCTGTCAGTTGGTTTACCATTTATTTATTGGTATACAATGGATCCAGTATCACATCTTTTAAAAAATTGTGTCTGTCTTTATTGTTTTTTGTGCTTTAAACCATGAATGGATTTGAAATTCTAACCTGATTAACGAGGTCCATTGTTGCCTTCAAGGATGTCTGCTACCAAAAAAAAGGAGCGGCAAAAGTTGATAAAATGTTTTCTCATTTTGAAGCCCTCTGAAAAAGATCGTCGAAAAATTATTGTTGTTACAAAATATTGTCCACCTCCAACTGGTTCCTCAAACTCTGGTACCACTGATGGACCTCATGATGAAATTCATTCCTCCTCGGGCGATAAATCAACTCAAATTCAGTCACATCAATCATCTGGTGATCTGCAAAAGACTAACACAAATCAAATGACAGTTATTGATGATATTGATGAAAGCTCGTTAACATTGTTCTGTTTGCCTAATGGTGGTGAAGTGAGTTCAACTCGTCTTCAGCCTTCTTTTCATTCTTTTTTGATCACAAAACAAAATGGTTCACGTGTATATGGATCTACCCTGACCATTTGGGAAAGGATAAAAACTGGTGAAGATGCAGATCGTTATATCAACAAGGCACTTTGTTTTCTCACCAGTTTACCATTTGTTGCTGCCATGAATAAACTATTGGTATATATTTATGAGAATAACTGCAGTCTTGGTGTTGTACAAAGCATATGTGACCTAAAGATGCCAAGTAGAGGAAAATGTATGAAATTAAAATTGCCAAAGAGCCGCTATATTGTAAGCTATCAATATCATCAACAACAACAAAATCAACAGACTACTAATTCTGAGAATCAGGCTAACAGTGGATCTGGAGTTATTAAAAATTGTTTGCATGAAGAAATATACATTTATCGAGGCCTTTCATCGTTTCCGCTGTTCGATTATCCATTACGTCAATTATTTGTTGAAATATTGACACCGGAACAGTTTTTAAATGCCTTTATTGCAACCCTACTCGAGTACCAGTTACTAATTATTTCGGAAAGTTATTATAAGCTGATGATGGTTGCTGAAGCCTTAACCTCACTCCTTCTTCCATTCTCCTGGCAACATGTATATGTTCCCATTCTACCAACCAAATTAGGTTTACACTTCCTTGATGCTCCTACTCCGTACATTATGGGTATCAATAGCAGCAGTAAAGACGCGGTCAATATTTCATCAGTTTTTACTGGTTCCATGGCAAGCAGTATCCAATGTAGAATTGATTGTGATACAGGAAAGATAGACTATTTCTTTGATGAGGATGCAGCCTTAGAGGATGATCTACTCACAGAGATACCACCTTTTATTGAAGAACTCAAAAATGAAATAGAATCAATATTATCTTCTGAACCTAGACTACAAGGACTGCTCAATTTCTCTAGTGAAAATAGCCTATCAATGCCTGTCAAAGTAAAAGAAACTTTTTCCTCCGAATTTACCTATTTGGACGATTTAAAGTTAAATCAAACGCTTAGGATTGCATTTTTAAAATGTATTAGAAAAAATATTTTGTCGGACCATGAAAAGTTTATTGTCACTACATCAACACGAAAAGATGCTGTTACTTTTGATACTGTTTCCTACCTATGTGATCAACCTGATTCAACGAGAAATTTTCTTTCCAAATTTCTGAAAACTCAAATGTTTGTCAGTTTCATTGATGAAAGTGTCAAAAAGATGCACAAATCAAAGCAAAGTATTTACTCAAGTCAGCAGTCTCTAATGATTACTTCAGCTTATGGAACGGAAGAAATGGATGAACCACTATTAGGAGATGCCGATTTAGATGGCAAATTTTTCAATGCTCGGGAAATACCTTTCACAGAAGTAGTTATTGACCCATTAGTTGCCTCATCGAATGATTTGAGTAATAGTCGTTTATTAGCTTCGCCGATGAGACGTCATCGACCTCGAACTCCAGCAAGTGAAGCAAGTTCCCTCAGACGCGGCCGAACTACTAGTGAAAGTGGTGATGATGATAGTCAGCAGCAAAACAATGCAAGTGATGTTCTTTCTAGTCCATTCCGAGTGCCCACTGCTTTAGCAGCCCAAACTAATTGGAAGGTTGTTGAGTCATTATTAAGAGAAATCAAAGTCAGGACTAAGCGAATCCTCTTAGCTAAAATGGGCAATGAAGAAATCGCTCCTTTGGGTTAGTTTCCAATTTTTTTGTTAAAATTAGTTGAGTTTACTTCGATATTAATCTCTGAAATTCAACCTTTTCTAATTTAGGCGTTGGATCACCTGAAGACATGGAAGAGAATACGTTAATTGCATCTCTGTGTGATTTAATTGAAAGAATCTGGAGCCATGCAAGAGCAAATGATAAGGAAATGGTTCGATGCTCTTTTTGGTCTCATGTAGTTGCCTTTGCTACATTACAGAGGGAAGATGGAGATAGCTCACAAATTGATTCAAGTCTATTAACTCCTGGTAAGAATCTTATTGTAATCACGTCTTGCTTCTAATTAATTGATCTTATTGGTTCCCTGGTGTCTGCTCCCGATGCTTTCGTGCTATTTAATTTTGTTGCTTTCTCCATCGCTATCACTTTTAACATCAAACTCACAATCATTTATATTGCTAATTCTGATGTCTGATTCTGTGTCTTCTGATGTGCTATTCTTGAAGAATTCTGTTAAAGTTCGTCCAATCTAGTCTTTATTGTCTTTAGAGCTTATTCTACATTAGACATTATATTTGATTAAGATTATCAAATTAGCATCAATTATATAATTCATTGATAGTAATTATTCTTAATCTTTTATTAAGACAAAAATTTAATTTGCTTCATTTTGTAGTGTTAATTATTATAATTATTATGGCAAAGTTAGTGCATAGAATATTAAGCCGCTTTATAATTTGAAGTTTAGGTAATTTAATCTTAGCTACTCGTCAGGCAAACTGGACACCAGATTGACTCAAGAATGAAAATAATTCAATCTACTCAATATTGATTGTATTTCCTCAATTTTCTCTTCTCCTTATGCTATCAAAGCCCTTGCTTGGGTTCTTTTGCGGAAAAGAATCGATTGTATGTATTGATTCACTTTGCTTAATTCACGGTAATTGTTTTGATTGACTTTAATTTGTATTTCCTCTTTTCCTTATCATTTTATTTTTTAGCTTTAAGCCGTATGTCATTAGACTCTGGTTCATCTTCATCCATATCAAATCCGCCTTCACCCTCCAAAGATTTATCCAGCTCAAACGATTATTTAAAACCACTTCCAAATACATTCTATTATGATTACAAATCTGTCCAATCAATGAAAGATATAAAAACCGAGATTGGCAAGAGTCGTGCATTCATTCGCTTAGCTTTGGAACGTAAACTTTTAAGTAAACATTTACGAGTACTGTTAAGTAACCATGAATTGGTCTCATCAATGTACAAAAGATATGCGTTTCTTCGGTGTGAAGAAGAACGTGAACAATTTTTGACTCACTTATTGACTCTCAACGCTGTTGATATACTTTGCTTTACAAATACATTTTCAACTTCTTCATTGACATATACATTGGTTATCGAAGGTTCAGGTCCACTGACTGGTTGGATATCGTTAAGTGGAACACTTGCCCAATCTAATGAAATAGCTTTGACAAATATTTCCAATATATTCACATTCAAACATATTAATTTAGGCTTAATCAACTCAATGACTGTTTCAGTCAGTCTTTCAACCAAAATTTTCATCGGACATTGCTTTGTTAGAAATGAAGTTACCGGACACTTGTTTAAGTAAGATTTACACATTTGATATGTTTTTGATTGATATTAATTTAATTCCCTTATTTTCTTCTAGATTTGTTTGCCATCGTTGGTTTGGTCGAAATATTGAGGACGGAGCCACAGAAAGAGTCTTACTTGGAGAGGTAGTTAGTAATTCATGTATTGGAGAAATTTTGAAAAAAAGCCAAACACGATCATCTTCAATCGGACGTCATTGGGCGCGTTCAACTAGTAGTTATCGAGAGGAATCGCTTGAAGTTCAAGAGCTTCAGCAAATGCTTGGTGAAATTGTTAATGAAATGGTTCGCCTGTATTATAATCATTATGGTCAAACCTTTAATAATCACTCCACTAAAAATGATCATCATCGTAATTTATATCTATCTCCATTGAAGAAAAATGTCGCAAGACCGACGCGTAATCATCCAAGTAGGTCTTCGAATAACCTTTCAACCTCCACTTATTCCTCTAGGTTATTCAATAATCGATCTTCAGTTCATCAAAAAACCCTAGTCACTCTCATCTTTGGGGAGAAGCAACTTTTATGGACGCTTTTACAAATATTTTATAATGATTTCAAAAGACGAAGCCGATCTTCTTTCCGAAAACAAATTTTCTTATGGGATTATCTTTTAGCAATAATATGTGAGCTCAAACTAAACAACTCAGAAACGCGTGAACCTGTTATGGATAAAATGATCAGTTTAGTTGAAACCATTTCAGCGGAAGCAGCGAATTGGGGAAAAGACTCAAAATTTCAATTATTCCTTATCTTGTCCATTCGAGATCATTATTTAACCAAATTTTTGAAGTATCTTTCAAAGCCCCACATGGCTTCTCAATATTATGAGACTAACTCTTTTCTTCGGAATCCCATTTTGATGACATCCCTTCTTCAAATTCTTGGTACCTTTGATGAAATGAAACTTTCAATTGACAGCTCTTTCACAAAAGGCTTGTGAAAACAAATCTTTCAACAAATTGAAACGCCAAAACGAAGTCGATTACATTTTCTCCAACATTTAATCTAATTCTCTTTTTTATTTAATTGTGCCATATTCCTCGTTGTCGAGATAAATCGAAACAAAGCTTCATTTTTTGATCAATTGTATTTTGTTCAACCAAATCTTAATCATAGTAGACAATTGTTTTTATTGAATAAAAATGATCAACTATTTAAATGTCAATTATGCATGTGTTTTGACTTTATTTCATTAACAATGGCCATGTGCCAACATCAAGTTTGATAATATCTGACCAAAATGTGAAATCCAAACTTATATCAGCAAGTTACTTGATCTATTTTTTACACCAATACATAATCGTCTCAAATTGAAAACAGATTTTAATTTACTTAACTCAATCTAATGTTACACAATGAAGTGTGATCTAAATAATGTACTCAAATTACTGTCAAATTAGGGAACATTAAATGAGGGCTGAAAGGTAGCTCAAAGATTTGTTAAATCAAATATTTATCACTCTGATCAGAATATTTTGACTTGATTCAATTGTTTTTTAAATTTTTGTCACGATTAAAACCATTAACCATGAAAATTTATGCAAATTTTGACCAATTTTATGAAGAAAACTTGTCGTTTGCAGTTGATTAAAGTTGTAATGAGATCTTCCCTTAATACATTCCCTCGAATTACATTTCTGGTAATCACTGGTAATTTCTAGTAATAATGGATGACATTGGACCATCAAAAGAAAACTTTGATTTAATTCAATATTTAAAATAGATTTTATTGTTTGAATTTTCCTCAATTGTCAAGCAATTTAAATCTTGCAATTTTTTGATTCATTTATTTACATCCAGTGTTTCCTTGACAACCACATCACAAATGTTAATACAGTGACTGTATTACAGTCTATTTTACTGTAGATTTAAAAGATTAAAAATTGTTACTCCTGATATTTTAATCATCCTCATCTTATAATTATCATATTTACTGTTTTATCCTGTTTTGTTTTATCGTGAATATAATCGAAATGCGGTTCATCAGCATCACCAATTTAAATATTTATTGTTGTTGACTAAACTAACATAAAACTGGCTAACCTGTCTTTCCTCTTCATTACTTGTTATTATTACTTTTATATCAACCCATTTTAGTGATTTAAGCCCTGGGGAGGGTAGAGTGAGAATAAAATTAAATAGTTGGTTTTGAATATTAACTTATAATGTTGCGCCAAAGGAAAATTCAGTCTGATTACACGTCTCAACCAAGTCCATCATCATTATCATCACCCAAACTGATGATGGACACTAAATACTCAAAAAAACCTACTAGACGGATAAACTTCCTTTACATCCTATTATCTCTGTTTGGTGTTTTCATCTTTATTGCCTATGTTGCAGTGCCTGTTGCTTTCAAGTTAAGTCCGACGATTCGTCGTCATCTGCTTTTTATGAACTATGTTAATTTCCAGGTGAATATGAATTTGAGTAATCCAGAAAATGAGTACAAACTCAAGTGTACCAAAGTGTTCCATGTTGACTCTTCCGATGGTGCCTCATTAGGTGTTTGGCATATTTTGCCTGGCAGTTTAGTCAACAAATACTGTCCAACAGGCTTTGGTAAAGACTTGAAAGATGTCGATGAATCACGGTTATTTGATGATGACAGACCGATTGTGCTCTACTCTCATGGTAATGGAGGAACTCGTGGAGGAAACCACCGTCTTGGACTTTATCGATTATTAGCTTATGGAGAGCTGGATGCTCATGTGATTACATTTGATTACAGAGGATTCGGGGATTCAACTAACATGCATCCATCAGTTCCAGGGTTAGTGGATGATGCTTTTCATATGTACAAATGGCTTTCAAGCAAAGTGAATCATACCCGTATCAATATTTGGGGCCATTCACTTGGAACAGCAGTTTCAGTAGCATTGTCTAAAAGAATCGGCTCTGATGATAAACCAAACACATTAACTCTGGAAGCACCTTTTAATGCCGTAGCTGATGCCATTCGTGAATACCCGTTAGCAGCCATTTACAAAATTTATCCGTTGTTTGATTTCTTCTTTATTCAACCTTTTGATTTACCTGAATATCGTTTATTTGATAGTCAAACAAACATAAAAGATGTTAAATTTCCAATTTTAATCATGCATGCAAAAGATGATGCTATAGTACCCTTCAAACTAGGCCATAAGCTATATGAAAGCGCTTTACAAGGATACAGTGGGAAATCTGATCAAGCCAAACCAGTTATGATCATTTACGAAGAGGAACATGGCTATGGTCACAAGAATATTTACAAGGATTCGTTGTTGACCAAAATCATCATCAAGTTTTTCTCTCATCAAGAAATTGGACAAACAACATTTTAAAACGGTGAATTTCTGATCTCTATGTGTAACATAAATCGTGGTTAATATCGAAAATGAGATGCAGAATATAATTAGATTAGATAATTAGCAGTATTTTTTACAATTTTCCATAAAATGTGATATCCAATCTATCTAATCATCATATTTATTCGACTTTTAATAAGATAAATTTTCTTCCATTCTTCAAGTGTATGGTGATAGCTACCAAGTGACTCAAATAATCCTCGAAATAGGATAATTTGTCTCCAAATGCTTCTATCAATTGAAATCAGCATCAAAGATTGTTTTATTATAGCTCGTTTTATCCTGTTTTGAAATGAGGAAAAGAGGTTTTATTGCAAATTATATTGATAATTCAAGGAAATCTGTTAAATATAACAACTCTTGTTAAACCTTGACTTTTTAAAGACAACTCGATTCCTTAGTTGACTAAAAATAATTAATCATAAAATTGCTAAAATTAAAATTAAGGGCAACTAAGAATACTTATACTTTGTACTTTTATATCTCTGATTGTTGGTTTAATCTAATTATTTGAAACCTCAATGAGTTACTTGATAACTGAATGTAAAATAAATTATCACACCAATTATATTTTCAAATAAAACTATTTCTGATAATTTGTCAGCAATATCAGACAATTTTGAAATCACGCAAATTTCTTGTTCTATTCAATAAGAGTTGAATTATTTGATCAAAGTTAAATCAGTATATTTTATTGACATTCATACAGTCGCAGTGCACAAAATAGAGCCAATAAATTATATTAACTTTATTCGAGTCTATTATTGTCAATATGAATAAAAGTTCAATTCAAAATGACTGAACAGAGGATGAGTTGGAAAGCATCGATTGACTTGAAAATCAGTTAAATTTGAAGGATTGCGCATATCTCAATGAAAATCACCTAACCAATAATGTCCATTCAAAAGCAGTTGTCTCATTGCTTCCGTCCCCAAAATTAGATGATAACACATCAATATCAATCCAAAACCATAACATTTGTAATACCGACTAATGTTAATTTTGTAGATGAAAATCTCAACCCATAATGTGTAATATCAATCCAGCTAATTTGATGATACTCTTGTGATTCTTGTAATCAATGTTTATGCTTTTAAATTGTGAGTTATTGTGAAACCAGGAGAAGGTGAATAAAAAGAAACAACGAAATTGTAACCTTTAAAAGAGTTTAGAGATTGAGCAAATCCAAGCAGAAAGACAAAGAACCAAATGCTGATTATCGCTTAAATTGCTGTGATGCATGAATAATTTCCTGAAAATTAGTGTAAAAAGTCAGAGTTAAAGGACAAATGAACAGAAAACTGTCTCCATCTGAAATCAATTTTCTGATTGAAAGTGGCGATGGAAACAACATTGAACCAGATACGAGTGTCTTGACCGACCTGAGCAGGCAATTCATTGAGAAAAAGACTATTCCTAAATTGCAAGTGTCAGAAAAGAATGGTTCATGGTTTGCTCTCAACAATACATCACTCCATGTTGTTAAAGAGTTGGAAAGGCAAGGTAAATGCTCTTCAGTTCAAGTTGAAATTGTTCCCCTGAGTAAAGTTCCAATAAGCCTTCAAAAAGGTATGCTCACTGTTAGCAGTCATTCAGTTGAGATGGAGAGAGAAACAATGTTTTCTGAATGCTGCTCAACTAAAGATGACAATGATCAAGGTAAGATTCTGGATAACTGTTTACTTCTTTCATGCTAACTGTTTCATTTCTCATTCAATCTTCAGTTGATTCAAGTGAAAATAAAGGAGAACGAAGAGGATTTCGAAGACTTCAAATTGAGGAAAACTTCGACATTGAATCAAATGAAAATACTGGTAAATATGGACCCAGCGATTCTTATGATTATGGTGAAGATACGGGTGAAAGTACATCATCTGAAGTATCTGATTATGATCAAGATTTTGATGAATCAGAAGGAGGTTAGTTTGAGTTGCCTTTCTTTACATCAATCAAGTTATTAATTTTTTTCCTCCATTTCAGAGGAATCGCTGGTTTGCAATGTTTGTGATAAAGCTTTTTCAAATGGACGCAAATTGGGTCGACATCAGCTGCACAGAAGGCATTTTTGTTGCTCCGTTTGTGATGCTTTGTTTCCAAGTCTGATGATTTTACAGATTCACAAGAAAACACTTGAACATTGGACAGACGATGAAGTTGCTGACAATGAAATTGCCAATGAATTCACTGGCCAAGATGAACCTGAACATGCTCAAGAGTCAACATTTAGACTGACTTATGAAGAGATTGAAAGGTTATTGTGAGATGAAATTTGATATTGAAATACCGATCATTTGTTTCAACCCAATCAAATCTTGAAGCAACGGAATTGAACTTACAATCAAAAGTCTAAACGCACAATTTACTTCTTTTCCGCTATCTTAAGGAATCTAAATCCAATTGCTGGTTAATTGGAAAATGATCAAAAACCAAATCTTTTTACAAAAACATAAAGAGTGCCAAAGAATGAAGATTAGCCATGATGAATTTCAACTTTCCAATTCTAGATATTCGATAGGTTATTTCTTCTTTTCTGAATAACTTCTAATGCAAACAAAACTATTTACTTTTTAGGATCAACTTGAGATGAGATAAATAATCAGTTTGAAATTTAAATTAAACTTTATGACAGTGTTGAGATGTTTGATTATTTGCTATTTTTCATTGCAATTTTACGAATTTCAAATCATTTATTAGAAAATTTAAAATCTAAATTAGCTAGAAACATTAGTAGATTGGAATCAATTTGTGTTGCTCCGTCTGTCGTTATATTAATGATTGATACTCGATTGAAATTCCAATTTTTCAATCACAAGTTTAACTGATCTTCAAAATGTATTTACATTAATTTATTGAGCTTCCACAAATTCATTTTGCATTAGTTGATCAGCTTTAGATGCTGAATATGAAATCTTTTTTCCCATTATTCCATAAACATCAATTGTTTCTTAAAAATTGATTCATGAAGCTTTCCATTTTGAAATATTTATGCAAATCTTCAAATGACAGCAAAAGCTCGAATTCATGGTAATATCTGAAAAGATGGAACAACATTTTTGCTGATATTCACAACAATCTAACCAGATATCGCCTTCGTGAGCATCTCGAACTGGTCCATTGTTGCTGTCCTTATCTTTCACATCAATGGCCTCAATCAACAAAAGGCAGTTTCGTCTAAGCTCAAAAGGACAAGAAGTAAATTGGCGAAACTTCATGGAGATCATGGATTTTATTTTCTCCTTGAAAATAGCACAATCTTGCTCTGTTAACGCACTCATGAAAACGATAATTGACTGTAAAAATTTAAAAGAGAGACTTTAAAGAGAAAAAAGCAATTGCTATAAAATTCATGCTTATGTTTCACTATTCATTTCTTGAAAACTGAAATACATGGGAAATAAAACTTCGGTTTCTGATTTTATTGACACGTGGATCATAATACAAAAAGGGAAGCTAAAGACACTTTCCCGTTGATAATAGTCATACAAATATTAAAGTTGTTGGGATTCAGGAAAATAGGTTGTGAAAATGATAGGGTTTAAAATTACTTTTTTTGTTTTGAATTTTTTGGATCTTTTTCTCGGTTGTACCCTTCAATTAGTGGGACAACAAATCGTTGAAAGACTTCTTCTAGAAAGTCGTAAGATTTAGTAATGTTGTTAGTTAGAATGAAAAGAAAAATATTAGTATTGGGTTTGGGAATTTTTGAATGAAGTTAGATCTGCTGGTGGTCATCAGAGTACAGTTGGCAATCCAGTGAATGTTGTCATTATCTAAGGATCCACAGATACATCTTTTTTTGTTGGCAAGTCCGTTAAGTTGTAAAACAATAAATCGTCTATTGACGTAAATGCAATAATATAATTATACTAATTTGCGTCAATAAGACGTTGGTAGATTTTAGATTAGATTTTTGAAATACCAATTTGATAAATTCTAAGTATTTAAACCTAGGTAAATCATGTATTTAACTCACTCTCTAAGTCAACTGTAACCTGTTCAGAACTCATTGTCTGAGTTCTGACAAAGCAACAAACCATCTTTAAAACACAAATCATCTTATGTATTTAAGTATTAATATATAACCAAGTATTCTTAATAAAGTCAACATTAATTTAACCAGTAACCCCGTCGTCATTTCTCTTCATTTGGTGGCCATTATGAGGGCTGTCCTCATTGTCTGAGCTCACCCTCTTTGTGTACCTGATCAGTCCAGTCCTTCGACCGCTGACCAGTCCAGTCCAGTCCATTGACCGCTGTTTGACCGCTGACCATTGTCCAGTCCAGACCATCGACCGCTGACCACTGTCCAGTCCACTCTTTTCCAAATTGATTTACTTTTGCCAGCATCATGGTAGGGTTTTTTAACTAATCACTCTTCTCCTTACCCATTTCTTTCCTAAAATTCTATTCTTCACAGCACCGTTTGATCATTGTCTGATCTTCGGTTTTCTCGTCAGGGAATTAGTAAAATTCATTACTTGATTATTGCCTATTGGAGTCAATAGACCAATAATCGATTTGTGGTTATTCATTATGACTACAAATCCTATTTTAGGCACTCAAAGCCCCATTTTTGTTAATTCAGTCTCAGGGAACCAAAATATCAATATCACCATCCAACCATTCAGTGGGGATGGAGATGAGGATATTTTAGATTGGTTCGCTGACTTTGAATATTCAGCCAAAATATTAGGGTGGTCAGATGAGGCAATGGTAAAAGCTTTGCCAGCCTATCTGACCAGAACAGCCAGAAGTTGGTACCTTCACAATTATGTCCACAAAAATTTAGTTCCAACAAATTTCGATGTCCTCAAAAAGGAAATGGTCTCAGGACTATGTTCGTCAGATTTCAGAGGAGTATTAGAAGCTAGATTATTGAGAAAGAAACAAGAACAGGGTCAATCAACTCTCAGTTTTATATATGAGGTCAGAGAACTTTGTTATCGTCTAGATGAGCAAACTCCAGAATCAGTTGTAACCATGATCATTAAACAGGGTCTCTTACCTGATTTACGTTACAGTATAGCAATGAAAAACCCAAAAACTATTGATGAATATATAAATGCAGCTAAAATCGCCGAAAAAGCTAGAGAAGCTTCAGAAAGTCATCTCCAAACTCAAGTTGTTAACAATGAATTAGATCAACTTAAGCAGACTATCAGTGAGATGAACCGTAAAATTAGAGACCTTGAGAGAACCCCAACTCTTCTGTGTAATTACTGTGGTAGACGTAATCATACAGAAGAAAACTGTAGACAAAAACAAAGATTTGCTCAGGTCCAACCAATTCAAATGAACTTACCTCAACAAAATCAACGCTATCAAGAAACTAGACAGCCTAGGGGTAATAACGATCAAAACCAACCCAGAGGTAGAAATAGAAGTCCAACAAATTGGAGAAATAACCAAGCAGAGCCTCAGCCCAGTACTAGCAGACAAGATGTTAGTCCAGTCAGAAGGTCAGGTAGAGTTCGAAGACCGTCTCAAAAAGCAAGAGAGGCATCAGGATTGCAACAAACACAACCAAAAACAAGAAATAATGTAGTCCATACTTTAGCAGATTATCAATCTAATTCCAGTTACTCTTCTACTGAATCATTAAACACTAGTCCACCCAGACACGTCTCTACTGTAACTAGAAATGATAGTAACCTTATTACCAAAAAGATCAGAGTCAATAAGGTAAAAACTGAGTCCATGATTGACACTGGTTCATCAATTAGCTTAATTACACAAGATTTCGCTCACTTATTGAAGGTACCAATTAAGGCCTACAAAGGTCCAATAGCATTAACTGCTGATAAAAAACCATTAAGAGTTCTTGGTGAGGTGGAAGTTGATCTTATCATCAGAGATGAGAAAACAGCTATCCTTGTAAAAGCTAGTCTACAAGTTGTCAAACATCTACCAATGAAATATAAAGTTTTGATTGGACAAGATATTCTTGTCGATGCTGAGATTGTAGTCGATTGTGCAAGAAAGGTAATATCGATTCAGAGGGAAATGGATCAACAAAATGGTTGGACAAAGATAACTGAACCCGATAATTCAAATGAAGCTTCGGAAACAGAATCAACTTTAGATTACAACTCAGAATTAACCTCCAGCGATGAATCGAGTTGCTCTGATATTGAATCAGATGTAAGTGGGTCAGATGAATATGGAACTGACACTAGCAGCTTTACCGATAATTTGATTACTTCAAGTATCAATTCCTTGGACCTAGCTATTGAAGAAGGCACACCTGATAACATCTGTAAGGACTTTGATTCACTCGTTTCCAGTTATCGTGATGTGTTTGCTCTCACCCCACAAGAAATTGGTCGCACAAATCTTTACGTTCACAAAATTCAAACTGGTGACCACCCTCCGATTGCACAAGCTCCTTATCGTCAAAGTATCCAAAAGCGAGAAATAACACGCACTCAGGTCGAAGAATTGCTGAGAGATGGAATCATCATCGAATCCCAGTCTCCTTGGAGTGCTCCTGTCGTTTTGGTCAGTAAGAAAACTGGTGATTGGCGACTTTGTGTCGATTACCGTAAACTGAATTCAATCACTGTCAAGGATTCTTATCCCCTTCCTGACATCAACACTTCACTAGATTGTCTTCAGGGAGCAAATTATTTTAGCCTGTTAGATTTAAGAAGTGGTTATCACCAGGTAGAGTTAAACCCTGGTGACCGTCAAAAAACAGCTTTTGTAACTAACTTCGGCATGTATGAATATCTTACAATGCCCTTTGGTCTCTGCAATGCACCAGCAACATTCCAACGCCTGATGGACACTTGCCTTGCTGGTCTAAAATACAAAATTTGTTTGGTCTACATTGATGACATCATTATTTACAGCAAAACTCTAAAGGAACATCTTGATCGCCTTGAGGCTGTATTTCAACGTCTTCGGCAAGCTGGATTAACGCTGAAACCAAGTAAATGTAACTTCTTCAAAACTAAGATACTTTACTTAGGTCACATTATCAGTTCAGCTGGCCAGGAACCAGATCCGGAAAAGATTCGAGCTGTTCAAAACTTTGCAGTACCAGTAAATCTTAGGGATGTAAGATCATTTGTTGCCTTATGTTCTTACTATCGCAAATTCATCCGCGATTTCGCAAAAATTGCTCGACCTCTTACCCAGTTAACAAAGAAAGAAGTCCCTTTCATTTGGGGAATTGACCAAATAACAGCTTTTGAAACACTCAAGAAGTGTTTAACTACAGCTCCAGTTCTTGCACATTTTGAACCTGGTAAACCTATTCAGCTGAGAACTGATGCATCAGATGTTGGTGTTGGAGCAATATTACTTCAGCAATTCAACGATAAATGGAACCCAATCGCCTTCGCAAGTAGACAACTTCGTGGGGCTGAACTAAATTACCCAATTTCCGATAAAGAGTGCTTAGCCATCATCTATGCAGTTGAAAAGTTCAGACCATATTTGGAAGGTTTCAAATTTGAGGTGGTAACTGACCATTGCGCTTTGTGTTTCCTACGTAGCAAAGCCAAATTACCAGCTAGATTGATGAGATACGCACTTACTCTACAATCATTTGACTTCGAGATTACTTACAAGTCTGGCAAGATACACGCAGACGCAGATTGCCTCAGCCGTTATCCTACAATTGACCCGGAGTATAATCGCTTGAATTTAGAAGACGAGGAACAAGGAGATGACATCTTCACACTCCTAATCTCTGAAGAGTCTGAGGACAACGGGGAACTTTTGTCTGAACAAAGGGCGGATCCTTTCATTCAGACGATTATCAATCAACTAGATAATATGGAAAAACTATCAAAGAAAGCAAAAGACAAACTTCAAATGTTTCACAGGATGAAAGATGGTATCCTGGAAAGGAAGGTAACTGATGAGTTTGGAGATTCATGGGTAGCAGTCTTACCGGAAAAACTGAGGAAAAAGGTCTTACAGTCGTACCATGATGATGTTACTGCAGGACACACTGGACTTTATCAAACTTACAGAAAAATTCGGTCAAAATATTATTGGCCTAAAATGAACCAAGACATTACCAAATATATTAAACAATGCTCATCCTGCCAACTAAACAAGCAAGGCCTTGGTAATTTAGACGCTCCTCTTAAACCTATCAATGTTTATGCACCATTCGATAAACTTGGTATTGACATTGTGGGTCCACTGTCCAAGTCCGCGGGGAAGAGCTACATAATCGTCGCTACTGACTATTTCACTCGATGGGTGGAAACAAAAGCTTTGACCAATAAAAGCGCCCAAGGTACAGCACGATTCTTGATTGAAAATATCTTATGCAAACATGGTTGCCCAAAAACAATTTTGAGTGACCAAGGACGAAATTTCATTGCTGATA